AGGGGACAGTATGCTGGCTGAGATGGGCTTGGAGGTAATTTGACTGGGCCACAGCGCTGATCTGAGCGGGCGATAGGGAAGGAAGCCCCAGCCCAAATGCCTTTGTTCTTTTCTGGAAACTCTGACAGCCGTTTCCCTTCACTCTGGATTATCGGTGTGCAAACAGTCACTGTGACCAAGAGCTAGCCAATGCAGGGACACCGGGATGGTTTTATTAATTTGGTATGCAAATGACAAACATGAGTAATGCTGCTGTATAAAACCTATTTAAGTCATTATTCAAGTCAAAGGGGGAAATAATGGCATCACCTCTTTATGTGTTATGTGAGTTAAATCTACATTAAAATAGTATTTAAATACTACATACAGGACAAAATAAAAACATGAAACTTAAATTTCACTAACAAAGCACCTTAGAAAATATATTATATTGAATAAGAAAACAATAAATTGTTTAATAAAAAAGCTTGGATTTGCAAACCAAATTTTTTGATTTGCAATATAACATTATTTGATCGCAGTGTTGATTTTTCTCTCAAACCTATTCCGTTTGAGTAAATAATAAAGACACAAAAGTAACTCAGTAAAGATCAAAAGTATCTTCAAAATATTCTCTTTTCGGTGATTTCAAATTAAAAGTCAACTATGTTTTTTTTTTTAAATGCAGAAAACTCCATGAAATTATACATATATTATAGCTATATATACAGTATATGAACTATAGTGTAAAACCAGGGCTGCAAGTATGATAATTGTAGCTATAAAGAGCGAGAAGATCATGAGTGTGATTTTGCTGCTGATTACTCACATAGTCATGGTGGTCAGCGGCACCTAAAGGAAAAAGCATCAGAGGTTAAATGTGTGTTGGGTGTGGATACAGCTCACTCACTGGCTGACCTCAGAGTTATTCATTAATCATTTGACAGTTATGATGATGTGGCTGACCTTGCTGACTCATTTGTTCCTACTCTCAAGAGACCTTTGTTTCAGCCTGTATGGCTTCAGCCAATAAGTTGTCTAAATCAATATTTAGAATATTCCCTCTCACTCAGATGCTTCGCTCAACAACCCAGGATTATTTTGTCACTGCTGAACAGGAAACATTAGGACTCTGATGGACTGCCTGTTAGACACATGCAGTGTCTGGCTGCTGTTCTAATAACAGGAAGTTCCTGCCAGCAGTAACAGGATATGGTCATGGTTCTTTGGCCTGGATAAACTATCCTTCCATCAGTAATTTCACATTAGAAATTATATTCCTGAAGTCTCACTAATAGCATGAGGTTGCAGTAAAAGTATTTAAAGCTGAATGAACAGTTTTCTGCCACTTGGGGGCAGTGCAACAAGCTGAAAACCCAACACTGATATTGATATCATGTTATAGAGTTGAGTTGGTGAACACATTAGTAAACAGTTGCCTATTTACACATCAAAGAAAGAGCAATATTTCCAGTCCAGGTCCAATTTCACTCTCCTTTTAGCTTTGTTTCTGTTTCCACCAACAGCAGAAATGCAACATAATATTTATAGGTATGTTTTCATTAGTGTATAGTCACCTATAAATAAAAACTGCTGGGTTTTCATTATCTTAGAATGAGAGGTTTTCATCTACAGACAGACTGGGTCCTCTTCTACAGAGTCCACCATGTTGAACTGCCATGTTTCTACGGTAGCCCAGAATGGACAAATCAAACACTGGCTCTAGATAAGGCCTTATGCATTTTTTGCAAGTTTAGTGGCAACCGTAGTTTCTCCTAGATGCTTAGAAGGTTGAGCTGTATTCAGATGGTTGCAATCCGCAACTTAATTGTTAGATGCCATTATTAAAAAAAATGGCTCGACAGCGCCCACTATTGACCAGCCCAAATGGCACGTTTCACCTATGAGTATGAAAAGTGGTACACATGTAGATCTTGTCCAGATGTACAAAAAAATCTCTTGGAGCCATATCCCAAACCCAACAAGAAATCAGCCATTTTGGATTTAGTAGCCATTTTAGGTGTTTTGCACATGTTGTATTTTAACAAACTCCTAGGGACACCCTAACTCAGTGCACCCTAAAGACCATTACGATTAGAAGTTGTGCTATTTGTGAGTTAACACATAACACGGCCACAGCACACCCCGACACGCGCAGGGCCCGTTCATCGCTGCTTGCAGCTTAAATTCTCTGTGTTTGTTACTATGAGCAACCCCTTTCACAGTTAATTCATTCTTAACGTAAAAATATTCATCAGTGCAGCTTTAAAGATGTTAAACTCACCATGTGGAGATTTTTGAAGCTCGCTGTACACTGTGTCTGTGCCTTTTCTGAATGGGACTGTTAACGTAAAAAGCAACACATTAGCCTGCTTGAACATCAAAGTTTAGCAGATACTGTCTGTTTGATCTATCATTAACAGACATCTAAAAAGAGAGGGGCTGTGTCATATTCTGTAACTGCCAACTATGGCCCGTCGGGACCTTGAGCACAGGACCATAACGAAGTAGGGGCCAGTATCAGAAACCAGCCTGGCAATTATCTCAACCCTTCCTGTTTATAAGGTCTGCAGTTCAGTTCTGGAAATCCCAGAAGTTATCCCTGCAGTTACAGCAACTTGGAGATGTGTTAATTATGAGTAATTAGGCCCCTCCCAGGATGCCTTGGTCCATATTATCAAGGAATGTGGGCAAAACTGAGAACGAGAACCAAAAGCAGAAAAAAGATAGGGTAGTAGACAATATAACTTTTTGTGTGTGTGTGTGTGTGTGTGTGTAGTGTTAACCTCTGGCAGGATCTACTGGCCCAGGATGCACCACCTCAGTGTACTCCACATCAGGCTCATTGGACTTCACGCTGCTCTCCTCGTCACTGTCGGCATCTACACACGTGAACAAAATTCTCTGTGAAACATGCTTCATGAATTCATAGTCATCTTAATGAGGGGTATCGTTTTCTTAAGCATTAATGTCCATTATTGACCATGGAAACAGTCATGACCTTTCATGCCTAATATGGACAAGAAATCCTAAGAGCTATAGTATAACTTCTGAACTTCCATGTCAACAGATCAATCTGCATGACAAGTAGTAAGTGGACCTTGAGTGGGGATTAGTTTGTGGATATACATTTTTTTGTCTTATGAAATTGGAAGTTGAATTCATCTGCAAAATAATCTCAACCATAGTTATTAATACAGTAGTTAGCCCAGTGAGAGCCCATAAAGTGTCAAGTGTTCCCACACTGGCTGCTGTTCAGGAAAAGTTACACACAGTAGGCTCCCTTTAAAGTAGGATTTAGTGGCATCTGGCGATGAAGTTGCAGATTACCATCAACTGAATATCGCTCGCCTTCCAAACGTGTAAGAGAAGTAGAGTAGCCGCAAAACCCACAAAAAAACACTGAAGGCCCCCATTTAGAGCCAGTGTTTGGTTTGTCCGTTCTGGGCTACTGTAGAAACACGTCAATTCAATATGGCGGATGCCATGAAAGAGGTCCCACACCCTCTGTAGATAAAAACGGATTATTCTAAACCCAACAATTCTTATATTCAGGTGATTATACACTAATTACAACATACCAATGAATAATATATTCCATTTCTGCCAATAGATCCTCCTAAATGTTACACACTGGACCTTTAAAGTTCTCTGAGGTTGTGCTCAGTAGTTCCACCTGTGTTAAATATACATGCCTTCTTCGAACTGTAAGACATTAATCAAAGCATTAATATAATGGTAGACGTTAGAAGCCCAGCTCACCATCTTCAGATGGTCGCTTGCTCCACACACTGACTGCAACTCTGTCCGCCTTCACTGTGAAACACAGAAAGACAGACATCTGTCATAAGGCAGCTGCCAAACCGACACTTTCATTAAGTTGTAAAAGTTCTGCACTGATTAAAATAAAGAAACATATCTTAATAGGTAATTAGCAATAAAATGACATATTACAGAGCATGTATGAACATCACCTGATCTAGGTGTATTTGTGTCATTATTTTTGTGAAATATACCTTTTCACTTTCTTGCTGAGAGTTGAATGAGAAGAATATCACCCTTAAATCTATCTGCTCAGTATGAAGCTACAGCCAGCAACTGGTTAGCTTAGCTTAACAAAAGGAACATCTAGCCTGGCTCATGTCTAAAGGAAAAATAACTTACCAATTACCTTTTTAATTAGAATGTTTTATCTTGTTTGTTTAGGCCATATAAAACAGAGCCAGTCTAACGGTTTCCCCTTCCAGTCTGTATGCTAAGCAACGCTAACTGTATCCTGGCAGTAGCTTTATACTTAAGAGTCAGGCATGAGAATGAAATCGGTCTTCTCGCCTCACTCTTAGCAAGAAAGTGAATTTGAAAGTGTATTTCCCAAAATGTCAATCCATTTTTACATGACCAAAAGTCAAATATCAAGATTATATTCCATTCCAAAAGCAATAACAGAGAGATAAGTGAGATTTTTGGCACATCTCTACAGTTTGGCCTTCACTGGAGGCTTTATTACTCTGAAAATAAAACCATACAGAACAAACAGATATCTTGTGCTGCCTTGTGCATAATAGGCTGTTAATTCCGCAGCGGCTGCACAATAAACTCTGGCAAAAACAACTTCCTTTTGCAACTTCCCAGTTGGTAATGTAATCTCACACACAGCTCAACCAGGCTCATGTGATTAATTTCCTCCACCTGCTGCATGTATTCAATCTTGCCTCCCCCCCCCCCCCCCCCAGCCTGCCCTGTGCCAGCATAGGAAGTTTCTTGCAGGCCCTATTGTTTCAACTTTTCAAGGAAGTCTCTGCTGTGTGTTCCTTTTTAGGAAATGAATAGACTTCATGTTATGTTGGTATTGTCATGGACCTGTGCTTAGGACGGTGACACCATCCAGCATACACTGTAATGGAAGAGTAATGCAGGCATGATAATAGTAAACATATTTTTGGACTTTTTGTGCAGTATAAAGGTTTTTAGCATACTTAGCCTCAGATACAGCTGGAGCAAAATGAATGGTACTGACACACTTCTAAATAAAACCAATATCTTTATTCTATGTTTCTCTTCCAATCAGTCAAAGGATCAACCAAAAATATATACACACATTTCTCGTGATAGTGATTAAATGTATATACAGATCACCCAGCCCATTAAAACATGCACAGCAGACAAATAGAGCCGTTGCAACAATAAAGGACAGCAATTCACACGGACATGGCGAATGAAGAAACAAAGGACAAAGACAGTAATGTTAGGTATAAAATCAGAGGCCATCTAGATTGCAGGAGGAGGGGAGAGGGAGCAGCGGGTCCTGGTTTCTCATAACACGCCCCTCCTTGTCACCGAAAATTCATCAGAAAATGTCCAAATCCTACAACACTTGGCATCATAAACAGGATTACTGCTCTGAAAGTCCTCTCTCAGAGCTTCCTTTTCTTTGAAAGTTTAAAAAAATTTGAATTGAAAGTCCCGCCCACTGTAGGGCATCTCTACACTGTGGCTGGGATACTGTAGCTGCTCCTGTTGCTGAAGTCAGCGGGAAGCGACGCCACGCTATCTCTCACCCCATTGGTCACTCTCCCCTCTGTGCCATCATAGAGAGGCGCTGCGTCTGGAAGAAGATGATAATGGGCGCTCTAAGCATTTTGCAACAATTGACAATCAATGTCACGATGATTGAACTACTTAAGCATCTTCTTCCTGCGTAAGCACAGCTTGTACCTCAGAGTTTACTTCCTACATCAACTATATCCTAACAACATCCTATTTTTCCTGCCTCTGCACTACAGACTTAGACACAAACACAATGTGCATGCAAAAAGTCAGAGACAGACGAAGACAATACGTTCAAATGTACATATGTTGTGCGTGCATATAAACTTAAACAGGATATCTACAACTGGAAAGCAACATACACTGTTACATAAACAAAGTTAGCCAGGTCACCACAAAATGAGCCCTGCATGCATATTAGAACATGAATCATGGGATGAAAATGGATTGCTGTGGAACCATGCCATGACTGTTGAGGCAAGATAAATGACTAATGGCTGTTAAGATGATGACTAATGAGTACAGTCAGTGGTACATAGAAAACTAGTAAAACCAAGCTACCTGAGGCTGCGTTATAAACCTCTGTGTCGTAGGTTAGATTCACTGTTAAAGAGTCATCTGATTTAGGGCTCGGAGGCTTTCTGAGAAATGGTAAAAATAAAGTCAACTTGGGCATTGGTGAAGTCAAGGAAAAATCTACTAAATGCCCAAAAGATCTAAAGCTTAAGTAGTGTATGCAATCAATTCTGATACAAGAGCACACTGGTGGTTTTGTATGTTGTAGCCTATTAAGATGGCGCAGCTCTTGTAGCATCCTGTTACAGCAGCTTGTGTTAGACCCCCTGAGGAGTTTTCTTCAAAACACATGGTGTGTTTAACTGAGACCTAAAGATGTGCTGAATTAATTACCGTCCTTAAAAAAACATATGTAGATTAGTGGAACAAGCCCCTCGTGTGTACACACCTAAGTACGTATTAAGTTTGGGAGTTTTTTTTTTCTTTAATACAAACAGTATGTTCAATTTACATTTAATTCTACAACTCTAACATTAACTTCATGACATGCACTTGAAAAATGTCCAGTACAAGTGCACTACACATTACTCTAACTTCAAGAAACAGTTTGGTGTTTTGTGAATATGCTTATTTGTTTTCTTGCTGAGTTAGCTGAGAAAATCAATACCTCTCTCATGTGTGCACGTTAAATATGAAGCTAACGGTAACAAAATTAGCCTCCCAAGACCTCTAAAGCTCACTAATTAACACTTTATGTGACTATTTCTTGGGCTGGGAAAAGTAACTTCTAAAGTTGACATTCTTGATGTCAGAGTGTATGTGAGTGAGCAAAGCAACACCAAGTGGAAAAGTGTCCTGAGATAACTTTTGTTATGAATTGGCGCTATACAAATAAAATTGAATTGAATTGGATTGAATTGGAAATGATGTGTCACAAAATAAAACTGTCTAAAAACTCAGTGTCTCCTATCTCAAGCAAGTTTCAAGTCTCGGAAAGCTGATCTTCATAGAATGCTAATATTTAACTAATTACTACCCGGAAGGTAGGAAATCAACCCAAATCTTTGAAAAAAGGTTGTAATAATAAGAAGTCTATGTGCTCAAACATGCAAAACAACCAGTGTGGCTCTTTAAAGGTCCAGTGTGTAACATTTGGGAGGATCTATTTGCACAAATGGAATATAATAGGTATTCTTAAGTATTATTTTATTATTATCACCTGAATATAGGAATCATTATGTTTTTGTTGTGTTTGAATGAACTGTTTTTATCTACAGATGTTGTGGCCGCATTTCATGGAGTCCACCATGTTTCTACATTAGCCCAGAAGGGACAAACCAAACACTGGGTTTAGATAGGGGTGTTTTTTTGCATTTTTGAGCATTTTGAGGCTACCGTAGATTCTTCTTCATGCACGGAAGGTGAGGATAAAACGAGGGAGTTGCCACTAAATCCTACACTCAGGACCTTTAAAGGCTATAAATAAGCTGTTAAAACTAGACACACTGTCACTAACTTCTCCAGTATCTGTCACATTCAGAGTAAGCAAGTAGTCGAGCCAACTCACACCGACAGTTCAGCAGCTGCTTCTCTTTTACCTACAATAGGAGAGGAGAGGTGAGAAGAAGAGCAGGAGGAAGTAGGCAGAGGAAAGTTGGTTTTCATACAGACATGAGAGGCCTGACTTGTTGGAGGGCTGTAGGTCTTTCTACCTCTTTTGGATCTGAAGCACAGCACACACAACACCACCAACACCGACACCACCAGTAGACAGAACCCCACGATCACACCTTTCTTCCATTGCGCCAGTTGCACTATGGAGGGAGAAAAAGAGACAAACACACAGAAAGAAGGCAAAGTCAGTGACAAATAAAATGGAAGGGGAAAGAAGGGGAGTGAATAAAATAGGACAGGATTACCACGGTTGTTGAAGACAGCACCACTGCCTTAGTGTGAGATTACATTACCGTGTGTATGATTTAGTGGCATCTAGTGGTGAAGCTGCGGATTGCAACCATTTGAATACAGCTCAGCCTTCCAAGCGTGTAGGAGAAGTATGGTGGTTGCAAAACTTGTGGAAACGCTGAAGGCCCCATCTAGAGCCAGTTTTAGAATAAAGACTGGATCTTTAGAGGTCAAGTGTGTAACATTCAGGAGGCTCTATTAGCAGAAATGTAATATAATATTCATAGGTTTTTTTTAATGTATGTTTTAGTGTATAATCACCTGAAAAATAATAATCGTTTAAGAAGTGTTTTTGTTAACTTAGCATTAGCCATTTTTATCTACAGAGTCCATGGCCTTTTATGTTTTTTGTGGCTGCACTAGGTTTTCCTACACGCTTGGAACAGTAGGGTGAGACCAGAAGGCTGTAGTCTGATACTACGCTGCTAGAATCCTATACAGCCTACAAACTGGACCTTTAACTATGTTTCTTTACTTTCAATTAAATTTTAGTCTCTGAAGGTTATTTTTTGCATGCCTCAGAAGTAAAACAGACCTGCTGTTTAGTCATTCACAGAACAGCAGGTTTGGAGCAGGTGGGGGTCCATAATGAACGTTAATACGCATCGCTCTCACCCACTATGTCGACATTGTCACTGCGGACGTTGTTGGCGTGGTTGAATGCCTCGCAGTAGTATCTTCCGCTGGATTCCTTAGACAACAAGGGGATGTTGTGTTTTGTGTAGTTCTGGTTGGAGGTGGTAGTACTAAGTGGCTGTTCACGGCCTTCACGGTACCACTTAAAGGTGACCGGCGGAGTTCCTCTTATACTACATAAGAGGTCGAGATAACCTCCCTCATAAAGGTTTTCTAAGCTGGGGAGGACGGTCACAGTCGGGTCCGACAGAGGCTCTGGGAGAAGAAAAGGTGGAAGAAAAGAGGTGAGATTAGTCAACACTGCTTCAATTATAAACTTCGATTTTATTATGTCATTAAAGCCCAAAAACCTTACAGACACTTTCATTACATTTCTTTAAAGAAATGGTTTGACATTTTGGGAAATATGCTACGTATAACATACATAGAACTATACCTTCTTAGATGAGAGGATCAATACCACTCTTATGTTTGTACAGTAAATATGAAGCTACAACGAGCAACTGGTTAGCTTAGCTTAGCATAAAGACTGGAAACAGCAGGTGTAAAAACGTCCATTTGATGTTAGGGGGGAGTTCAGGAATATTTCTTGGGTAATAGTCTGACACATAATTTCCTGTAAAACAGCAATCATTGTTTTTACACTTTTGTTTCTGTACAGATTAAACAAACAGATGTGTTGCTTTAGAGGTGCCTGTATGTGGTTCCCCCTGTTTCCAGTCTTTACTTTTTAGCAAAAATGGACGAGAAGATTTCAAAGTGCTAGAAAAAAAACAAACCCTGACAGCTGGACAAGTTTCATCTGCTGAGGAAGGTCGTGTTATGTGACTGAAAAGCTACTAAACAGACCTTGAAGTGTTCTGTCATTTGTTAATAGTTGCTTTTTTTCAGAGTTACATGCCATATAATCATATGACTCAACAGTGGTTATTTACATGTGGTGATCCATTTATGAGCAGTTTGATGAGCCATATTTAATATATAGTAATCATGTAAAATAAACATACATACTTGTTTTGAACATTTACCTATGACAGCAGTGATGAGATTTTTACTGAGCCCGCCCTCCCTGTGACTGTTCTTTGCCTCACACATGAACTTGTTTATTTCTTCAGGCTTGGTGATGGTGACTGTAAAGATAGCTTGTTGAGAGGACAGCTTGATGCTGGTTGTGCTCAGTGGTTTATAATCCTTGAACAGGGTGTAGTTTATCGGCAGGCTGCCAATGTCTGACTGACAGAGGATCTTGAAGGGCTTTCCTAGAACTGCCCTGCCATCCACAGAGATCCTTGGCACGGAGACATAAACTAAAGAGGATAAAGAAAAAAGTTAAACACACCGATTTCCTCTGGACAGATCAGATGAAGCAAAAACCAAAGGCCTGTCCAGACAAGATTTTTGTCATTCAGACACAGGTGATTTCTATGTAAATGCTCTGTCCGAGGTTTCTGCCTCTTAAAAGAAAAATTTCTTTTCCCCCCCCCCCCCAACTTTTTTTTTAAAGGAAGGGAAGGTTTTTTTTTAATAAAAAAAAAAAGAAAAATCCAAAACTTTTTTATTTTGGAAAAAGAAAAAAAAAAAATTATTTTTAGTTTAAAAAAAAAAAAAAAAAAAAAAAAAAAAAAAAAAAAAAAAAAAAATAAAATTTTTTTTTATATTTTTTTTTTTTTTTAAAAAAAAATATTTTTTTAAAAAAAAAAAAAAAAATAAAAAAAAAAAAAAAAAAAAAAAAAAAAAAAAAAAAAAAAAAAAAAAAAAAAAAATCGAATTAATGTCATCATTTAACATTATTAGATTAGATAGCAAATTATGCTGCCACTTGGGGGCAGAGGAAACTAGCCACGAAGACAACACTGACATATTATCACCTTTTAAATTAGTATGGCAAACTTGTTAGCAAAAGGCTGCTGCAGCCTTTATGTTATCAATAATGTCATGATGACTTTTATGTAAAAGTAAAATTTCTGATGCATTTACATAAATCCACTTTTAATTGGTTTATTCAAATTTGCATCTAGAAGAGGCATCAAGTAAGTTTACCTTTAGGACGTACAGTCAGAGCTTCACTGTGTTTCTTAATGCCCTTGGCTTCAGCAACACAGGTATAGTTGAATTCAAAATGTAGGGCCCTGCCAGAAAATACTCCATTGCCCCCGGGGTTCAGCGAGCTTTGTGGTGGATCAAGAGTGTAAGTCACATCTTCCTTGGTGAGTCTTTCAGAGGCATATCGCTCACATCTGCAGGTTATTTTCATAATTTCCCTTTGAAAGACTTCAGCTGGAGATATGGTGATAGTAGGTGCTGAAAACAGTTCTGTGGATAGATTTAAAAAAACAAATCATCATCTGCACTGATGTCACTTAGTGTAAATATTGATAGATATAGAGACACAATACCAACAAGATGCAATAAAAGATTATCAGGGTCAAAAACAAATGATTTCAAAAAAATCAATCAATAGGCTTATACTGGTAATACATTAATTACAATAGAGTGTAAAAGAAATAAAAAGGTTTGTAGTTTTCCTTTAGCACATCCTGCTGTTACGGATTAACATTGGTATTCATTTGGAGTCGTGTTATAGCTACTAGGTGAATGTAAGTCCAGTATTCACGCTTCTTTTGCTTTGTTTTTGGTCTCTACTAACTCTAAGGGAAAAATCTCTTTAGCTGCTAATAGCCTAATGCACCATGTTCACCAGCTACTTGCTGGTGAAAATAATTTAAAGATCATTTTTATTGACTCCTTTTGTGGTTTATTAAACTAGTAAAAGATTATCAGAGTCAAAAACAATCATCAATTGGCTATATTGATTGTTTATTAAAATAATTTAAGTGTTTTTGACTCTGATAGTTAAATAATTCAAATGGAGCATAAGAGAAATAAAAAGCTTTAAAACATGTAAATATTTAAGATTAAGAAAAACGAAAAACATATCAATAGAACACAGGTTTATATATATTTATATATATACAGCATGCACACACAGGTCTTTCCTCTGTCTACTCACCAGTCACTGAAAGTATCTTTGTGGCAACTTTCACTATATTTCCAATCTCTAATTTGCACTCAAACTCCCCAGGATCAATTGCCTTTGCAACCATGACGTGTTTAAGTGTTGTGGTTTTGTTTCCACTGCTAAGAAGGCTGTCCCCCTGGCTCAGGTAGAGATGGAAACTTTCAGAGTTGTGCAGAAGGTTGCTGATGGAACACGAGATGTCGAGTTGGTCTCCTTCATAGATTTTGTACTGAGGGCCAATCTCCAAAACTGCTGTGATGGGCAGCTCTAAGGAGACAAAATCAATGAAGAAAAAGCCCTGAGTGGGTCCAGTGCATAGAAAAGTACAGAAATTTGAAAATTAAGGCTATTTACCTTTGACTGAAACAGTGACATTGTTGCTGTCCTCAGACTTAAAGGACTCTGGCGTTACGAGGACAGTATAGGAACAGTGAATTTTGTGGACGCCAACACTGCTGAAGTGAAGCTTGATCTCTGCCTGGTTGGAACTGGTGTGCTTGTCCTGGAACTCTTTGGAGTCCTTGAAGAAGTAGAAGAAAATGGAGCCTGTCTCACCAGGCGCCGTACACCTGGCCGTTACCTCCTCCCCTTCAATGACCACACCCTTGTTAAGGTGGAGAACTGGTTTTGACAGGCCTGGAAACCCAAAAAGTGAAAAATGTGCTCAGATTTAATCCGATGGAGCTTGAAAAAAGTAAATGGAAATGAAACAGCACCATTTTCTGCCAGTGTTAAAGACATTTCCCTGTTGCTGTTGTATATAAACACATCATTCCCATTACTGAAATGTTTTGACTATTTTTTTAATCTTAAACACATAGGATTTATTATTGCTAAAAATGTACAGGAAAAAAAATCTAAGCAATCTCAGTTGTTCTCTCACCAGATTAACATTTTAGATCTTTTTTGGCATATCCTGCTAACAGATGTTTAACATATTTTTAAAATTTTTAGTTAGAAACTCTTAGTTTCTTTTGAAATGATTTATTATCAGATTCACCTGAACTTGATAAACAGATAATAGGCTACTGGATCCATAATAACAAACCAACCTGTTACTGTGAGTTTCTTGACGTCGCTGCTCATCTCTCTGCTCTCAATTTTAACCGTGCACTTATATTTGCCAGTGTTGAAGACTCTGGCCTCGGGCAGTAGGTACAGTAGATCCTCTGGGGTGCTGGAGGTCTTGGTGTAGACAACGTTGCTGTCTTTGTATATAGTGTACTCACGACTCAGCACCGCCTGCCCCGAGATGCTGACGAGGGCCTGGCATCTCAGAGTCACATTGGTGTCCCGTGTCACATCAGTACTGGGCTCGATGGACAGGGTGATGTTTCTTATCGTAACTAGGGAGTGAATTCAAAAATAAATAAATTAGACTTAATGTGCAAGCTAATCTACTGCCCTGAAAAAGAGTAGGCAGTTGACTTTGAGCTTTTACATTTTGACTTTAGACCATATTTATAATGCTTTAGCTTTGTCATTGCAAGTTATATTTGAAGTTCAATACCACCCTTTTGTCTATCTAACTACGGACCTAGAGCTGGAAGTGGATTATCTGATGTTAGCATAAAGAGAGTTCAGTTTGTTGTTTCGTGGTTAATGAGCTTTTGATGTGCTGGTAGGTGGATTTTTGAGCAGAGCCAAGATTTCCCGCTGCTTCCAGTCTGTATGCTAAGCTAAGCTAATTGACTTGTGGCTCTAGTTTTACTTTTTTACGTACAGATAGAGTGGTATCGATCTTTTCATCTAACTATTGGCAGAAAAGCAACAAACAGATGGAGAAAAAAAATGGTGAGATATAAGTTGTAGTAAATTGTCCTCATGGCTTCTTCTGGTACGATCATTACCAAAAAAAGAGTCTGAGAGTGGAGACAAAGTTCTGTTTCCAATGTTACGTTAACCACTATACACACTTAAATGGTTTCCATTCAACAAATCTTTTCTCTGTAGTTCTCTACATTTATTCATACACATTCACGTCACTGATATTTATGAATACTTTTTCTAGTTAACCGTATATGTTCTTTGGGTAACTTATATGTGATATTTTACTCTGTAGACTTACTGCTTTATTTGAATGTGAGCATCTATATGGTTTTATATTTTGTGAATTTCACTGTTCATTCAGGCAGACAGCACCATCCTCACAGTACTGGAAAAACAAAAGCAGTCCGACTTAAAGGCAGGGCGTCAAAACAACACATGCATGCTGTATGCAATGCTCTGTCTACCGACTGAATCCTTGTGAATGCAGCATTAGACTGTGAACATATTGACAGAGCCCTTTCTTGACCTCTCTATGGAGTCTATTTCTGTGTTCATCTCCTACCTTTAAACAGATTTACACCCTATACACATGTCTGTCAGATAACTACTGATTTTATCCTGAGGAAGGCCAGAAGCACCCAGACGTTGATGTACAAAGACTGAATTGGCGTCCAGAGTATTCAGTTGTACCCCCTTTCCTTTGAGCTTTTACATAGTTTGCAGATTAGTGGATTGAACAGAATTTCCTTTTAATCACTTCCCTTCATGCACTTCCTGTTCAAACCAACGCTCCTGAATGGTCATTTTGCTGGAATATTTTAAATGACCAGCGCTGAGATTTCTATTATAGTTGCCATTTAATTGAGTATCAGCTTGGCACTCAGGAAGCTGATGTGTTACCACGGAATTTCATCATCGTATGCATCATGAAAGCATCCTTTCTGGGTATGTGACTCACACAATAAACAATGCATGAATGCATGACTGTACAATTCTTAGTGATCTGATGTTAAAAAACAACCACAATGCCAGAAGATTCAAATAAATCTAAAAGAGCACCGTCTGTTGGTATGCAGCTGGGCCAGACGGAACCCATCGGCTACTGACGATTTAGCCCCTGGGGCAATGTTTCGGTGGTTCTAATATAAATATAAATAATATAAAACGGATATCTGGGCCAAAACTTCCTCTGCAGTCCAATTACCAACTTCATACTTGTGAATGATGAGCTAATGTCTAAATTATCTAAATCGTCCGAGGGGTTGTGAGATTGCATTTTTTGGCCAATGTGTTCCACTTCTTGTTGACCTGCATGCAACCAAGACCTGTTGGTCAATACTACTCGTACTACAAATGGAAACCAGATCGCTTCGAAACAGCTTTGGCGCTTTTTTGGAAATTTGCATTAGAGGAAATGTCATTGGTAGGACTGATCTTACAGGTATGCAATCGCAATGAATGATTCAGAGGAGATATTTATTGTCAGATACCAAGACTAAAAGAGCAACATTTTGTATTTTAGGAAACACTTTTTAAAAGTGACAACGGTCTAGTTTCTGCAGTGTAACCGGAGACAGAAAGCATCTGCACACCTACGTCAAGCCTCCCCACCTCATCACCCATATGGTGGAGTATTAGAGACAACAAGCTGCTGTTGTGACTCAGGGTGGGGTGTTGTGGGGCAGTAAACAAACCCGGAGAACAAGAAGAAAAAGGACAGGAAAAGCACTTTGTCAGACAAACAAGCCACTCGGGGGACCTTTCACCATTTCAGAGCCTGCTGAATCTGGCCCACGCCCAGCATCATTCAACAGACCTGGCAGGCCTGATGATGAGAAAAATCAGGCGTGCAGGGCAGAGATTTGCTATGGGCCCTCAAATGGTGTGTGAGTCATGGCAGGTGCATGCTGAGCCAGTGGTGGAAAGTAAGTACATTTACTCAAGTACAATACTTAGGCACAGTTCTGAGGTAATTGTACATTACTAGAGTTTTTACATTTAATGCTTCACTACATTTCAAAGGGAAATATTGCACTTTTTAGTCCATCATATTTATCTGACAGCTGTTTTGTGTCCATAACTTTCAGCTTGAGGCCCATTAAAAAAAGGAGTGTCTATGAGTCATCAGTTCTACCAAAGAGTGATTTCCCCTCTAAACCCCTGAGATGGTTTCACTGTTGAAGGCCCAGAGTTCAAATGATCCAATATTTCATTAAAAAGCATGGGCTGCATGGATGTACAAAAAATAAATACTGATTGGTATAGAAGAACTTTTTTCTTCTTTCATCTTTGGAACATCACATGTCAAAACTACCAAACTGTATATAAAGTAGTTAAAACTAGCTCCAGCTGGTCTAGGTGGATCAGTATTAATAACAACTTAATAATATTGTAATAATGGAGACCATTTTTACTCATACAAAATACATTTAGCTGATAACACTTCTGTATTTTTACTTAAAGATCCCCTCCAGACATGTAATAAGACACATATACAAATAATCTGCTTGGAACAGTAATGTGTGTCTGATGTGTTTTTTTCTGCAAAAAAAAACTACAATTCCCACATGAAAATCATCTCCTTCTTCCTCATGAAAAAACCCACAATCTCTGAATATGCAAAAGTTTATTTCTAAAGTTTTCCTGCTGGACACAAGATGTCTCCTCCTTCACTGTAAAGTCCATTCTCAGTGGATGTGCACTGGTGGATCACAATGTACAAGTTGCATACTGCTGCAGGAACAAGAAGAAAATGTTTTTGATTGAAAGGGAACTTTAAGAAATAATTTAAATGCAGGGACTTTACTTGTAATGCTGTATATTTACACTGGGCTATTGGTACTTTTACTTAAAAGATCTTCCCCCTTTGTGCTGTCTGTATCCACATAACATGACCAAGACTGAGAATATATGAGAGGTACAGTGGCGACTAAAAGGTGGATGAAGTGTGTGTGGGAAATAATAATATTTAATAAGCACCTGCAGAAATATAACCCCGGCTACATATATTAGTTATATTTTTTCTGTTCTCTCTAATCCTTGCACTTTTCAAATGTAAAAAATTCTCTGCCTTAAAATGTAAGGTCAATAAAGTGTTATATTGTATGTTTAATGTCTTGCTTTTGTCTGTGTATTGTATTAAAATGAGCAGTTTGTGATACCTGATTTAAAAAGGTACAACATTTGGTTTTATATGCCAGTGTTAATATTATTACAATCAAATAAGTGGATTATTATTATTATTATGTCTGATTTTCTTCAATTCTCACTTTTTTTCTGTTAAAACAGTGGATCACCGCTTCAGCTCAATAAAACACATTCAGAAAGAACAATCTCACAAGGGTATATCTGATAAATCGCTTATGTAAGAAGCAACCGCAAACATTAGTAATCAAATATAGGTCTTTCTTCACGTCCTGAGTCTGGCCCTGGCTCAGACAATGCCTCCATCTCTACTACAACTGATCCGCACTGACTCATGCCTTCCATCACTGACCAAGTCAAGAGGACAGGGAGGCGTGTGACACTGCTCGCCAACATGTTCCCAACGCTTCCTACCACAGCCTTTCCACCGTAACAGACACCAGAAAGCTCTGATAACAAACAGGACTGTTTCCACTGACTGACCATGTGTGTGTCTGTTTTTTAGTGGCCGATAACTGAAAAGTCTTCCAACTCAAAGACCAGTAACCTATGTTATGTTCGTATGGAAAGCAAAGCAATGATGCTCCATAAACACAGACCCTATTTTTTAAACAACAAATATTATCTAGATTAGATTAGATTTGGTGTATGATTTATTTTAGACTATACTTACATGACTGTGCGTTCACCACTCCCCATGGATGGAAGTCTTGGGGCAAGATAAGAAAGTAAAGCACCAGGTTAGAAACAAATCTATCAACCGACTCCACAAAAAGAAATCCAGAGAGTTCCTATGCAGAAGATAAAAGGTCAGCGGTCTTACAGCTGGACAGGAGTGTGGAGGTGAGCAGTAGAAGGATGGTCATCCTGTCTGAGGGACACTGAGGCTCCCAACGCTGCTGGCTGTCCTGGAGGTTAACAGACTTGTGACTATGGCAGTTGATGGGCAGTGTGTGGGGGGCAGATCTGATACTGGTGGGTGGGAGCGGACACTAAGGTGGTGCTCTACCTCAGCCACTCAGTGGTCAGCCAGCAGTGGCGGTTATCAACGCGAGCAGCCGTCGGCTTGGCTTAATTTGCCAGGAAGTCAGTGTTGTTTCCTCAGGATGTTCGTGCCGCCCTGACTCTTTGCTGTTGTGGAATGTTCTCCTCCTTCATGTATGAGTGTGTGTGGATGTGTGTGTGAAATGGTAGTCACAATAATGGTGTATTGCTTGGGGTGCAGTAGTCAGGCCTTTCACCTCTGACCTTGGCTGGCAGGGCCGGTGCAGGTAGAGAGAAGAACAAGACGGGACAACATTCTTTGTGCTGCAAAGCCCATTTCCTGATGTGAAGATAATGGTTTAGTTCAGCTACTGAAAACTGTTTTCACTCACATAAATCTTGGCCTAACTCGTATGTAGCTGGAACTATTTTCACTGGTACGCATTGTTTCCATCATGACTTACACCCTGATGAACTACTCACATTTGACTTTGGCAGTTAGTCAGTGACTTCATTCGAATTCAAGATGTAAAGTGAATTAAATGATGCAAGATATATATATATAAAAAAGTTATTTCAAAGCCATGTTCAACGAAAGCAAGTGAAACTAAAACTGAAATCTCAAATACAATGATCCCACCAAATATGGTTGACATAAAAGCAGCTCTATTCCAGCCCTGTTGTGCGTTTTGGGGAGCTGTGGAGCCTGCTGACACGGCCAAATTTTCGCCAGCTCTGACGTGTGCTGATTTTTTTTTAGTTTTTGAGCATCCTAAGCCTCTTAAAGATTTTGCAATAGTTGATAAATAATCATCTCTACAAAAACAATAGGTCCCATTGGTAACACCCGCGTTAACCCAAGGGGCTCCTAACTAATCCTGAGCCAAGCTAGCATAGCTTTAAGATAAACAAAAGGAGCGGTCAGTTACTGTACTTTCTGTGTACTGTTTATTTACAGCAGCAGCTCATCACTAACAGTGTTGCTGCTGTGACTAACTACATTTAGGTAAATAAAGGAACATCTTATCTTATCGTGTCTTATCTTAAAAGTCTGAAAAAATAACCCTGATGACTTTTGGTTATCCCCCAGCATTTTGGGGCTTGACCCAAGGGCTAAAAGTCAGGTCCTATTTTGACCTCTATTGCCACGATTTTGACCGTTCTGTTTATTCACACATTTTTTGTCATAATAAAAAAATAAATAATGAAACCCGTTTAATTCTGTGTCATTATTTAATTTTGTCTGTTCAGTTGTTGAGTTCATATGAATTCTTGAATTGAAATATTACATAGGGTGTACGCAATGGTTCCCAACAGAAGCTTGAAGACATGCATCCAATTCATTTGAGAAGAATTTACCTTAGTGCTTAGATACAGCTATTAATTTGTTTTATATGTAAATAATACTTCAGTATAGCTATTTCTAATGTGTCTCAATGACATTGAGCTTCAGTTTAAGGTTTTCATAATGTAGATGCAGACAAAACATTAGGAGGACCGCAGCAGAATACTGCTTCAAATGTAAATGTCAGAAACAAACAAAATCCGGTGTTGTATTTGGTTTATTTCATTGATTTCATCTCCTGTCTTATAAACCACAGTCAGCAAAGCAGTCTACAGTCACAGAGACAAACCTGATTGTTTTCATTTTTCCTTTCTGACTACTTTGATAAAGTCTTTTTCTTCAGATCTAAAATCTTAAAACTCAAAACAGGATACTTAGAGATGAATGTGATTCTGAGCAAACTGCCCGACGCCAAAATACACGATTTGGGCTGAGCCGGTGAAGCAGTTGAGGCCTGCTAAACCACAGAGAGCGCTAAAGAGCACAGTGACGGGGTGATAGTGGGGACTAATGTGGTCACTGCAACTGCAGTCGCTTATACAGACTGTATGGTGTGTGTTCCCAGTTCACTTTCAGTCATAGAGTCTATTCCTTCTGCGGGGAAAAGCAAAGCTCAGGACAGCCGATGCAGAGGGGTGAGGTGGGCGTGGCAGGAAAGAAAGGAGGGGGCGGCTGTTGCAGTACACTAGGGATGAAGGGGGCATGGTAGAGCAATGTGTGTGTGTGTGTGTGTGTGTGTGTGTGTGTGTGTGAGAAAGAGGGTAAGGCTGTCCCCACTTTTTTCCCCCTCCACCTCATGGAGGCTAAGGCAAACAAATGCCAGCAGAATTAAAAACATAAAATTACAAAACTGAAAGAGAAAAAGCTTTTAAAGATTGTAAAGAGTTTAAAAAGCTGAATAAGCAAAGCTGCAGCCCCAGGAAGAGGCACACTGATGGTGATACTGCACAAAAAAGAAAAAAGAAAATCAGAGGCCCCCCCCCTTCTTATAAAAGAGGTGCCTTTACTTACGTCAACAATTTCCATAATCTCTGGAGTGACACCGCACCATGTCATGTAACTAACTGCACCAGTCCATCATGCTGCAGACACTGGGGGAGGCTGGTAGTTGCTCAACCTTGGTTTGAGGTGGCTCATGGAGTACCTGAGCGAGATTTAGGACGCTGACTAAAACTTGACACAGTGACCATGTACAGGTACAGAGTTAAAGAGAGTGCCACAGTTCTGATGACACCAGCATTAACATGCAACTCACTTTACGCCTCAACTGTGTTAAACAAATTCAAACCAAACATATCTGGCAATAAAATCCTAAATAAAAACTCAAAGAAAAAAAAAGAAACCTTGCAGAAGGTTTAATCAAAATGAAAAATGGTTCAAACAGTGGGGTGGCAGCTGATCCCTGGTGTGATGAGTCACATAACCTATAAGTTCTTAAAACCTGCAGTGTGCTCAAAGGGAGTCTCAACTGAGCTGCCCCTCACTGTGATTAGATAAGCAACCAGGGTCATCTTCTATATATTTTTTCCAGATGCCAGAAAAAGATCGACTGGCACATGAGGGCCAGTGCCCTCATCTGGAGCTGGCCAAAAAAGTATTTTCAGGGCTTCTTTTGCTCTCTTTTAATTCCACATTGGGAGGACTTGGACATATTGGTTAATTTAATTGATATCTCTCCTGTCAATGGTGTGAGCTGATGGGGTAAAAAAGGCACCCATCTGATACTACGAGTATGTAAAAAGAAAGAATTACACCGCTGTGAATTGAAATGGGTGTGTTTGTATTGCTATACTGTGGCACCTCTGGGTGGTTGGGTTGTGGGCAACTGTCTGAAGCTATCGATGGCATTCGGTGCTGCTATCACCTTCGAGCTGAAGTGTTATTTTTCCGTTATAGGAAACGTCGAGGAGGAGCTTGAGGCTGAATCAAGGGAGGTTTTTATTGCTTTGCAGGGCAGGCAGGCAGGTGCTGCAGAATCCCTATAGGACTGGGTGCTTAGCATAAACCAGCCCTCCTCTCACTGTGCTAGATATCAGGGTATGTGTCATCCTAGGGGCCATAGAGGGTTTCCCTTTTTACAGGTGATTAAGTTTAGAAACAAATTAACCCACAAAAACACCCCCTTGAGCCACAACAAAGGGGCTTGCATGGAAAATAGGATTATGTTTGGCACACTGGGGTCAGGAAGCAAGAAGGAGAGTTCTAGCATGGGAGCAGGCATTTTTTTGGGCATCATTTAAGTCCAAGGCTATGAGGGCCCACTGTGGGGAACATCTGTGCTATAATCCATTTTAACACACACACACACACACACACACACACACACACACACACACACACACACACACACACACACACACACACACACACACACACACACACACACACACACACACACACACACACGAAACACTCATCACGTCAGCTTCGTCAACGTGTCAGGCAAGAAGGAGCACAGTCCACCAGCTCTGGGTTCGTCCTTACAAACGTCTTGCAAAGTAGCAAAACTCTGTGTCCATTACAATGAATTTATAAACACACCGGGGTCCAGCGGAGGGCAAGCTCGTGTTTCCTGCACCAGTGAATGTGTTTCAACAGTCTGTGTTGTCCTCTGGGCGACCCCCCCCCTCCCTCAGTTCACTGGGGTCACAGTTCATTCAGGTAGTGATGCTCGCTGTGCGGCGAGGAGGAGCCCCCGTGATCGGTGGGTACCACTTCTTTAAAATAGAACCTCTATTCTTCTGTATACGCTATTTAAATATACACACTCCTCAGCACAGCCAAGTCTACAATCATTAGCTTCATAATAAGAATATGAATAAACAATGAGAATAATAATAAGAATATTTATATCGTCGTTCGTAGCATGAGTTTTTTGTCAGCAGCCATCACTAGAACATTCAGGGTGGTAATTGCATATGTACAACAAAAATGTCATTTACATCCCGGAGCTGGGGGCTCAGGGTCAGAAGTCATATGTGGTGGTTTTGTTGGGGAGGGGGGTGATGAATGCTGGTGTGTTATCTGAGCCTCTTCTCTGCTGAATAAATGGACATGTAGTAGTCGTTGCTGCCTACCGCCAAGTGGGGCTGGAGGGAGACGAAGAGAAAAGCAGGTTAGACAGTCTTAGTTTACTACAGGTGAAACGTCAAAGTGTGTGTGTGTGTGTGTGTGTGTGTGTGTGTGTGTGTGTGTGTGTGTGTGTCTGTGTGTGTTCCCAAATATTTTTTGGCAAACTGTAAAACAGACAATTTGTTGAGCAATTACCATTAGGAATATAGTCCATGTCAGTATGTCCTTCACAAATGCAGTGATAATGTAATAAAGCTTAAAAGCCCGCTAATGTAGCAACATAATGTTAGCTAATGCTAGCTTAAGTGGCAATGAGCAAAAGTAAAAGAGTTCCTTGAGCAGAGAAGCTGATGTGTTTGCTACATAAAGGAGCAGGGAAAAGTGAGATGTTGATATTAAATTTAGAGGAAATCAGAAGTACTTGACTCTCAGGCTGTACACAGAAGTGGTGCCAACGTGTGCCAACAGCTGACAGAAGATGGCTGCACTGAGGCACCAACGGCAAGATGGCGTATTTGGAGTGCAAAGGTTAGAGATGAACAATAATTGCAGACGTGATAAAAAAGTATAGGTATACTCTATGTTGCTGACGTCCATGACATTCTGCTCAGAAATGCACTTATGTATGTACTCACTAACTTGCTAGCAACTAGTTTGGGTCATGAACGACCAATGGGCAGAGTGATGGGTGGATCGTGTTGAGTGGATTCTATATGAGCTACTCCGTTCTAATGTCCTCAAGAAACTGATCTTCCAAACACGTTGATATGAGATGGTTAGACTTGGCATAATCTGTGGTGGAAAGGTTTACTTAAAGCTGCACTAATGCAGTGTTTTGTTTACTTGGGGGTAGTGGAAATTACAACACTGACATGTTATCACCTTATAAAGTTGATATGGTGAACCTGCTAGCAAACAACTACATATTTACACATCCAGGACAATCAACGTTAGCCTACATTTGGAGTCGTGTTTCTGGCCACCTGTAAGTCTGTTTTTGGTCTTTTGGTGTTTTTGGAACGTAGCTGCTGCTGTAGACATAAAAGAGTTGCGGGCCAGAAAACCAAAATAATGACCTAAAAGCTGTGTAGAGCTGAGGGGAGTTACAGAGTTGGGTGATAATTCTTTCCTTTAACATTACATAAAGTGGTTTGTTCATTTGTTTATACAAAATATTGATAAGGTGTAGCTTTAAATGCAATTTTGAGTTAGCTCAATTGTAAGGTACATGTTAAGCTTCCTTTTACTGCACTTAGTCATTCTCAAATGTTTGATATCTACTGGCCCAGATGTACGACAGCATGAGTACTGGTGTGGGTAGTGAAAAATAAGTGTTACTTTACCCAGTAAGGATGGAAGGCTAAACAGCTGATGGCCCCAATCCTTTGTCCCATGAAGCCGTCATAGTACTTTATGTTGCTGATCACATCGCCGTTAGCATTGTAGACTGCTATGAACTGGTTCATCGATCCACTGGAGGGCAGAGGATAAAACGTGGACATCACATCCATCATAAGCTGTGTATACTGCAATGGATTTCTTTTGTGGTGAATCTTTTTCAACTTAAGTAAATACAGGAAGAACAAGAATCCTTTTGTCTTCAATTTAGACAAATGTAACAAAGTAAGGACAACACAAATAAAAGAAATGCCCTTGCAGGGATCTGACATTCACATTGTGGACACTTTATGAGCCTTTTTGTCAGGGCTAGAACCTACATCTATACAAACATACTCACCAGGCAAACAGGTTGGCCTGCGGGTGGATGTCCAGGGCTGTTAACCCCTTCACTGTCTGTAGCACGTTGATGGAGTCCGGCGACCGAGGTTCAAAGAATCGAACATCTCCGTTAACACTGGTGGGGAGCGTCACAGTCAGTACAGGAAAACAAACAAACAAAAAAAAAGTTTGGGTTGTGTGAAAGTTAAGAGACAAAGAAAGAGCGTACCTGACGCTGATAATATGTCCGTCTGTCTCCTTCTGTAGGTGAGCTTTGACCACCCAGGCTCCGTGCTCCCTGTAGGTCATCACCCGGCTGCAGACACACAACAGACACAACAAATGTCAGCCAAGGTGAGAACTGTGTGTTTCTTCACAATGACCTGACAGGAAACGCAGGAAAATAACACCAGAGCCGTGAGACTGTGAACATCATCAGCACCAGTATGCTCAAAGCCTAAAACACAGTTACAGCCATAACACCAAAATAAACTGAGGAAGAGATAAAATAAGGAAAGACAGAGACTAGACAATCCCATCCTGTCGCCGTAAACCGTGCAATTCCTCTGTTTAACTTTCACCCATATTTATATTTGTGATGTAAAATGATGATTGTCTTCTCATCAACCTGCAAGGCACTTGTATTTCTATCAAATTCACAGGGCTTTATCGGCACACCATATTCCTTTATAATATTGCCATTCATTTACAATATATTCAAAACACTGTTAATAAGAGAAAAGAAACAGTACATCAACATAATATTTAACAATTAACAAAATCCCATGTGTGTGTCTATGAAATTGGGAGAACCTGATTATTAAGGATCTGGTTCAACATTAGAGGTAATTACTTCACGAAAAACAAAAAGAGCTGAATTTTAGGACACACAATGAAAAGTTGCTCCTGAGGACTGGAATCACCTGGATCAGTTTAATTTTGGAACGATGGAGTCTGCCTATGTGCTGAAGCCCTTCCTCTTATATGTCATGCAGAAAACAGCAGTAACATGTAATATAAGTGAGAAACCACTGGGGGGCACCATTGGATCATGGCTGGAAAAAGCAATAATTGTCTCCTGGAGAGACTGAGATGCCATTAGAGCTAAAATGAAAACACTAAAACCATCTTTTTAGAACTGTGCTGCCCCCAAATTATTCACTTCCCATAATGCACTCATATACTTCCTGACAACAGGTGTGACAGGAAGTATTTGATCTGCTTAAAGTTCAAGGACAAAACATTTGGTGAAAACATCAAATTTTATTATTTTCTCCCAGAGCTGACAACTCGAAGCAGAAGAGGTAGAAAAAACACAGATTTAAAACAATTGACAGTAATTTTTAGATTTAAAGCCCCAAAACACAATTTTTAAACTGCTGCATGCCTGAAGCATACTAAACAGTTCATCAAAAATATTCCAAACATGACCTGTATGTGCTGTCTGCTGGTCCTGGACTAATCTCTGGGGGAGCAACATAGTTGCTGAAAGATGTAACTCCATGCCTGAGGGGAACTATTAAATTAGCTTTACTCAAAGATTTATGGGCCACTTCATGGTTTAACTGCTTTGTTTTTTCCCCTTTGGGACTGAAATTAAAATAATGTTTAACCAACTGGGGGGATACGGTGCCACCAGGGTCCATTAAAAGATGTGGCAACCCCAAAGGGAGATTTACAGCACACTATATGTAATAAATATAGATTAGGGAAGTTAATAATGTAAGACTCTGTAGGAGTTAATGCTCACAGAAACTGCTGTGTGTTCTTGAATGTATTTAAGTAATGATGAGACAGTAAAAGGAGTTGGGAAATTAATAATCACTTTAACCTTCTCTGTGATACGAAAGCGATGAGGTCAGAGGTTGCATGCAAGATTTGAGATAGTGTGCTTTACCATTCATTGGGACCCATCCTCCTGTCGAATACGCGTACAGATCCGTCACCCAGACCGGCAACGATGAGCGAACGCTGGGAGTCACAGGACAGGCTGGTCACACAGCTGTCTGCTCCAGTTGGGATGTCCTGGTGGACGCACACAAACACACAAAACCCCATTAGAGGTTTGTAAAGATACCTACCAAGGTACCACTGTCATTACAATGCCCCTTTCACACTAAACCTTCTTTAAAATCATCAATCATGTGCTCTGTTGACTGTTGGCTCATTTGGAGTTGGACCCAGCATCAATATGCAGCCACAGGCGAGGCTGGGGCATTTGTACTTGTATTAAGCCCATCCATCAAGACAATGATTAGCACACCAAGGACCATTAGATGTGTAAAACCAAAGAAAAAAGGGAAAAGAGGAAACCACCCTAATGGTACTGGCTCTCCCACAGATTTCCATTAGTTTACTGAAACAGCATCAGTATACTGTACACTGGGAACATTATGTTGAAACGGGAATAGCTAGTATCACAGACATGATTTATTCATGTTGTATTATCAACAGTTATTATTATATCATCAGGAGGGTTATGGCTTCAGTACTGATCGTGGGTGTGTTTGTTTGTCAGCAGGATGATGGGAAAACTAGATAGGGTATAAACTGTGCAAAACATGAATCTTCACATATTTGCATGTGATTGAACTGTCTGGTGATATATCTTCACATTCCTAAATACTGCCATAATTTTCATGAAACTTATTCGAAGCGTGTAGCATGGGGCAAGGAACAAACCAGCACATTTAGAAGCAGGTTCAAAACACTGGGCGGATACACAAATTATTTTTCACTTTTGCTGTGGTTGTGCTTGCAGATTTGCAGATCATAGAGGACAGGACTATTGGCGTTAGCAGATTCAAAGGTTTTTTGTTGGTTGTACAGGCACGTGTAGAACATGACATGATTTCCATTAATTCTGATAAAACCAAAGAAAGAGATACATTTGCTACAAATTACATGTTGGGATGATGGCTGCCTCGCATATCCTGCGTTCTTTTGGAGCGTTGTTGTGCACGTCCTCAGAAATGAATGTAACGCATCCGCGATGTGAACACAAGTTTATATATCTACAGCTTACGGGGTAAAATAATGAATACCTTATTACTATCAATATGTCTAAAGGATTTCAAAAAGACGGCCAATTAGTTTCAAAAACATGAGGAGATCTACATTTGAGTAAATAGTACTTTGCCAGCAGAATAGGGCAGACAGCAACCATTTGCCAACACAAACCAACTAATTCTCCAACTTCACACACTGCAGCCTCTTGACGATTTGTTAACCCATTAATTTTTCATTTATCAAAAAATAAAATGGAAACAAAACTATCTTCAGTAACATACCTGCAAGGCCTGAATGCCAGGTTTCACACCAGCTAATAAACAGTTACAAAATGTAATCCTTGAGCCAAGGGCTACCTTTTCACCAAGTTCCAGCTGTATTCATTGTGACCTTTTTGAGAAAATTTGTCATACAAACAGGGTCACTGAGTACCTGGACCTTCATCTCCCTGTCAGTGTCCCAGATCCTGATGACTCGCACATCTCCAGACGTCATAAGGAGACCCGTCTCCTGCTCCCAGTCGACAACCATGCCTGCACCTGCAACACAACACAGCAGTTATAATGTAGAGCATGTACACACAAACATGCATCAACACATGTACACTCCATAAAACAAACAACAGCAGTGTGCTCTTAATAGACTCATACATCTGGATTGATGTCACATCAATCAATTAAAAGAAAACAAAACAAGGTGACTTTTAATCACAATTAAAACTGGAAAAAAGCTTCAAAATATTTAATTACTGAGAATTATTTGTACACAATATGTGACCTGAAGTTTTAATTTATGTATTTTGCTCAGTTAATTTAATTTATAAGTGAACACTCACACATATAACCACACACTGACACAGCTGTTTAACACACCGAGCATGTGTTGATCCCCCAAATACACAACCCACACAATCTGTTGGTGGTGTAAGAAGGCTCTTGCTGCCACATGTAGCAAGTCAAAGGAAAGATTAGTGCAACAGCTTTCTGCACCACTGTGTAACTAACAAATATACCACAAAGAATTCAGCAAAACCAGAACTACTGATTTCTGCAGAGCCTGCAGATGCGTACGCAACAGCTCTTTATCAAGGTTTTTTGCTAAAAGTTAAACATTTCTGAGTAAATAAACATGCACTTCATGCAGATGGAAACATGGTTAAGCAGGGTTTCCCGCAGCACTTTGCAGCTAAGGCAGCCGCCTTAGCAACACACGCCTGCCGCCTTGACAACGTTGTCAAAAAAAAAAGAAAAGTAGGCCGAGTGATATGAGCAATATGAGCGATATCCGCCGTGTTACTCCATCCTGTTTTCTCCCTTTCATTCCTAACCACGTTTGATGATTGCACGTGATTTTCTCTCGCATTGTACACAGCCAAATGGACAGAAAAACGCAACCTCACCATCCGCACTGCACCGCCCCGCCGATGGCAACCAATACACTAACCCCCCCCCCTGGTCTGACGGCCTACCACCTTGACTAACACATTTCCTGTGGGAAACCCTGTTTAGCATTTTGCATCCTTCTCAACAAGACGACCACTGGGAGATACAAACACTGACCCTGGAACTGAGCCTGTCAGCAGATTCTGGTTTAGATGAGTCAAATGCCACTCGAGTGAGAATGTCGGGAGGGAAGAAGCTGAAGACAGCCTCATATGTTGGCAGTCACAGCAGGAATCAAGCGAGCAGTGCCATGTCGGCCACACTTGCCCTGCTGGCTCAGTGATGCCTGGCAGAGGCCTGTGGCTGCAGGCGTCAGTACACTTCAAACAAAATGCTTGTCGGATCCCAGAGCAGCATCTGAAATCCTCTCCCACTGCACCTTTCTGATGTTGGAATTTATATAACTTTCCAAAACTGATGCGACAATCGGCATTTCATGCAGCAGCTGGTGAAGTAAGAATGTAAACAGGGTTTGAACTTCTCACTTAAGTGCAACGTCTTTAACCACATCTACCTTTCTTTATTTTTTCCCCATTAAAAGTCATTTTATGCCTTCATTGATAGTTAAACAAAGCTCCCTGGTCTGATGTGAACTGATGTTGCAATTCATGGTCGGAACCCTTTAAAGACTGTAATAACTTTATGCTGTTGGGAAACCAGTGACTATATAGAAGTGGAAAGTATAATATCGGTTTAAGTGGACCATCAGCAGCAGTGGAAGAACCGCAATTCCCATTAGAGTGAAGGTGCTCTTTTGATATTGGAAGATTATTTGATGAAAAAGAAGGAATAAATGGGCAGGTAGGGAATCCAGAAAGGAAAATGTACACGAAAACAATCTCCATCTTTGTCTCACAATGATGCTTTTACCACAGATGCAAGAGAAGCCATCAGTATCCTTTTCTCTCCTTTTAAAACTCATCAGACCATGCATCACTGCCTTCTCCCCTTTCCTCTCAGTCACTTCCTCTTCCTATTTTTTCACAATCAATAACCAAGGATAAGGACTCCATTACTTTGCTCTTCTCTGGCCTCGCAGAACAATAGTGAAGATGTACATCCTTTGTGATCCTTTCCAACTGCTTATCTCTTCCGGGTGCCTACTTTACAAATCGTGACATAACTTTCTTCTACTGAACCATCTATGACAGGGTTTCTACTGTTCTACTTGGCTTGGGTTGTCAGGAAAACCCAAGCCCCTTGTGGCGGATTTCAATCCTACAATGTGACGTCATCCGGCCTCCTGCTCAGGCGTCACAACGATGGTAGTGTGGGCACGTGTGTGGGGATAGCACACAGGGAAAACCACTTCACAGTACAAGGCTTAGTCAGCGACACGTTCAGAGTCGCATGCGGGGACGCTTGATGCTGGCTCATTTCAGGGACTGCGACAAGAGAGCAGGCATTCCCTTTGAAGCTGGCAGCTCTGAGATGAGGAAATCTGGGTTACAATGAGAGCGGTTGCACAAGATTCTCCAACACACAAAAGTGTGTGCATTTATTTCCTGTATAAAGAAGCACACATGCCACCAAACCATCTCACGATTTAGATTCAGTTTAAGCCCTCCTAATACATCATTATTTTTCCCTCTGTCCCGCTATGATGAGAAATCCATTGTGGATAAAATAAAATGTGTATGAAAGGAAATCCCCAGCAGACTTAGCACTGCTATGGTCTAATTGTCTCTGTGTTTTGGTTGCTATTTTAAGCATTGTTTGATTTTCCTGCTAGCAAAACTAAAATGTTGGACACCTACAGACCTCTCTGTTCCTTCCACTCTGTACAATGCACCCAGTTTCTCTGTGCTGGAACACTACCTGGCCCCATGTTTGCTGTGTGGTACTTAAATAATTAAACAATCATTATAATTTAGGAGAAGGTGACATAATAATGAAGGTCTTAAAACTAAACTCCGTCTTGAGTGACCTTCAAATTGAAGGAAAATACCATTATATTACAACTTGGCTCTTCCTTTTGTGGGTCTGGCCATTGTTTCTATCAGCAAAAACAATTTATTGTTAGAAAGAAGGCAGATGAGACTAAAAACATGAGCAGTTAGATGAGTTGTAGACCAATTCCCAGGTCAGCTAAATTTGTTTGGAAGAGAAAACGAAAGCCTAACATAATGTTTTTATTCAAACTGCCCGTAGTTAATATTCAACCTCCCTTTCAAATCAGAATGTCTGAATACAAAAATATCAAACAATGAAGGGGGACAAAGCTCAATGCCACTGGGCAACAAATCATACTTTCAATAATCAGTTGGGAGATGAACATAGCCTAACCCAGTCAGTGTGGTCTGTTGGATAACATTGTAACAGCTCACACATCCACTAGTGGAAATAGATTAACTTGCTACACAGATCTGCAACCCTTCAGTTTTGTCTCTCATGGTCAACGCTCAGCCGCTCAAAACGGGCTAAAAGTCTGCCTCGGAGGGAACCTTTGTGGAACTGAGCAGGTCTTAGTTACCCACACAGAAATCAATAAAGACATGAAGAATAGAGATGTGAAAAGGCAGAGCAGGAGCAAAGGAGTGTGGGCAATGTTTCCTCAGCAGTAAATCTTACCACCTTACATAGGTGGAGGCATAGATAGCTTCGATGTACATTCTCTCTTAAAGCCTTGTCTCTTTCCTTCACTGCTTGAAATCAAATGTTGTTCACCCCCAATAACAATATTAAAAGCAATGATATTGTTAGCAGAATGGCTTTTCCCTTGTTGAATCTTTGGCAAGCAGGAAAAAAAGCTACTTTTAACATCACTAAGGGCCGGGCTGCCAGCAGTTGTGGTAGATCATCTCGTTCCTGTGCCAGTGTGCCGAGACAATCCCTGATTTGTGATATATTTATCTATTCCTTTGCATAAATATCTTTGTTTCACTCCTCTCTGTCTCTGGAGAAGATGCATTCTTATTCTGCACCATTATCTCCAGTGATGGACTAGCTCTCCCACACACTGCAGCTCATTAAACCAGTGCTGCGGCCTTCCTGGTTCTTCTCCCCCTCAGCGTTTTCCCCTCTCTTCCCTTCATCGCATTTACTTTGAAAAGGTCCTCCAGGACTCCGGTAATAATGCTTCTCCAGGATAACAGAGGACTTGCCAGTATGTACGTGCCTTTAATAGAAGATGACGTTATCTATGGGAGCGCTCTGACTGGCAGGGAAACTTCCCTGCTATGGCATTTGTCTAAGCTTTAGAGGCCGAGGCCTGACATTTGGGGAGGTAAAAAGCTTTGACTTGCATGGTTGTCAAAAACCCTGTGAAATGAAGCATAACCTTCATGGCATTAGCACTTGCTGACCTGATTATAGTGGACAGGAGACTAATACTAACTTCTTAAATCATTTTACATAATTCACGACAAGGGACATCCCTTGGACAACAGATGGAACTTAACACATGATTTCAGGCGACAATACCAAACTAAACATTGCAACTTGGCGAGCGGGGAGTCAAATATAAAGAAGAAGCTCAACTTGTGAGTGTATCATCTTATTGAACTTGACTATTTAACATTAAAAAGTGGTCTACAGCTGTATTCAACAAATTCCTTCTATAAAAAGATACATTCTTATGTATATATATATTCTATATATTCTTTGACCTATGCTTCAGTTTCTCTATGAAAAGGATAACAATCTGCAACTTGTGGTTTTGGGGAGAGGACCTAATGTGTGTTTAGTCTACTGCTTTCCTGCTGTAATCGCACTTTAACAACGTGTGTGAGAATGTGAGAGAAGAAATTCCTGTTGCTTGTCATCGTCGTTTTTCTAGACCTACACTATAACTGAAACCCCTAGCTTTGCATCACAGTAAAGACTGCAGACAAAAGAAGTGACTGTGCCTGGAGGCTTTTTGTGTCATTTTCCCAAAACTTCCAAGTCATGTACCCCTCTCCAACTCCACAACGAGCCCCGGTTTGGATTTAGCGAGTTCCCAGAGCCCCAACGTTAACAAGGCACCAGGCAGTAGAGCCAAATGTAGAGCAGCACACAGCGTATGCCTCCCTAAAGCCAAAGAGGAGAAGGCTGCCCTACATTCACTTATGCAGCCAAAAAACTAAGAGAAAGAAGATAACACAGGAAAACAAATCCCTAATCTTGAGCAACCACGTGGGTAGAATAAGTAGAGAAAGGGAATGGCAGTAAATGAAGAAGAATAAAAAACCAATCTCAAACATTAACTGCATGTGGATCAAAACGTAATTATATCGACTCTCAATCTAATCTGCAGAGAAGTGAAGTCTGTGTGCTGTGCAGTAGCCACAGGAATAGTTTCTCCAGTCTGTGCCAGTGACAGTCCCCTAATTTCACTGGTTCCTCTGGAGTTTAACAAGATAATCCCTCCGGCGAAACGGGCTGGGTTGCTCTATGCTATTAAAATCACACAGCACCAACATGCTCCCAATTAAACACTGACACCTTTGGGACAAGCTTGAATAAGTGTATTTTTTATACATGAGAGAAGCCATTTTAAGGTGAAAATTAGTAATGGGGGCAGTGCCTGTCTGAAGAGAGAGCTTGGCCATGCTGAAGGCAAGAGCTATTTTCTCACTCTTTAAAGAAGCATCTATTTGAATTGAGTTTTGTATGTAGATTTCAGCCAAATACAGTTCACTAAATCCCTCCCCTAAACAGAGATTGTCCAATAATAGCTTAGCAACCGGAATGACGGCAGGTCTGTCAAGCTTTGGATTTGTCCATATGTTGAAGTGGTGTCCTTGGTAATGGTAATGGTAATGGTAAGAGGGATACTTGGCATTTAAAAAGTATTGAGGGTGGTGCCAAAAACACAACACATGTGCATGTTCAGATACTTTGCTTACTGCCCGCATTAAGCTAGTGTTACCTCTGATGCACAAGGACTACATAATTAAGTAATGACATTAGTTTGTGGTTATGTCCTGCACACCCTCTGTGTAGTATGTCCCCATTATGTGGAAGCTGGTCCTGGACTGCTGCTCAGACTTTATGCTAACATTAGCTGCTCTGCTCTGCTCTTTATTGGATTTGTGGATGTTTTCACTCCAGCAACCCCCGCCAACATTACCTTTGAGAAACATGAGTTAGTCATCAAATATTAAAAGTAAAACGTACGGTTTGAAAAATACAAACAAATATGAGCTAAGCAGCAGTTATGTTAGAATAAAATACGAGTCGGATATTCAATTTTTCCTTGTCATACTAATAACGCTAGGACTAACTTGCTCTACACTGCACCACAAGAACAATATAGTTTCTAGTCTTCTACATGGATCATCAACAGGATGCTGACTTTTTGCCTGGGACATACAGATTCAGCCTTTAGCCTCAGTCAAATTAAGGGCCGCTTTTACAGGGTCCTTCTGGAAATATTAAAATGTCAGCCATGGAGGGTGCATTTCCAACCGACTCATGGAGGTAATTAGCTTAATTAGCCAGTTTGCTTCAGCTGATAAAGTCTGCCAGGAACAGTTGTCATTTTAGCCGGTAAAATCAATCGTAAGTTCAGTCGTTGACTAAAAGTAAAAAGCCTGCTTTTGTTAACTTCTGTCTGAAATCAAGGACTAAGAATTGTGTGGTAACTCTGCTTTATCATTGTAAACTGTATATGTGTAGACAAAAGTTAGACAGGCATAAGAACAGTAACTTAAAGACTAACTAAACCCCCAAAGACCTTTTTTTCAGCTGAAAACCAATGTATATGTGTATTTAGTGGGACATTGTGGTGCAAAGTATTTGACTTGTACATATTGTGTTATAAATATACATAGTGACTGCCCTCTACTGGTTAAAACCTGGCTATTGAATGGAATTTTGCTAGTGGCTGATCTGGTGGCAAGGTGACATATATAGTGGCACCTTTTGTCACCAACCCATCCCTCCCTCCCTCTCCGTCCCCTCCTACAGTAATGAGTGGAAATGCTGGTCGAGCACTAGCTTGATTGTGTGATTTTGGTGCTTTAAAGGGTTAAGAACAACAAAGTCACGCAACTACACACACAAACTTACCGACTGAGGCAGCAGAGAGTTAAAATAACTGTTTTTGTCAAGGGAGTCTGGTGGCTTTGAACAAAGCAATATAACGTCTGTTTCTGGTTAAACAAAGAGGATCTTTTCTTTAAAAAAGGCTTTCTCTGTAGGGACCCTTTCCATAATGTTGTCAGACACTTATAATAACAATCTGAGCCTGTCAGTGGCAAAAACAAGCACTTTAGTGGATGTACATTGATGGTGTGCAATCTCCCCAAAGGATTATGTTTCAGGCTGATTTCGCTTCTGCTGGCTGTAGCACTCTCACTCAATACTGGACCAATTTCAAACATTGTTTTCCCTATTAGCCAAAACAGGGTCCAGGTTGAAAAATACCAAAGTTACCCTTTGAAGGGAGCAGGGCATAGCATTTTGTTGCTTATGAGAAAAGCGTGTCCGACTTGTTGAGTCGGGACATGTTGGCATTTGTCGAAACACATTAGCCCTTGCTTTTCTCATGAGTCTTTTAACTTTTGGGATGACTGTCAGGGATGAAGTGATGGAGCATCACTGGACAGATGAAGGGATGAGGAGTGGGGGTGGTGGTTGCGGGAATACAATAAATAAATAAAATAAAAAAATAAAGAGGCACACTGCTGGCTGTTTAGTGCAGCGCCTTCGCTCTGGGAGTGAGGGAGTATAGAAAAGAATGGCTACACTCACCTCCTTGCTTACTCCTGTCAAGATAGATGGAGACCCTTCTGGCCAGACCTGCGAGCGGGGGGAGGGAGCAGATGGAAAGGGGGAGGAGGGGGGAGGGGGAGAGCAAGAACGCAACAAAGCAAGCAACAAATTAGCAAGGACCCCCCATGCATGCAGACCCACACAATCGCACACACACACTCAAAAGTGAAGACTTCCTAATATACTCCATGTGCATTCAAACAGCAGAGGGGTGAACAAGGCGGCTGTTTCCCAGATGACTAACAGTTATATGCCGGGATCAAAGAGTGAAAGGAGAGAGACTGAGAGAGAGGCTTGAGCTGAGCTGCTGCCTCTGCATTACAAACAGGGGCTGTGGAAGCTGCACAGGGTCCCCAACCTCCAAGCCTGCAGGACACAGAATCCCAAATCCTTCCACCACACGGCAGAAAGCTTGACTAGAGAGGACTTGAGTGTGCATGTGCATGGGAATGAGAGTTTGAGTGAGATCGATAGTGAAAAAGACATACGGAAATAATTGAACTGGTCTGAAGGTGTTCGTGATTAAACAAATCAATTAATTCAATCACAGAAAATTAAGTGTGATAGCAAGATTTGTTGTTGTGGAGGTGTATGTTATTGGGAAAACTGCTTGCTGCCTTGTTCAGCCTCTCGAGGTGGGGGAAAAAACACAAAAAAATATCAAAGAACCAGCAAAGTAACCACAAGCCAGACAGACAGATTCTACAGAGATGGCTCACTGCTGAAAAACAGCACAAAAGCATGTTATTGGACAACAGGGACGGGATGAGTGAGGACAGGTTGTGCAGGGACCAGTGTGTATGAGAAGGTGTGTGTGTGTCTGCCAGTTTCTCCTTGAGAAACGTTCACAGTCTTGAAGCAAATGCCTACAGAGGTAGAGCAGGTTTTTTGGCAGCACAAAGACAGACTTGCGTAATATTTCATGGGGTTTTACATTATTAATGCCACTGAGGCAACGCTAAAAATCTAAAAATTTCAAAACACAAGCATATAATTATTGTACTGTCTGAAAGACGTTCCAAGCAATGGTAATAACTCTAAACTGGTCACTGGGCTAGGAAGAGGAGGTGTGTGTGTAAATGCAATGGGGAAAACTGTGTGTGTGTCTACGTGTGTGAGAGAGATTGCAGATCTTTTTTAAAGTTGTCTGCCAAGTTTAAAAAAAGATATATATTTGTATACCACAAGCTGAAGTATACAAATATATATATATATCAGTAAAACTTTTTCCAGGAAAGATCTCCGTCGAGTGGCTGTTTATATTAAAATTGATGCCTCCACTGTAGTCTGATTGCAGAGGTGACACAGCGACTGTCACTAACGATACATCCAGGATAACAAGCACACCATTAAATGTTAAAGTCTTGGTCAAAACAAGGCTGTGGCTCACTGCGGGAGAGTCCTCTGCGGGGGGAGAGTCTCTCAGGGCGATTTGTGTCATGAGATTCAGACAGACAGTGATGCTAGTTAAGTGTGTCGCCTCTCCGCAGATTCCCACAGAGCGCCGGTGACTCTGTGGCTTTGTAATGACACATATGTGTACGCATTGTGTGGTCTACACCACTGCACGGATGTCAAGTCAGCCAGTGAGTCAGCCAGACATTCAACCTGACAGCTCTGGTCTCGTTGCTACCAATTAGCCAAATATGTATCTTATTCTATACGAGATGCGTTCTAGAAAAGCTTTATGAAAGCAGTCCACCCAGACATTACTGTTGACACATGTGCTCATGCTAAAACACTGGGTCAGAGATCATTTAAAAACATGTTCAAAACAGACAAAAGTGTGGTAGTAATATGTATCAAAGAGGTTGTATTAAGTACTGGTAGGAACATATAATCATTCCTACAGCTGTCACGGTTTCCCTAAAAAAGCTCCCTACCCAGAATTGACGGCTGAGAAACGCTCGAGGCAGAAAAGTGTGGAGCAGTGGAGAGAGTTGAGAGGGAGAGTGGGTAACCCAGCACATCACAGAAGTGGGTGGATGTCTCTGACAAGTGTGTGCTGTGGGTGTTGGGCCTGGTTCAAATATTTGCGAATAACTCTGCCTCGCGTATTATGGAAGTGTGTCAACACAGAAGGTAAACATGGCAGCGAATCCACTGACACCCACAGTCCAAGTTTAAAATTATCAATTCTATTCAGGCAACGCAGAAAGCCCTCTGCGCAGAGAATGACTAATAACCTACCATTTTATCATTAAGTTTGTGCTCTTAAATGAACTGGCTTTGAATGTAGGTCTCCAAACAGGATAAACTTGCCTCCAACTTTCTGAGACATGACAGATATGTGATGGATATGGCATATGTGACAGGGTGAGACAGGCGAGATAAGTTGCATTCGTTTTGACTGATGGAACTAAATGCAGACACCTGACTCAGAATCCAACACCTGCCTCTTATGTGGCAGAAACAATCAACGACACTGTGGGGGGCTGAGGTCTCTGCATCAGGTCAAATCACTTATTGAACAGACCCTACATGACATACATCCTCTGCTGGACTTAGTTTAGTGGTTTGGTCTGTGTGTTCTCACACATACTGACCTGGTTTTCATGACAACCCACTGAGTGCTGCTGGTTTTGACAATGCAGCTAAGAACTTCTATACTGTGCTAGTTCCTGAGTGAGCATTATAATTGGGCTGGGTTTGGTGAGATCTGCTAATAATTTCACTGTGCCACGTGTTCAAATTTCTGCTATTCACAAACTCTCAGCGTCAACTTTTAATCAGAAATTGAATTCTGTGTTTCACACACAAAAATTAAAGAATGCAATCTGCAATAAATCCTACCTTCATGGAGGTTGCAGTGTTTTAGAGAGATGAAGATTCAGCTTGATCTGTTTTAGATAACTTCATTGCACTTTTTAATGTACAAATAAGTTACTTGTGCAACAAAGGCAATAATATTCATATAATCATCAAATTTTTTAATGATTCATTTTCACAATCAACACCTATTTAGCTGTATTAAAGAGGAAATACAACTGTTATTAGTAAGCTTATATAAGCTAGTGCTAGGTTTAGGAATAAAATGTATCCCTGCTCTGTCACTGGCACTTTAACAGTCTCCAGGCAGACCTAGAGCGGTTAAGTTTCTGGTTTCCTGCAGGTTTCAACAGGGAAAATTTAAGATTTTTTAAAGATTATTATGAGTGACCTTTAAGACCTATTTCATGTCCATACTGACAAAAAAAGTACAATGGATATAAAGAAAAATCAGTTTTGGTTGCAGTATGATCAATACAAATTATTCCCAAAAACACATTTAAAAGGTAGACTGAAAAATGCAACTTCATACAAGTAATGTTAACTTCATTAAATCATATTTAAAAACTTTAAAAATCATATTTAAGATGTTTTAAGGCCTATGGTAGAGAGAGGGGATGACACACAGCAAAGAGCCACCAGTCAGACTCAAGCCCATGGCTGCTGCAGCAAGGACTCAGCCTTTGTACAGCTCTACCAGGTGAACTATCAGGGCGCCGCTTAAGACCTAATTTTTATTGTCTTATAAATATGCATAGTGACTACTCTCTACTGGCTGAAACCCAGCTATTGAAATTGAATTTTGCTGATCTGGTGGCAGGTGACGTATATGGCCTCCTACAGTAATTTTACATCTCAGAAGACAGGAGGTGCTGGTCTAGTGTTGCCTCGATGGGTTAGTTAGTTTGTGTTATTTTGTGATTTTAGACTTTTTAGACCCTGTGAATGTTAGCCGTATGTTTGCACCTGACTTTCATGGCACAATTTAAATAGTAAGAGACTACATAACCATTCAAAGACGGAATATCATTCTTCCTCTTACAAATTAAAAGCTGAATTCATAAGCTTCAGTACAAAACACCCAAAACTGGATGTTTCAATAGAAGCGCTGGAAAACGAGAAAATGCAGTAAACTCCTATCCTACCTGGTTGCCTTGTAGGCGGGGAAGTGTGACTGGAATGGGGTGAACAGTGGGGCAGTCGGCGAGTTACTACAGGAAGTACTGTGGGAGTATGGGTAGGTGGATGGGGGGGATAGTAAAATAGAGCGTTGATCTTTACTGTGAGCGCTGGAGGAGGGCTGACCTCTGGTAGTGGGCAGCATGTCTGAAAGGCCCTGCCACGCCGTCACCATCTCCGGGTTCTTCTGGTCAGCAAAGTTCTTCCATATACGTAACGCTCCGTCATCTGGAGAGAGGGGAGGGGGCCGGTGTGGGATAGAAACAGGAAGATACAGAGAGGGAAGTAAAGAGTGAGAGCCAGAACAGGAATACGGATAAAGAGAAGCTTGTTTGTATTCTTCACAGATTTGGAAGCACATGTTGAAGTGTGCAGAAGATTTGTTGAAAACCTTGAAGTGAGACTCTTTTCAAAACATGCAACACACAGCGTGACTTGACCATGAACACACACATACCTCAATCAATAGAGAATGTAGAGCGGCATCTTAAAAGGCTCTTTGCTTAAAAGTGTTGTGTCTGTGAGAAAAAAAGTGAGGCACGAGTCTCTAACTCTAAAAACCTCTGTCGGAACACAGCAGCTGAAACACAGCTAAGACACCGAGCTCAACATAAAACATGTCCACGCACTCTTATGAGAGAGCTATAACAACCCATAAATGTCTCCACTTGATTTACATTCTGCGTTTTCCTTTTTTAGCGCTGTATATTTTTTTATAACTAATGTCCTCCCTGATATCCTTCACAGCATGACTGATGGAGAAAAGCTGAATAAGTGCACATTACATTTTGATGAGATGGAATTTAAATTTATTAATCCCTGAGCTTTTATCAAGGTCTCAGAAGGTGTGCAATGAAATACAGCATTCATTCTTATCTCATTGTTACACTGCTAAGACAACGAAACAAACGTGTGTTTCTGTGTGTGTTTTAATGTAGAGTTGTTGCTACAGTTCCTCTGGGTTATGAAGATAAAGCCATGGAGGGTAATTGCTTTGTTGTGTTGATGAATGATGATGAATACACATGAGTGCTTCGTGAGTGTGTTTGTGGGGGTAAGAGTCAAGTGTTTAAGGCTCGTTGCTGCTACAAATGAGTCTCTTTGCGATTTCCGCAGTGCTGGTGGGCGTGAACACTTGAGCCGCTCACTCAAGGAAACGCATTCCTAACTTGCCCTTAGTTCTTTTCCGTGATCGTACATGTGCTTGTTGTGTATGCGTTTCAAACCTGTTGCCGTGAGCAGTAATGAGCAGTCATGCCCGTTCAGGTACTCCATGGCTGTGATGCGAGTGTAACGAGGGTTTCCGTTGTAGAAGTAGTCCAGCCTCTCGCCCTTCTCCCAGTCCCAGAAACTGCAGCACGCACACGCACACGCACACACACACACACACGTTCTTATAATCTATTATTAATGATTTTTTCAAGATTAATTCTCTTAAAGATTTGATCTGTTTTAGGTTTAAAACCATCATGTATGAAACTGAATCGTTTGCAGAATGGTCTTAAGGCTGATTCTGTTTTTCAGACTGAGCGTGTCTCTGACCAGATGCTGTCCTTGTCGGCCACAGCGATGCAGGTGTTGAAGGGGTGGAACTTCACAACAGACGGTACTCCAGGGTTTCGGTTGATGAATATTTGATCATCCAGACGTGAGACACCTGTAACGGAGGGGAACAAGCCAGAATGGGAACAAGTGTAAAAAGGAGGAGAATTTCTTAAAACTGGAAAATCACAGGTTTGATTCCCGCTGGAGTGCCCCATCCTGCCAACCTGAACCTGTGAATTTTCAACCTTCTACAGCAACAGGTGCTGGCAGTGTGCTGGGGCTGCAAGTGTACATAGTGCTTCCAGGAAATAGCTACAACCCAACACTCTAGTGCCCTCAAAAACTGCTTATAATTCCACAATGCAATATGCTGTATTTATAGACACAGGAATGACTGCTGAGCGACTCTAGCAGTAAATATGCAAAATGATGATGATTTTAAGTGTCTGAAATCTTACTCCTCACTATTGAGTAAACTACTGAGTACCTATTACATAGGGAGTAGTGAACGAGTGAACAAGGGAATGATTTTGGACACAGCCACAGTGTGTGAACGCATGCTTACTTCAGACAGATATCGAAAGAAAACCCTCTATAGTATTTAATATTTCATAAATACACAGGCAGTAAGAAGGCTAGTTCCACCTTCAAGTGCTAATTTAAGGATGCTTTGTGTATTGGTCGTTAAAAATGTATTCTCTAAATTCAGATCATAATGCCAGTGGGAACACTGAGAATTTGTAACTGCAAATAGGACAGGACAGAACAGAGGAAAAACAGAGGAGAAATAAATAAATAAATAGCAACGAGGTCTTCATAACAGAATTTTAAATCAGAACATGCTGGAATGAATGACTGAGTATGGGAAGAAGAAAGGATTACAGCAATGCTGCAGAATAATAGAAAACAAACAAAACATCTGGCAGCAGGCTCAAGAAGGAGAAAAAAAAGTCTAGTTGTGTACCCCTTTGGCAGATTTCAGTGGAGTATAACGCAGCGCCAACACGCTGATACAACTGATAAGTTCACTGCCTTGCCATATGTTGTCATGGCAACAACACATATCGGTTCACCAGCCTGTCCTTGGCTACCTGAACGCACTCTCGAGACAATGATAATGAGATGAAGAAGAATGAGGAAAAATCCATCATGAATTTATCACAAATGCAGCTGTGTTGGAAGAATCGCGGTTGGAGGGAAAAGTAGAGGAGATCATCACCATCGATCTGCTGTTTGTTCCGTTTGATGGCACATTCGATGTGTAAACACTGTAAAATCTGAAACTACCCCGAGGACTTCAGAACTGCATGGTGATGGGTGTAAATTTTGCATCAACAAGAAAAGAAAATCAAATCAGGTTTACGAGCTGAAGTATTTCTCTAGGACTTTTTTCCTTATTTCTTCTTTTCTGCCTCCTTCTCACCTCCTCCATCCTCAGTCTTCCCCCCCCCGTCTTGTTTCTCTCTGGGGGGAACAGACTGAATGAGGGCAACCCTACTACTTCTCTCTCTTTCAAAAAAACTGAGGATAGAGAGGAATTCAATGATTTACTGAGCAGTCAGAAAGAGAGGGAAAGAAGTGCGTTAGCTCTGACGCCAATCGCCTCGTGACTTTGTGTGTGTGTGTGCGGAGTGTTACCAGTGACGTTGGGGGTGTTAGCTATTCCGTTTGAGAAATCTCTGACTTCACTTGGGGAGTCTGTGCGTATGCTGGCACCCTGGGCTCTTTAATGTGTAGGTTTGTGTGTCTGAGTGTGTGTGTGTGTGTGTGTGAGGGAAGTCCTGTGACTCATAAAGCGGGTTGTTTCTGACTATGGATTGATTTCAATCAGTCCTCTCTGCTCACTCGCTCACATGTCGAAGCTGCACCATTTACACCTTCTGTGTAACTCAGTCTGTCTGTTTTTTTTTGGACAGTCTGGATTTGCCCCAGATTCTGTCCCTTACCAATACTCCAAAAATGTTTAATTATACATGATTCTGGCAAAATGACAGTGCTTATACTCTGTAATCTTAACACTGCTGACCATATGCTACTAATCACTAATGACTGTACTAAAATGGTAAGAATCCTATCATCTAAGACAGGGACTATTTTCTGTCCACCAGTAACTTTGTAATCAAGTAGATCAACCTGGCATGTGGAGTCCCTCAAGGTTCAATACTTTGACCTCAGACCATTGGTAAATAAACCAAACCAAATTACCCACATACATTTTCTAGTTGCTTTTATAGTTGCTCAACAAATAAATGAGGTTGTGTCACAATTCTTTAAAGCTAAATAATAAATTGGAGTTACGTTAGCATGCAACTTGAAACTCTAAAACTGAGGACCAAATCCAAAGTCCTTGACAGCCAAGACAATAACAAATGTAGCCTGATATTGTCCTTAAGGATATATCCTTAAAATAAAATATGAACTATGCTGCAATTTTATATTTTCTTGGGTACATAGGGGGCAGGAGAAGTCTACAACAAACAAAAAATCACACATCTGACTATTATCACCTTCTAAAGCTGTCTAATTAAGGTCCTCATCATCGCCAGTATGATGTAGTGTACACAGTACTGGTTAAAGAGGACACACACACACACACACGCACACACACACGCACACGCACACACACAGTTTAACATGTATGTACGTACATACATACATACATACATACATACATACAGATACATACGCACACAAACACATACCTAACACATATATATGTATGCACGTACTATACATATCCATATATTCAATGTACAATAAAATATAAATACATAAAAAGGTTTCCATCCCTCAAATCGACCTTTATAATCTTCCAATGTTAATTTTTACTCCAGCCTTCACCCTGATTTAAATTATTCCACCCACATTCAATAATTTTATTCTGTTCTTTATCTCTATAAATGTATTTTTTGAGATCTCACTGATGCCTCAAACACATTTTAAACTGTTTAGTGTGTAATTGTTGTTTCTTTGTAGCTGTAAATATATATGTTTTCCAAACATTATTGTTCAGACCTTTTTTTCTACATCATCCCTTTGGTGGCAGGTAATGAACAAGGAGTGTATCAGAGCTTTCTCACTCGCCTGCTGGTGATGCTGGAAATGGGGTTGTTGAAAGTGGTGACACACACAATATGTTCCCTAAAACAAACACAATGGACTAAAAACGCTCAATATGTACAAATCCGGTTGTGAGTTTGTGTTAGGCCATCTAGCGTTACTGTGTTGGCAAGTTGTAGTGATTCTGTGACCACTGCTGCCTGCTGGGTAGTTGGATTGATGATGTTAAGCAGTGGCCCCACTTACTGATGAAGGCACCCTATACGGATAGTGATCTTTGTGCTATTCTCGGTGAGACATTTGTTATGAAAATAGCCAGAAATAGAGAAAACCGCGACCGTCTGCCACATCTGAAGTGATGTACTGTGTAATACTACTGTACTAGCTAGCTTAATCAATGGAGAGTTGCATTTAATCACCACAGACCAGTTACATTAGTAAAAACTTAAATACAAATTTCTAGTGTATATGGTCTCAGACAGGGGCACTCTTCATGAAGTAAAGGCTTGTGTGTTTTTCTCCAAAGTTGAAGTTTGGCACTAGGGTTGGAGCAACTGTCAACTGCACAGTTTCTTACTGATTTGCTAGGCATCGTTGTAAAAGTAACATTACATATAAAGTAAAGGGAAAGTAAAAAATCTTACACTTATTAAAACAACTTGCATTCAAACGTGCAATTTCTTCACTTCAAAAACTTCCCCGGAATTACACTTCTTCCATATCTTTTGTCTATTTTTTCAGCTTCATTTTCTACTGCTTGTCTGACTCTATGATGTGTGATTTTGAGGCTTTGTTAATCAATTTAATTTGCATATGAAATGTGCTCCATAAATAAACTTGCCTCGCCCTTTCTAAAATATGAGGCTGGTCATGTCATGTAATGCCAAAGTTATTAAAACCTGGGCTGACATTTTGATAATTGATTTAATTTAATTTCCAGTAATATCTGTGCAAATGAATTCTAAAGTGCAGTCCAGGGTTCCTTCTACCTGTAAATAAGACTCTTCATACCAGACAGAGTTGTTATATATAAAAGGCTTTGTGTTCATAAGAATTCCAGTTTAGGTGAAGATACCTAAATATTGTCTATTGGTGGCTTTACTATAACAATCACTTATGTAACTCCAATATAAACATGGGAATACATCTGTGTGTCACTAACCTCTTTGAGTGATGCCTCGGCTCTGCCTTCTCACTCGAGTGTTTCTCAGGAACCTCCACTGCCGCTCCATCCTCACCTGACTCTCCAGGTCATGCTCCTCTGGGATCTGAAAGAGTGAATTAAATAAAAGGAGAGAGAGAGACAGAGGGAGAGATTTACCTTATTGATATATGGTTTAAATATTTTGTACCCTCAGTGGAAATACAGTGGAAGATAACACTTTAATTGTTTCTAGAGGTGTCAAGTATCCCTTGGGGAAACACTGCAACACATCAGGCAGCTGTGGCTCAGAGGCAGAGCGAGTCATCCATTGATCGAAAGGTTGTTGGTTCGATCCCCGCCACATGTCGAAGTATCCTTGAGCAAGATACTGAACCCATAATTGCTCCCGATGCTGTGCATCGGTGTGTGAATGTGTATGAATGTTAGTTTCTGTTCGATGGACTTTGCCATCACTGAGTGAATGTGTGTGAAAGGGTGAATGTGGCACGTAGTGTAAAAGCGCTTTGAGTGGTCGGAAGACTAGAAAGGTGCTATACAAGTACAGGTCCATTTACCATCAGCATCAAACATGGTTTAAACTTAGAGGGTAAACGTTGTTCAAGATATTCAGCTGCTGTAAATATGGCGGATGCCCAAACCCTTTGTTGGTGCTCCTCTACTCGTTTTAATGCCGTTCAGTCTCTCTTTGTACCTTTTAAACGCTTTCTTGCAATGTCACTCCGTTCACGTCTTTATTGGAAGAGCAAAACTGGATAATTTGTGTTTGACATTGGGGGTTTCAGACGAATCCTCTCAAAAGTTGAGTGAATCTCTCTCTTTGTTGTAGTGAGGGATAAGAGCAGTGTGTAATAAGGAATGACGCAGAAGGAAATAAGTTTCATTACTGCGGAATATTAGTATAATAAAGACTAAAAGACATCAAGCAGTAGATCCATAGTTCATGTGTAAATGTGCAATGTGATGTGCAAATTTAAGAATTACCTCTTAGGCTTTAATATTGAGTTTGGTCTGTATGTTTCTCTCAGAAGTACAGGCCGGTGAACATTAAAGGTGCCCTGTGGAGTTTTCTTGTGAAAACAAAGTTTACATCCAGCATTTCTCTCCAGCACCTTAAGATCTAACAAATGGATTGAATGCATTTCCAACCTCATAAAATATCTGCAAAAGCTGATTTTGTCAACATTTTGAAGCGTGTATCCATGTTTACATCAGCTAGCATTCGCCTGCTTCCATGCTTCATTCTCGTGCAATCATTCATTCTGTGCTGTAGGTGGATTTAAGTTGCACGTACTGCTGGTGCAACAGAGGTGGAAAGTTTTGTAGCACAGGCCACAAAATTGTAGCACGAGTATAAAAGGTTTGTTAACATCTCTTAAAATAACCACAATCACCAAATTAAGCATTTAAGTGTTTTTATTAATAAATCAGACACCGATTGTCCCATGCTGTGTTGTAACTCTTTATATAGGCTTTTTCCTCGACCAAATATGTTTTGAGATCATCAAGGGGTACTTGGCTTAAAAAATATTTAGAATGGGAGTACATTAATGAAAATGTGCCCAGCTGTTTACCAATAAATAGTTCCAGAAAAAACTTCTGCTCAAACCTCAAATAGTCATCTTTACAATGGATCAAACTAATGAGATACAAGGTGTTAATTAGTGAACTTCAGAAATGTTCGTAGACTTTTTTCCCCCACTTCGGACAAAGCCATGTTACAGTAGCGCCTTCCCTCTGCTTCTAGTCTTTATGCCAATCTAGGCGAACTACCGTACATCCTGACTCCAGCTCAACACCACACACACAGGCACAAAATGAATACTGATCTTCTCATTTCATTCGCCCAAAGAAAGCAAATAAAAGTATATATATATATAAAATGTTGAACTATGCCTTTAAGGCTCACGGCCTGGCAGTCAGGTCACAGTATGTTCTCAGACTGCACCATTGTGCTTATTGACAATATAAAAGTTTTCCACTTTTCTCATCACATTACTGGCCGGGATTACTTTGCCAGATACAATGTTAAGTGAAGCTCATGCGGTTACTCAGATAATGAGTCAAGGTGTCAAGTTCACTTTATGCAATCACATCTGATCACATCTGTTGCAGAGGGACAATATGAAAAGTTTAGCTTTATTAAGTCTTATGTAACAAAATGGGCCCCACAGATTTTGTGCTGGCTTTATTTTAAGGGAACAGAATGATTCCCTCTTCTAACATGACATTAAATATGCAGACCGTAATATAAAGCTGTCATTTTTCAGTTTAAAGTATTAAAATCATAAATTAAAAACGCAGACTTTGCTATTATTATGCATATTTGATAGATGAATAAATAAACAACAGAGGGTAAACAAACTGTTAATGGTGTATGTTTTTAAATGCTAGTTGCCAGTGTGTGCCTATTAAGCACATTTCTACAGTGAGGCCTCCCACACCCACTAAATGCTAAACAGCCTGAGACAGACAGACAGACAGACAGACAGACAGACAGACACACACACACACACACAGCTACAGCGCCACGTGACCATACTACTACTGTGTGTAATCAATATTCCTGTAATGTCTTAACTATGTGCATGCGTTTCTTTAAGAGAAACCCATTTTAACACCTCTGAGTGAAGCTTGTGAATAAATATAATTGTGTGTGAGATGTACATAGTGTTTCTGTGAGTGTGCACTGCAGTCAGGCTTTATCTGTATGTCACATACAGTGTCTCCAGGGCTTTATGGTTCCTGACCGAGCCTGAGAGGAGGCAGATTTAGAAGTCAGACTGAAGCTGACATATTCCCACAGCTGAGACAGAGACAAAGTGTGTGTGTGTGTGTGTGTGTGTGTGTGTGTGTGTGTGCGCCAAGGTAAGAACCAGCTGATACTGTGGTTCCCAGGGTTGTGGTCCTGTACTGTGTCAGTGCCTAATGTAACGTATAATGAGACCCTTAGGTAAAAAATTGTGTGTGAGTGAGCGAGAGAAAGAGAGAGAGAGCTCTACACATTGTGGATATACAATAAAATCCCTAGTGCATTATGCAACCAAAAGTATGTGGACACCACACATTATGCCCATATGCATCTCCCTGTTAAACCATTGGTGTCAATATGCAGGTATAACAGCAAGACTTGGGAACCTGAAGTTGTTCCCATTCAGCTAGGGCTAACCCTAATTATTAAATCAGGTTACACAACGCTAAAACTTGAAGGACCAGTGTGTAGGATTTAGTGATGGTGTAGTTACAACCATTGAGCTCAGCCTTCTGAGTGTGTAAGAGAAAACTATGGCGGCCGCGAAACTTGTAAAAACATGAAAGAAGCTATGTAGAGTCAGTGTTTGTCCCTTCTGGGCTCCTGCTAAAAACGGCATGTCAAAAAATCATTTTATATCAAAATCCTTCAGCGCCAGTCAAATTCTTCCTCACCAAACCATTTCTTTATGGACATGGTGCAGTTATCGACACAGAGTAGTCATGTCGAAACTGTTGCCTCAAAATTGGAAGCATGCTGTTGTGTAAAAGATCTTTGTGTGCATAAAGTTTTCCCTTGATCGCAAGACAGCCTAGCCCAAACTATGAGACACTGCCTCACACCAAGCGTACACACAGTATGTGGACAGGGCTGTTGGTCTCCTCTCTCTCTCTCACAGATATGAACCTGTAGCTGTGGACATTTTTTTTCCACTCTCGTGAAGTCTTCAATGTCCTCGCTCCTCACACACCCCTAAAACTGTATGCATGGATACACTCTGAAACACACACACATTTTGCCCTCATGCTGCTGACACAGTGATATGATAACCTGTGTGCAGACTTTGAGGCGTACTCACACACACAGCTTTGTAATGGAGTGGAGTTTTATGGCAGCACTCAAAATTTTGCAGACACAGCGTTCTGATTTTGTGCTATGGCAAAACCCCGCTCCTCCTCCTCCTTCACTCACTCTTCCATCCAATCATATCTCTGCTTTTCATCACCTTTTCTTGCCACTCCTGTCTCCATCTTCCTTTCATCCTGCTGCCATGCTCTTCATACAGTTTTACTTCACTTTCAACAACTCTGTCTCTCCTCTTCTCCCACATTCTCCTTCCATCTCTATCTGCCCCTCGGTATCTTTTCTCCTCTTCTCCAACATTCTCCTTCCACCTCTATCTGCCCCTCGGTGTCTTCTCTCCTCTTCAAATATTTTATTTTCATTATTTCTTACTTTTTCATTTCTGTGCGCTCTCTCTATCTTCCCACTCCTCTTTTTGCCCCAAATGTCTTTGTGTTGTAAATATTTTATTTGACTAAAATCTACTTTTCTCTGCGCTCTCTTTCTGTATCAGCCACTTTTTCTCTCATGCACACATTCATTTCTAATACTTTTCTTACTTATTTCTCTTCCTCCACTCCCAAAACTTTCTATTTTCTCCTCTATTTGACCCTCACGCTTGACTTTTTAAAAATAATTTCCTCCTTCTTTATTTAACCTCGACAAAATGTGCTGACACCATTTGTTTTACCTCTTCTTTTCCAGAGAGGATGGACTGTTTAGAGTGTTTAAAGAGACAGAAGCTTGATTTAATATAACAACATTAGGCACCAACCGTGCATGGTAAGAAGCACTTCTTCTTTTAATCTTAAATTTCACTCGGGAGGATGTTAACTTATGGAGCTCAATTATTCAGCAAAGCCATCTTGTACGAGCAGCAGGTACTTTCTCACAATGCGATCAGTCTCTGCCCTGCTGTTTTCCATAGGACTCTTATTATTTTCTGAAATACATTCTCTAACAGCGAGTTCATGTCCTCAAATGGCTCAGTCACTCCTTAAGGCCATGAATTGTAAGATACATGGCAAACGTTCACCCATGACACCTCTTCACATAAATATTTATGTGAAAACGGAAAATTACCTGTCATATCACTACTTCCTTGTTGCTTAGCAACCACTTTAAGCTGCTGTTCAAGAACATCATGGCTTGAAAGAAAATATGTTTTTTAAATTATTGATTAAAAAAAGATGAATTTGCTCTTTCTCTCTTTTAATTCAATAATGTGTTACCTGCATTTCATTGAAGCAATAACTCAACTGACATGTTGTTTTAAGATTGTTCTGTTATCACTGTGACACAATACACACACAGATAAAGGGCTGTCATCTGACGCACACAGGCAGGGTAGAGTGAGTGGTTAGGATGGTAAAAGGGAACGATGGATGGAAAAAAACAGAGAGGCGTTGAAACTACCTTCATGACAGGCTGAGCGAAATACTTGGCACTCCAATCACACAGCCCCGTCTGGAGGGCGGGACTGATGTAGTTCCTGTGACCACCCGGCTCGTCACCATCCTCAGCTGCCTGGACACACACACACACACACACACACACACACACACACACACACACACACACACACACACACACACACACACACACACACACACACACACACACACACACACACACACACACAGTTAAATTACACAAAAAACCAAACAGAAAATATAAGGTTTAAGTGAGAACCGTAGCTGCTGTGGGGTGTTCCTCTACCTGCTCAGGTCCTTTGTCAAACATCTTGCGAGTGCGGGGGAACTGGTGGGAGTGGGGCGCCTGTCCTCCCAATGTGGGGGTGTAGGGAGGCCGTGTTGCCGGTTGCTCTCTGGTGGGGGGTTTGGGCACCTCGTTGGTCAGACTGGAGCTGCTGGTGCTGGGCATGGGAGGAGAACCACTGGAGGAACAGAGAAAGGAAAATGAGGGATAAGAAACGAAGTGGCAGAACATTTTCATTCCCTTAGTCTCTACAGAAACAGATACAAAACAAAAACATAACCTGATTTAAATAGTTAAAAACTAGCCTCAAATCATATTTATCATCTATCATATTTATTTTTATAACTTGGATTTAGTGTGACAATCTTGTCACTACTTCTGTTACTCTAATTTCTCTCATTTTGTTGCCAGCCTTGAGCTATATAGCACCATTTCTCAGAATCCTCTTGAAAATGACATTAGGCATTTTTTTTTGGATTTATTCTGCAAACAATTGTTTTTCTACAAAGTTAACGTTCTTTAACTGCAGGTTCCTCCCACTGCCTAATCTGTTCAATGAATTTGTCTCGGTCTTGGCAGGAGAAAAGCTGAGTGAGCTGTATGCATGCTGTGTATGTTTTGGGGCTTAACTGGTAATGACTTTTCTGTATATGTGGATGTTTGTGTGTGTGTGTGTGAGAGCGTCCCTCACCCAGCCTGGTGGATGTGCGTGCCCTTGCTGGTGGGGCTGGCTGGGGCCGACTGGGTGAGCGATCCAGAGTCCAGGATCCTCTGAGGCCGAGCATTCATCGTTGCCTGTTGACAGAAAAACTGTGCATTAAATCTCTGTTTGCTAGAGGGAGGAGGGGACAGATATTTCAGACACACACCTGACAGCAGATCAGGATTAGAAGCAATACCTAAAATCTGAATGCTCTTCCTACTGTAAGTATGCAAAAAGTGCAGCCCTTTACAAAGTTTGGCTGAATTTCCAGAACTTTATCTCATTAGGCGGAGCAGGTAATATAACCTCTTCACTGTGAGCTGTCTAATGGCTGCTCACAAGGGAGGGGTAAACTTAATAAAGACAATAGAGGCAAAACATCACTGATGAATAGCAGAGTTGTTGTTTACGCAAGCCAGGTGGAGAGAAAAAACTCTGTGCAGCGTAAATCCAGTTAACACAGGCAAACACATTTTACTACCTGGGATTGCCGTTGATTTGATTTCTATGCTAATTACAAAATTGCGGTAAGTATTTCTTTTTTGTGTATCTGAAAGAGAGGAAAGTTTTTAGTGCAAAGTTTACACACATTTGATCCGCTGCATTGGGGGAAAATATATCAGTTACCAGGGGTTAGCTGTTAGCGCTTCATTAAGAGGCAATTGGAAATGAAACAAAACAGCCATAAAACCAGCTGAAAGGGTTATTATGGAAACAGCTCGGCCACTAATCTAAGTACCTTTGTTAGTCAAGCACAAAAAGATCAATAGGATGAGAAGGACAAAATGAGCTAAATAATTTAAGGATATGCTGATTCTCAACAAATTGGAAGGTGACTGTAGATAAAGACGATGGGTAGCAGCTTGTGTGTGTGTGTGTGAGGCAGCGGCAGACACCATGCAGAGGCATTTTTAATGGCAAACCTGAGCTTGACACTGCAGCATTAATCCTTCTGGAGCTCATTTGAGAGTTAGGAAGAGGTTGCGGCAAAAGTGCAGCTGCACACTAGCAAAAGCTCAAAACGAGGCACCAGAGTGGTTATCAAGCCTGTTCTGCAATAAAAGCTAACGGGCTTTATTTCCTCAACAGTCAGTCCTTTAACAACCTTTGTGTTGCAAGTCATCAACAATTATGTATTTCTTAAGGAAAGAGAACATTCTAGAAACCTTTTACCAGATGCTGGTATGAATGTAAAGTTGCAAGCTCATCAGTTAAAACGACTCGATTATGCAACATGTTCATGGATAATTCATCAACATTTGCCGATCATCAACATGTGGTAAACAAACATCACGCTAACGCGCGCAGGCCGCACGCCTTATCTGCTGACAAGCTCTCCAGAAAACGAGATATGCAAATGTTCCACATTAGCAGGAAACGGGGGTAATCGGTCCTACCAGCTGCTTCGCTCCACGCTGGGAAACAGCTTGCTCTCCTGTTTCAACCCGCTTCCCCTCACTTCCTCCATCATTAATTGGCTGGAAAGCGAGTCAAGTGAGCAAACAAGTTAGTGAGTGTGCATGTGTTAGTAAGGGTTCTGGTAGGATGCGGCAGTGAAAGCTGATGACAGCTCAGAAAAATCTCGGAAAGTTCCTGTTAAATTATTGAAAGGCGCGTCTGAGATGCTCAGCTGGCGGAGAAAGTGCCAAACACCGCCTTGACGAATGATGGTGATGTGGAAGTGGTGAATGTGAGAAGGGATTGGTCAAGGAAGAGTGTGTGGACTGATGGAGGGATGATGTTAAGTGTCATGGGTAAGTGTGTGAGAGGGGATACCTGCTGAGTCAGACGAGAGAAATAAGCCTCTCCACTCATTTCATTCTCATTACAGTGAGTAGGAGAGTACAGACTGTATATTGGTGATGCCTTGTACCTCCTTGTCAGGTGAATGTGTGAACAATAGGATTTCAATAAAAAGACTGGACCCGCCAGAATATCAGGATTAAAAAAAAACACACGACTTCCAGCCCAGCATCATGCAGCAAGAGGGGGCTATTAAAGAGGCATTTAATATCATTTGAGAAATAAATTTTAATTAGCTGCTGACCTTGTTCACTTTGTTACAAATCAATAACATTTGACATTTAGAATCCTAATTAAAAGAGCTGGGTTCCCAGTTAGGCTCATGTTAACACTTGTGAACTTGGGATGAATGTTCTCTGATTGAGCTGTCTCTGACGAGCTCCCTGCAAGAAAAAAAAGCGAACTCCAGCTATGATAACTTACCAACTTTGGAAAACAAGGCATTTAAAAGGTGTTTAGATTGTCATTCCTCTTTAAATGTCAAACTGTTCTTTGGTAGAACTTCAATCCCTCATCACTGTTTTCCTGTCAGGGTGGTATGTATGACATTAATGGCACTGGCACCACGTGGTGTATACTATAGAACTTTGGCTGTGGTTACACAGCTATATCATAGCGTGTGATCTCATCCCCTCAGGTTGTTAGTTCAGTGTCATTCAGCAGAAGCCAGTAGCAGAGCTGCTTTTGAAGCTATTATATGTAACATTTGCACATTGAAACTAGACCTATTGTGAGCAATACAAGTGTACCACAGTGCAGTGCCAACCCAATTCTGAAGGGTACTTCCTGTCAGGGGATATTTAACATATAACAAGACCCACAAGATCTACTAGAGCCCTAAATATGGTTATGGCTTATGCAGCGCATAGATCTAATTGGAGAATGGTTCAAAACACCTAACTCCCCCTGAATCCCACAAGATGCCACCTAGAGCCTTGCACTACTTCTATAAGGAGAGACAGCCAGTCTGCCCCTGGCCAAGTCTCAATTCAATCAAATTCTGAGTCATGTTTCAAGTCTCACGTCAGTTGAGACAAGCCCAAGTCACATGTCTCCATTGGATGTCATTTGTCTGTATCAATAATTCTTTATGTAGCTCAGCAGGATTTTTTCAATGCATGGAACCACTAATTAAATACTCAAGCTGTGTGGCAATGGATGGGATACCTGTCGCTTTCTTACTATTTACTATTGATGGATATCTTACCAGGTCCAAGTCAAGTCTTGAGCCAGTGAAAGCTCAAGTCCTCATTTTGATCAACCAATTCTGACCCAAGTTGTGTCTCAAGCCTTAAATGTACAGCTCTTACTATAAGCAGACCCCTAAAGATGACGCGATGAGTAGGTATAGGGAAGGCGTTTGATTGAATTCTGTCTGTCTGTTTCAGTTGTCTGCCCTGGGATTGAAGCATTGTTGAAAACCAGTTTGCTGCCATATGCTGGCTGTCAGAGTGGTAATTTGTATAAATGTGACACCACAGTTTGCTCAGTTGACTTCAGGTCTGCAGGTACACACAAACTAATATTACAGTGTTGCAGTGCCACACAGACAGCACAGTGCATTAGCTGGTAGAAGAGAAGTCTATTGCATTATAGTGTAAATCAAGTCCCGTTGTTTTTTTTTTATTGCAGCTCTGTAGGGAGTCTCACAGGAGAGATGCAGCTCTTCTGAAGGTAACTAAGGGGACAATTGGTGTTGGTGGTAGAAAATGCAAGAAATTTTGCCGAAGGGTTAGGTTGGGTGGTGGACTATAGTCGTTATTATGGCTCCTTAAGTAACGGCAGCCTCTTTGCTTGGCTCTGCTCTACCAAGCCTGAGGGAGTCATTGGTCCTTAATTGCATTTGCACAGAAGTAATGGCATTTTGGAGGAAGAAAACACCAGTGGGAGGGTGGGGCGTGTGTGCTGGAAACAGTTCTTTTTCACTACATAACCATGTCCTGAAAAGGAACTGACACATGGATATAGAGACAAAACATAAATCATAACACCCCCCGTTACACTCTCTTCGAATCTGAGATCCTAAATATTACAAGCAACCCTCGAAGGAGCGAAGGAGCACACCATGACAACGCCTCTAACTTCAAACCTTGGGCTCCTCCATGAACATTTCTTTAAGATGAAGACGTGCTTTTTCACAAAATCCACAGCGTACCTTGTATGCTATGCTGTTGAGGACCTTCATGGCCAGATCCGACACCTCAGGAAAGGGGTCTGCGGCAAGATGTAGCAGCACCCTCCAGATCTGCGTGTACACACTGTTGAAGGACACACCTGGAAAATACGCACAAAGCAAAAGACCAAGTTCAATATATTTTAACTTTGACAACACATAAATCAAACATACATACAGTGGATGAAAAACACACACAGACCCTTCAGCACATAACATCTCACAGTGGTTTAACTCTCATCACTCCCCATCCATGTTCATTAACACAGCACAGCTAACCGCTAAGTGGTAAGGCACAATACGTCTCATTAGCATTATGCTAACCAGCGCCGGTCAGTCAGTCAGACAGACAGACAGACAGACAGACAGACAGACAGACAGACAGACAGACAGACAGACAGACAGACAGACAGACACACACACACACACACACACACACACACACACACACACACACACACACACACAAAGAGGCAGCTGGCTCTCCTCATCCACTGGAGCTTCATTGCTGTCAACTGTCGCTGTTATCATGAATACAAATGAACAAAGCCTCTTCTACTGTCAGGTGCTTTTGTTCGTCTGTCACCGTTCTAATCTTTGGCATTGTCTTTACAGTGAAAGGTGACATTTTTCCCAACTTCAACCTCAGTTTGTTTGTCGTTCTTTGATTTTTAGCTCTCCCCTGCCTGCTTGTTTGCTCATTAGCCATCTACTCCATCCCTCTGCTGTCATTTACTCGAGAGCTGCTTCCTGACACCACTTGATTTGGGGCCTCAAACTGCCAGTCTTGCATCTTTCTGTGTTAGCAACCTCCTTTCCTTCCGTACACTATCCCCTTTTCTTTATGCTCCTGGCTTTTACTTGCTTTAGCACGCTGTCTCTGCAGTGCATTGAGCCCTCCTTCTCTGTTGCTGTGTCTCGGCTGCTTTGTCTCCCTCTAACAGTCCCTTTGTCTGTCAGCTTCAATCTGTCGTCTTTCTCTTCTTCCCTCAGTGTCAGCCACAGGGACGCTGAGCGCTAATAGTCTCCAACTGTTGCTGTTTCTCATTTTGCCCCCACTTTTCTGTTTCTTCCCTGCAGATCATGCAGGTGGTCCTATAAAATTGACCTCTATGGATGGCCGCTCTTATTTCATTTCCTTTTATCATTCCCCTGTTTCCCTGTCCCTACTTTTCCAATCGGCACACAGGCCGAGCCATAGAGCTGCAAACTCCTTTGGGTGCTGTGGAGAAGTGGGAATGACTGAAGAGGGTTCAATGCACCCACGCTTCAAAGATGGGAGACCAAGGAGGGGGGATTATAAGAAAGGAGAGGAGGAGGGTGGAGGGCTAGAGCTGGTGGAGAAAGAAGGACAGAACAAGGAGGAATCTGGAAAAGGTGAGGAGCAGAGAGGCCAGAGGGAGTAAAGAGGGAGCAAAGAAAAGGGGAAGCGGGAGGAATGAGCCATTTCAGAAGCCTGTGTACTGTGAGGTATGGCAGGGATGGGTCAGAGAAATGGGAAACCAAGAGAAGAATGAAGAGGAGAGAGATGAAAAGATAAAGAGGGCGAGAGTGACTGAGGAGGAGAAAGTGAGGGAGGGAGTTAAAGAGGTGATTAGGGTGTAGCCTGAGGGGCAGGATATGATTAGCGATGGCTAGCCAGCGCGCTACCTGCTGCAGTAAACAGCCAGTTGATAAATGTGAAATATGGTTCCTCTCCCATTTAACCGCCGTGCTACATTACGGGTGCACACAAATAACCACTGCGCCGTCTCCACATAGTCCACACGAGGGAAGGTGACGGCTGACATCACTCACTGGCTGAACGCTGCACCAGTGACTTGTCCTGACTTGACACTCTTGTCATTTGGAGACTTGTGCAGACTGAAATGGACGCATAGTAGTAAAGATGTTAATTATTGGCTAAATGAACCACTGCATCACTGTTTTATGGCCTCCTTAATTCTGGCAGATGACATAAAATACTTTGAACACTGCGTAGCGATTTTTGGAGCTGTAAATGGTTGAGGCATAAAAAATGCATCAGAACGTTTGAAAGCAGTGGAGAAACTCCTCTGTGAGGCATATTTTACATATATTTCACAGCGAGATGTAAGCAGTGTAAGCAGCACCAAATCATATCTGTGATGCTCTTTAAAAGAGAGAGCGCCTCAAATTCACAGACACAGGTAGAAGCGAATCTAAACCCTTGATGTGACAAAATAGAAATGTCAATGCGGATACTGAAAATGTTAGGCACAGTGTTACCTTGGATGCCCTTATCAGGCATTTTTATAGTGCTTTCATCCAAAGCGCTTTTCAATTATCATTCACTCACACTTATAAGTTCCAGTGCATGGGTCATATTTATCATGAATTCACAAATATTGCTCTAAGTTGCACCACTCCAGGCAAGAAAAAAGAAATGAATGTGCTTGTTGGACTCAACTTGGGGTGAGATCAAGATGCTGCCAAGGGACAATCGAGGGACAGTGTTGTGACCTTCCTTCTTGTGATCAGGTATTGCAAATAAGGAGGAGGAAACTTATGTCCCCAACAGGGTGAATCCGAACAACATCGACATGAACAGCTACTGACTTGCACACGGACAGCAAAGGCAGTTCTGTAACAGGCAGCATCTTCACCTCCGTGGCTGACAAATGAAGCCAACACTGAAGTGCCAAAAACTACAGTTCCTTGAACTAAAGGCTGGCTACCTGTAATGAGTCATAAGGTCCCATATTAAAATGCCCAATGTCACGGCACAACCGCCTGGTTAAAAACATTTTTTTGGTCTTTGGTCCTAGTTTTGGGTGAATTTTTGTCACTCACACATTTAAATTATATGAAGACATAAAGTTCTGCAAGATAAAGGCAGTGCTGGCTCTGATTGACAGGTGGGTGCCTTCATAGGTGGCTCTTTTCAGTTACCAGGCTTCATTCAGCCTGCCTCAGCTCCACCTTTGCCTATATTTGGATTAGCCAGCAGCTGGTGGAATCAGAACTACCAAGTTGGCGATGGCCAGAGCCGACCAAACTGAGCTTCATAACAGCTCTTCAAAAACCTATGGGTGACGTCACAGAGACTATGTCCATATTTTATACAGTCTATGTTCTATACATCAATCGGGGGTCTGCGTATGCAGCTGCATTTCACATATGCTCACTAGAAAACAAGATTGTGACCTCATGACATGGGTTAACCAATGAGAAACATTTGAAAAAATTAAATGTACGACCACTTAAAAAGTGAACAGGATGAAGGAGGGGAATACAGCACATCGGTCCCAGAGAAAAAGTGCTTGTTTATCTATATTACAATTTTGTTTTTGTTTCCGACACTGCCTATGAGAGGTGCTGGTGTGGCTTTAACATTGTAGTAGGATTTGTACAAATTATAGTAAGAGGGCAAAGACAAAAAAAAGAAAAGAAGAATGAATTTTAAATCACTACTGGAACTCTGCCCTGACTCCCACACAGCGCTGGTATCTTGCTGGTTTCCTGCAGGCCAGTGTCCAGCAGTAGCTGCTGCATTTTGCATTTATGGTTCTGCTTTGTTCTAAACTGCTACACTATAATATACAGAGCACTTTACCTCTCAGCATTTGTTCCTGTTTGTTTGCAGTGTTAAAACATAGATGTGATAAAACCGAGAATGTATGCTGCTCTAAGCTCAATACCAAAAGGAAAGATAGAAACAAGTTAATACATTTTTCAGGCCAGATGAAAAACAAAAGCCCCGGGGGGCTTATGAAAACAACTTCAAACCAAACAGCAAGATAGGAGCAAATGAGTAAACAACAAAAGTCAAAATGACAAGCCAACTCTCAGCTGAGTTGGATAACTGAATGTAAGTGACAACAGAAACATAAATAACAACAGAACATCAAATTCATCTGCACTCAAGCACGCATTTCAGCCTTTTCCTTTACACTCCTGAATATTTCTACCAACATCCATTCATCTGCCTGTTTATACAGGCAGCACACTGCGAGGGGGGAGTTATAAACAAGCATGCTGGGAGGCTGGGACTCTTTACAGCCGCGGTGGGGGCACAGCTTAGTGGGCGAGGGGCCAATATGTCTTTTAACCTGTTTACATGGGGACCAGCATTAAGGGCCCACAAGCAGCTTGAAAAAGGTTTCACCAAACACTGAATGCTAAATTTGTTGGATAAAATGGTAATGAGAGCAGCAAGCACTGTGCCAGCCTCTTTTTATTGTTTGGGGTTTTTTTTACGTTTAAGCGTTCATTTCCAAGCTTTGGTGTCCCCTGGTACCTGTGCCCTAAAATGAAATCCTACTAGAGCAGCTGGCAAACAAGTATTGTAGTTTGGGTTTGATTAAGCCTGGATTAGAAAATGACCTGATGTATCTTCCCATTGGAGAAAAAGGGAAGACAAAATATTTGATCACCTTTACTGATAAAATATTCGACTGTGTGTGAGAAAGTGTGCACATGCGTATGAGTATGACTTAATACAGATTTACGCGGCAGATTGTGTTTAAATTAAATTTAGGTGCAGAGGAAATTTGGGTTTCCTCAAAGGACCGATATGAAGCTTGAGCAGAGCTTGACTGAGTCAGGTCCACCTAAAATAAGGTGGCATTCATTTAAGGAACAAATCGAACAAAACACGCTGAAAAGGAAATTTCATTACAGTACCCAAACCTACTTTCCTACCAAGTCAAATTCACTGTTCTCCAGACCTCAATTTACTTTTCCATTCGATTTTCCATTTCAACTCATGCAAAAATCACATACCAGGATGTGACAGGGCTACTGGGAGCTTACAACAGGGTTTCTAACGTGAAATGCAACAATGAGAAGAAGAAAAAGGGAATCCCCTGCTTCACTTTCCCCTTTCCCGAGGGGGTGGGAGTGAGTTAATGTTTTTCCTGCTCGCACACAAACTGCCTGTCAGGACGCATGGCGGAGCCCGCCAATCACCTGAGAACAGGGATAAGTGAGCGGGTTTGAGTTCAGTGTGTACCAGCAAAAGCACTTTAATGGCCTGGGGTGACTCACAGGGTCTATCCTGCCCACCCCCCACTCTGCTGTCCTTAACACGTCTATTCTTGGAGTGGAAGCTTCCCTCTCTTTCACTTCTCTCTCTAGGGCCGGCCTGGGGTCTTCCTCTCAGTTGCCATCACATTCATCTGGTCATTTATTTCCCCCCTGTTTCTCTCTCAAGCTTAGTCCTCTTGGGAGTGCTTGTTCATGGGATGGCAGTTTCTGTGTGCTGAACCATGCAATGCTGCCCAAGCTACTGTCTGCAGCCTGCTGTAATGATCCAACAGGGTACATCTACATCACTGATGCTGCTATCGGTCTCTGGATGCATACATGGCAAAATGTATATTATGAATAAATAAAAAAATAGATCTTTAATTTTAAAACAGTTCCAAAAACAACACATCCTCTAAACGCTCTGAGTTTAATGAAATTGATTAAGGTTGTTGTCTCACTTAAAGCTGCATAAATCAGCTTTTAGGCCACTTAAGGGCAGAACTCAATTTTGGATGGATTACACATTCAGCCATCACAAAGCAAGATGAGAATTTGTATGGGGAGTCATGTTTGTGGCAACAAACCAATATTCACTCTCTGGTTTGGTCTCCACCAGCTCCTCAGAAGAATAACTGGGTCTTTGGCTGCTAGATGCTTTACTGTGTCCGCAAGCTAGTTACTAACTTTGTCCACCTGCTGTTTGGTGCCAGGCAAGTATTGTACAGTGGGTTTATTAAAGCATTTTTTGCTGAAAACAGTGTCTTTAAATGAGATTGATTAGAGAGGTGAAAGTGGACCAAAACAGTGAATCTGCAGGTCAGGAAACCAAAACAATGAGCTAAAACAGACTATTAAGTTCATTAGAGTTGGGGGGATTGCAGCGGATGTATTGTTCATACAGATAATAATAAGTTCAACTTTATGACTTTATGTGTCAGGGGACTTGCAGAAGACAGATTTAAAGAAAATCATTGTCAAAATTGAACGTAGAACCTAGTATGGGTAAAATTCCCAAATTGCTGGATCTGACATTAGTGTCAATAGTGTCTCTTCTTCAGACTGTCCGTTCCTGCCGACAGATTTCTCTTCTGATGCACTCATCATCACGTATCTTTATGTGCAAAAAGTGGTGGATTGAAGTTGCACATTTAGAAAACTATGAAGAAAGAATATTTTGGAATTAAACACACAGACAGGCTTTGTAGAGCTGCAGTACTACTAAACAGCTGTTACCTATGAGAGAGTTGAGGGAAGAATAGGAGGACACCCGTCGCATTTTGTCGATGGTCTCGAAGGAGAGGATGTACTCGTCGTTGTCGGGGCTCCCGAGGGTGCTGCTGGCGCTGCTGCTGGTGCTCAGGTTACCAGGAGAGAAGGCTGCTGGTCCACCTGGATGAAGGAAAATATACAATCACGCAAAAGCCTTAGAGCCACTTAGCAAAAAAATCACAAGCATCAGTTGGGAGTTGAAGAGGAAAAAGAAGAGGCGCTTATTATGTTTAGAAAGCACTTTGGCTGCTGTAAGAGTGCGATATAAACAAAGTTTATTATGGTTATTACTGTTGTAAAAAGACAAAAACGAAGCCAAATAGCAAATCTACATCAAATAAGGTGTGAGGTGTGTAAACGGTCCTTAGACTTGGAGGCTACACGCCAACACAAGAATCTGCTCGTAACTTAATTTCAGCTGTCAGGTTTACTCATCTCCTGCAGTAGCTCTCCTTCATCATCAAATATTACTCTGACTCATATAAACCCAAACGCCATGCATCCTCCAAACCGACGGCAGGCTGAAATGTGGAAATGGAGATTGGAAGAGAATGGTAATACGCTCTGCTGTGTGCTTATTGATGATAAACACGGCTGCATATTGGAATAAGCACTGAGAATGTGAACTAGAAATGGTGTCAGCAGTAGGTTACATGCTTCACCAAGTGCCAGTGATTTAGCTCCATTCAGGGCTTATGCATTACTCAGTCTGGCAGTGGCAGACAGAGTTAGCTTTAGCTGTCTGAACCACAGAGCAGTGACAAACAGGAGGTCAAGAGCTCAGATGTGAGCCGTGGACAGAAGATAGGATGGCTATGGATTAAATTATTAAAGGATTATTTTGTTTAGGATTATTTATGATAATTATGCATCTATTTTTGGCAAAATACTTTCACTGCTATAAATTGACAGTTAATCTTCCTTCTTTTTGCCAGAAATAAAACTTTTAAAAGTGCAAATCTTAAACTCAAACAAATCAAAAACATTTTCCCCATGACGCCCTTCAAGAACGCAGTTACAGTCGAGGGTTGTCTGGGGTTTTCCTCACAGCAAAAACTGTGTTCGGCAAGATAATGTTATGCATGAAAACAAATGCATGTCACTGGATAAAAAGAATCAACTCCATTCTGGCCCCGACACCCCCTTTCTATTTACTATGTTAGTGTGTTATTATGCTATATTAAGGACCATAACACACCGGCAAGGTGAGAGCCTACTGCTTAATTTTTCCTAAATTGATTTTTCACAATGGATTTAGTTAAAATCACAGATTAGTGAAATGAAAATAAAAATGCAAAAACATTACATTGTTGATAAATCTTCATTCTTTTAAAGTATATGCACACACCAATTCATAAGAACATTTACAGCAAATGCTCATTGTTTCAGAGGTATAATGCATCTAACCACATCATATAGTACAACAGCTCAGTGAGCTAGGCATGTATCTGTCTCCATGACAACCGAGGTTTACTGCTCATGGTTTAGAGTCAGAAGGGCATCCCATAGTGAAAACACTGTCACTGTCAATGCTTTGAACTTGTCTCAATGGGCCTACAGTTCAGCACCATGGACAGCTCCCAGTCCCCACTGAGTGTGCCACTGAGGCAGATAGCTGCAGGACCACGGCAAAGCAAACAGCCACGAGAAAGAAGATTACATTGAGGAATTTGAGCAGTGACTATAAAACCTGTAGTAAGTATCCACGAGGGGCTTGATAAGTTGAGTTGCTTCATAAAGAAATTACACTACAGGACAATGATAGAGAAAACTGGGATGCACTCATTCGCATATCAGAGCCAGGACAATTTGAACCCTATGATGAAACTAATTAAATTAAAACCGGTGATTGAAAAATTGTCAGGAGACATTAGTCAATTAAAAAGTCCTTTGGAGTATGGGGCGGCAGTTGACAAAAACCTTAATTTAAGTAAAGCTGACAAGTTTAACTACTTAATATCCTTTTCGATGGGTGCTGCTGCTTGACCCCCTAATGCGGAAAGCCCTCCACTGCTGCTTTATGTGGCGTGACACTACATATTAAAGTGGGTGATTGCTTTGGTAAAGGGCCACTGAGAGGGAGCATCATTTTTGAAGCCAAAATCTTGATAACACTTAACATTTGATAAGATTTAGTACAACTAAATTGTTCAGTTGTAATAAATGGCCCATGCGTGTTCTTGCATTCATCCACATCACACATTTGTAAGACATGGATGATGAGCATTTTCCAGTCACTTGTGCATGTGAGAGCGGGAACACTGAACTGTTATCTCTGCTTGGCAAACTGGTCACAACCTCTTTGCTGGTTTTGAAGCCTCTTATTAATGCTTACTGAGTCATTAACAGGAATAGCAATGATAGAATGAAGAGGTAAGCCTGAGGACAGTTATATCCACGGTCTACAGCTGACGTGCAACGAGAAAACCTAATACAGTCTGCTAACGCTCTCTCTTTTGATGAATTTCTTTAATTCTTCTTTGTCTTCATTCAGTCCTCCTACAGCTTCATCTAAATGTCTCTCTATTGTCTGCCTTATTTTCATTCTCGCTCCATTTCTCAGCGCTCTATCTCCCTCCTACCCTCTTCATTGAGGTTGAGGTTCTGCAGGCTCTTGTTCAGGTTGCGGGCAGTGGTAGCGGCTCGGATGTTGGTGTAGGAGTTGACTGATCGCAGGCGTGGGATCGCCGGGCTGTCCCTCACTGGAGTCAGGTTACCAGGCTCTGGAAGTAAACACAGGAGGACATACATCAGGTCAGAGCTTGGATAATCCCAAACCAATAAAAATAAATGTTGTTCTAATGAGTGGAATGTTAAATGTCCAGAGTGTAACATTTAGGAGGATCTATTGGCAGAAATGGAATATTATATTCATAGTGTATAATAGGTGTATTTTCATTAGTGTATAATCACCTGAATATAGGAATTGTTATGTTTTTGGAAGGGTAGGGTGAAGCGAAAATCTGCAACTACACCGCTGGATGCCACTAGATGCTGCTCGACCTTTAAAATTAGCAACCTAATCAGACTGGATTTGCTCAAGAGTTGCACTCTTTTACATACCTGGAAAGCTTTTTACATAATTTACACTGACCTTTTAACAAAACAATCAAGAAATTGTAATATTTGTAGATGCAGAAAAAGCATTTGACATCTTGATTTTATTTTGCGATAGAAGGGATAACTTGAGGGAATTTGTTGTACAAGGTAGCGTTTTATGCAGATGACTTCCTATTGTTTGTCAGAAACCCCACATCGTCAATTCCTTCCATTCCACATAAAATCTGGTCACAATTAAGTAAACACTATAGCCTACAAAGTCTTTTGATTGTGGCAATCCACAGTTTCCAACCATCTTTCGTGCCTGGAAATGGGATTCAGTTTATTAAAGAACTGTATCTATAGATCCAGACTTTCTGCATCAAAATGTCATTTACCACCCACTAACAACTGAGGAGTTTTGTCAGAGCACTTTTCCACTAAAGTGCTAACAGGAGAATTTGTCCTGACACTTTATTACCATTTACAACAAAAGCTAAAGGTATGATCACTTTGATTGGTGAGTTAAACCCCCAGTCAACGGACATATTAAAACATAAGGGAAAAAAAGATCTGGACCTTTCAAAGCAATCTTAAACAAGAACATGACTCCTCTCCCTATAATGGGAGATATAAATATGGGTTCAAAAATGTACGATTGTTTTCATTTAACAAAAGCCAAATGACATAATTAGATATGCAAATTAAGATCCTACTTGTCTCCAGCTACTCACAATCAAATGCTTTGATGTTACCCTGATCTGTAGAACCTTTGATGCTTCAAACACATAGATTGAACCAAACATATTTTAGAAAAACTGTAATAGTATAAAGAAAACACCACCCTATCCATGAAATCGAGTAAAGAAAAGCATACAACACTGCTGTCTAGTGTTTGGGGGTTTAAACACTAAATTGTATACAGTGTTTTAGAGAATCGATATCACAATACAATATTTTTCTATAATTTAGTCATTTATGTTGACTCTGTTGTTACTTCCTCTGTGCAATACTGAATAAGAAAAAACAAAAGTGAAATTTGTTTGGGAAAAAAGAGATAAAAGAAAACTTTAGTTTAGCAAATATGTTTGTGTGTCTACGGTACCTGCGGTGTTGGCTGGTGACGGCACAGTGTAGTTCTTCTCTTCTTCTATAAACTGGAGGGCAACTGTACAGAAGTTGCTCTCATATTGGACCACCAGGTGACTAAGTGCTACAACCAGCTCCTGTCAAACACAAACAGAAGAAAATACAAAACACAATGATCATTCAGTCGTCAATATGTCTCTTTTTTACTTTAAGCCAAAAAGGATTTTTCTTGGTATAATGGTGACAGCTGATAAATATCTAATCCAAACATTGCTAATCATTTCTTTAGTGATATTTTTTTTACCTCATTGCCTCCAGCATTGTTTGGTCCCAAGGAGAACCACTTCATATAATATTCCATTTTAAAGCCAAAAAGTATCAAATTATGTTCTTTCAGAAGATCCCTCGCTGAAACTGAATTTGCGGTCTTAGTTGGACTTACTCATATACTGTTTTATTTAAATTTTTCTCAGTTACTTTACCTCCACGCCCGATTCTCTCTCCCTCCCTGATGCAGATTGGCAAATGATTCGAGTTCTGTATTATACTGTGTAACTGTGATATTAGTTATGCAAGAATGTAACTAAACTAGGTACCTTTCACTTGTTTAATATATGTATTAGTAATCTCTGATCTGGAGGTACCTGAAGAGATTTTCTTTTCATGTCATATGTATTCAAGAGGTGCTGAAAACTCCCCAAACCATTATGACAAGCTGAAGTGCAATAAACTGCAACATCTGTTTGACAATCACTAAACCACATATGCCACCCATTATAGTATATTTGCCTGCTTCTCACAGTGATTTATTTTTCTAGTCTTAAAGTAATGGTTTGAAATTTTGGTAAATATGCTTTAATTGCTGTTAAAAGTGAGATGAGAGGATTGATACCGCTCTCATGTCTGTACATTGAGTACGGAACCGGAGCCTGGGACTGGGACCAGGTGAAAACAGCTAGACAGGCTCTGTCCAAAAATATATCGACAAGCACCTCTAATTGGGAGTTACGAACAACGGCCGAGTGCAGTGACTTCCTGCTGCCGGTCGATTGACATATTAGCACAATATTCTGACTTGAACTGTTCTCTTTTCTGCAACAATTAGCTAAGTTAATTGCCTCTAGTCCGCAGCTCATGAACACACAGACATGAGAGTGGCATTAATCTTCTTGTCTAACTCTTTGAAGGCAAGCAAAATGAGTTATTTCCCCAAATTTTGAACTACTCCTTTAAACTATGTCCTGTGGGCTACAGTCTATTTCTTTGTTTCATCTGGAAAATAATATTGTCAATACCCAATGTTGGCTGTGAATGAACTGAATTAAGTCTTTGTGTGGAAGCTCCCACACTTCTTGTTTGTCTTACTATCGTATGCACATAATAATAAAGTAAACTGTATGTCTTTTATGTGTGTGGGTGAGTGTTGTTGTGTTGCAGCGACCTTGCGAACGACAGGGCTTCCATCGTTGATGAGCTGGGCCAGCATCATAGCCACGTTGTGGTCGATGGTGGTGGAGTGGTCCGTCCTCTCAGCAGAGTTTCCCACAAAGGTCCCCAGAGCAAAAACAGCCGCACACCTCACCTGCAGCAACACAAACACAATGTCAAAGGTTGTTTTAAGGGGTTTGGATATTTTATCAGTCTGATTTCCCCTCATCAATGCACAGCTCTGCCTTTTTCAAGTGTGGCCCAAATATTTGCTTGCCAGACTTATTCAAAAATGTTCTGTGTTGTGAGACCAGTGGATGAAAGCTGGGGAGGTAAATATTTTTTAATCTTCTCTTAATGTATCATTATGAAATGCCCTGGAGATGATCAGTGCTGGGTGCTCCTGTGAGCTGCTTTTGGTCACTATAACTCATTACTTTCTCTTCCCGCTTCATTGGATGTTTCCTCCAAACTTGCTGTCGTACAGAAGGAATTTTCCATGAGGAATTAGTCTCACACACTGAACGAAATTACAGCACAAGAATGAATATTTGGGTATATTATTTGTTGTTGTAACAGAAAACATTTTTTCGTAGGCACCAGGATGCATCATCACAGCTACTTTTTTAATCTAGTGATGCTCCGGCACGCAGATGTTGCTTTGATAGGGTTTGCTTTGCCCTAATTAAAATGATCAGCTGAAACATTTCAGATGGATATAGTCATTTTCTTTCTAAAACCTGGAACAAAAAACAGTCATAAAAGCACTGCGTCTTGAAAGCAAATTAAAATACAACACTGTAGTACTGGAAAGCATCTTAATCTGCCATCTTCACTCAGGCGTGTCTATTCCTTTATGCACTGGAATATATAGGACTTAGTAACATATATCTCTACAATCGAAACAAAGATGTGTTGAATTAAATCTATTTTTGAAGCCACTGTTAGTGATGGTGTTGTATTGCATACCCTTATATTATAACCCCACTCACTACAAATCTATGGGAATGTTTGAGTACCGGTGCTTTTGCTGCACATGCTCAAAAATGACAACAATGATCAACGGCCCTGTGACACATGAACTGCTGAATGCTTTTTTTCAGCACAATAAAATGTGAATCGGTGCTTGTTTCTTTCAATTGTTGAGCAAAGTTAACTGTTTTTTCAATAAATTTGTCTTCTCTGATTTGTACTGCAGTGTTTCTCCAAAGGTTTGTCAGGTTTTTTGTGTTTGGTTGGACGGAAATATACCTACAGTAGCAACACAGCTACACATATTCTTCTACATATATTTCTTTGAGGGGGAGTGCATATTTCTATAGTATATTTTACACCTTTATTGATAGAGGGGGAGAAATAGGAAATAACATACAAAAAAAAGTCTGCAACTGGCACCTCTGAACCTCATAAACTTGAAGGTTGTATTTGTTGCAGGGCAATTGTATTTGTGTCCAACTCCTGCATGTCTTGCCAATATCAGCACTGCTATGCTGAATAAATAAATCACAAACAGAAAATATATATCTTTTATGCTTTTCTTTAAAGTTAACTCTAAAGTCTCATGAAGATTAAAATCTCCTTTTATAGAGAAACCTAGCCAAGGAGGCAGCATAAAAAAGTTTCACCACAATGAGTACAAATATCAGGCCTAGAAAAGTCTCGTCACAAAAGAGCATACACAATATACAAGATAAACTTTGAGGTATTTTATTGGAATTTTATTTTGTTATTTACAAAAACCATCTACTGTAAATGGACTTGAACCTCTCACCATTTAAAGTCTTATTGTACATTCTTCCAGGTGGAATGGGCAGCATTTTTAAAACTTTTTTGCCTTTCTCTCTGTCCAGTGACTTTGCAGTTGGCATGTCAATACCTGTGTGTCTGTGTGTGTGTGTGTGTGTGTGTGTGTGTGTGTGTGTGTGTGCTGTAGTGACTTGCAAACTATGACTAAGCAACATCGTCATCTTAGTTGTGTCCCCTCAGACATAGCTAAGATAATGATTTCTTAGACGTAATCAAACTCTGCTTAGTCAGTGATCTCTGCTCCTCCTTTCACTTTCTGTCCCTGTTCAACTACTCAGTCACAATCTCTTTCTTCACTCAACCCCACAAGGCTCTGGGGGACACACACAGCAGCATGTGAGGTGTCTCCATCAAACACCGGAGGAGAACTTTAAAATGCAGTCATTTATCTGTAAATGTGCTATTTCTTAACAGTCAGTTATGATCAGTCAGTCTGAGTCTCCAGTGGCTTTAAAAAAACACAAACACTCCTAATGTAAAATAAATGAACAACCTGGAAATACAACTGAAAAAGTATGTCTCTGTGTGTGTGTGTGTGTGTGTGTGTGTGTGTGTGTGTGTGTGTGTGTGCACTGGCAGATGTGTCTGCAGACCTCAGTTTCAACTCTACAGCCAAAGCAGCTGTCTGACCAAGGGAAGGAGGAAGTTTCTGCTGGAAACAGATGTTCCTTGTGTTTATGTGTGTGTGTGTGTGTGTGTGTGTGTGTGTGTGTGTGTGTGTGTGAAAACTCATGCTAATATGTTTGGCGTGTGTGAGTTAGGGCACCAAGTGTCTGGGTGAGCTTCAGGGCAAACTCTGCCTCACTGTCCCTCTGGTCCACACACGACCCTGTCAGATGCTTACCGTCCTGTTTTAACACAGAGGATCCAAACAATTTAAAGCCAGTGTGGGTCAGCTCCGAGTGTGTGTGCTTTTTTTCTTTTTCATGTGTGTATGGAGGATTTCCATTCCCAACAAGTTCCATTGTTTTTACAGTATACTTTTACTCTTGACTTGAATACAAACAAGAAGTTTTGTGTTTAGCAGGTTGTGTGTCCTAGTGTTACTAGTCAGGACCTATAGCTGTCAATAAAGACACTCAATAAAGATTGGTTAGTTAATTAGTTAGTTTTATTGTGTGGCTTTTAAACCATTTAAAACAAGTCACACAATAACACAAACAAACTGACCGACTGAGGTAGCGGTAGATCACAAACTCCCGTGTTCTGTCAGGTCAAATTACTGTTTTTGTCAATGGAGCCGGTGGCTTCAAACAGAGTGATATAATTTTGTATATTATTACGTATATATATATTAATGTTTTTTTAACAAACAGAAACAGCAGTTATCTTAATCTTCAACAAAAAGCACTATCTCTGTAGGGATCCTTTCCATAACAGGGCTGTGTATTGGCAAGAATCTGGCGATACAATAATCATCAGGATACAAGGGTTATGATTCAATATATTGTGATGAAGTATGATACTGTAAGCTAGTAAATATATTGTGATTTCCTAAAAAAACGTAAAAATAGTATAAAGAACACACCACCATATGAATAAAACCTGAGAAACCAGAACAGAGGGGTCTGCATTTGTATGCATTTTTACAATATCACAAAACAAAATATTGTGATAGAATATTTTCTTAATCCCTAATTCCATAATGTTGTTAGAAGTTATAACAATGTGAGCCTGTCAGAGGGAAAAACCAGCACTTCAGCGGATGTGCACTGACGGTGCACAATTGCCCCAAAGGATTATGTTGCAGCCTGTTTCGCACAGTACTCATTTAATACTGGACCAATTTCAAAAACTGCTGTCTGCATTAGTCACTTTGACACCAAATACATAAGAAAAAATAGGGTTGAGGTTGAAAAATGCACAAGTTTCCCTTTTATTTCAGTTTGTATTCTTCCTGAAACTTTAAGATTTGAGGAGACTGTAAGACATTATCAGCTTTTCTAATTAATGGACAGCAAATATTTGGAAGCCACATGGAGAGCCTCCTATCGGGGATTGGGTGACAGAGTTGCTGCACATCAAAGAATGTCATACAGGATATGTAAAAGGACACAAAACTTTTTCCTCAAGTGCAACATGTATATTTATTTAATAATTTCTTCCATGCGGGAGTTCTTTGGTACGTTCTCTCAGAACTGAATCGTTTCTTTTTCTCTTTATTTCAAAGAAAGCATTTTCTTTGTGTTTAAGTGTGGTGGGGATGGGATATTGGGGCAAGTTCTGTTTGGAAATAGCATATATTTTTTCTCCTTATTTACAGTACTGATGTTATATCTAAAAATAGGAATTTCAATAAAAAAATGTTTTATTTAAAATACTTATATAACTTAAAATGCTTTATTTAGCTGCGATCAAGATCTAAGTTTTAGTCATAGACTTTGTCCTTTATGCTTCTACCTTCAAAAACAAGCAAAATATTGTGTAAAAAAAATGCCAACAGGGTCATCAGCAATGGCCTGATAGGACTGTATAGAGTACAAAAGACTGTCTGGCTGTACAAAAAATGTGTCTTATTCTTGAATTAAGAAAAGCAATCGAATTATAACACTTTATCTTGGAACATGCATAACAGTCTAAGCAAATGGTGCTTACGTTTCTAATCTTAGATAACCATGCATGATTTCATTATCTGTAAAACGTAATATTAGGGCTTCTTGAATTGCCCTTTTTGCAGAGTAAGAAAATGATCAAAAACATCTCCACGTACTTTTCCACTCTGGTATTAACCTCTTACCTCTGGGATGGGATCCGACAGCAGGGTGTAGAGCTTCTCGTGGGCGCTGTCCCGAACTCCACACCAGCGGGCCGGATCGAAGTTCTGCCAGATGCGGCCCAGGCAGATGGCCACCCACTGACGGAGCAGAGGGTGGGGGTCTGACAGCTGCTCCAGGCAGTTGGCTATCAGGTTGCCCTGCAGGCAGGCCTCCTGGTGGGAGAGGAGGAGTGGTGCAGAATGATGAGTGTGAGAGATGATTTTAGGTTTTAAAAAGAGGGGGATGCCCAAAGACGAGTACATTTAAGAAATGGAAGAAGATTATGAGGTATGAAGTAATTGTCACAAACTTGACTTGACTAGACCTGAAAGTGTGGTAGTGAACACTGTCCTGACAGTTTTTTACTTTAATAAAAAGACAATATGCGCATTATATCAGTCTTAACCCTCCTGAGCGGCACAGAGGCTCCTGGCTGGGGGCAGACTTGTACCTCATTAGCCAGTTAATCACCACTAACCTGTAACCCCACGCTGTGCAATGGACAAAAAGATTATGAGCTCTGCAGCAGAATGACTTCTTCCTTTGAACCCTTCAGCCCTCTTCAGATCTTTTTTTGTGAACAAAAGGTAATTGGTCCATCAAGGTTTGAGGCCGTCTTAAGTACGATGGAAGAGCTGGTATGGCTCAATTCAAATCCTTTTAAAAACCTTTCTTTCTGATTGATTTATTTTGTGCAGAGCATTAACGAGGGCACTCCTTTCTTGTTTTCAGTTGCCTTTCTGTTTATAATTTTCATGAGGCAACACAAGTAATAAAATATGTGTGTCGAGCATTACAAAAGTAAAGTACAGGCCCGGTTGGAATTACCTGTACTACAATGGTTCACAGGGTAATGTCAACTATGTTAATTCCATCAGAGCGGTGTTTTTTATATTGCATTTTATATTGCTTTTTTCGATATGTCTATGTTGTTCTCTTTACTTATTGTGTTGTTACTGTGTGTAATGCTGCTGCTACACTGCAATTTCCCAGCTTGGGATCAATAAAGTCTGTCTGTCTGTCTGTCTGTCTATCTATCATCCATCTATTTATCCATCTTGTATTCACCACTCAGCTGCTCCCGGTTTTTCTTTCTAACAGAAATAGTTTTGATTCACTTTTTGATTCCAGTCACTTCTACTCTGGCATGCTTTTGTTCAGCATTAACACTTCCTGCATATGTTTTTACATTACCAGACAGTAAGGCTTTTACTGTGAAAAATATCTGCCTCAAGTGTTGTGTTTAATTAATTCTCATCTACTGAATCTTCAATCTGTGTCAATCAGATTTAAAGCTACTGTCAATAAAACTCAATAATTCTTGTTTCACGTTAAAAGCATACCAGGAAAAGGAGCCATTGCAAGTCTTTAACTGGAAAACAATGGGAAGGAAGTGTGAGTATTTTATTAAGTAATTTCTGCCTTCTCCATTTACAGATTAGCAGATCGGTCTTAAGCTGTTGTTATGGAATTCAACTCTTCCTATATAGATGTATTATAGTAAAAGCCTTGCAGTGGCTTAAATCACTTGTTTGTTCCTTTTATCTGGGAGGATTTTAACGCTTAACAGGAAGTGTTCACTTTGAGCAGCTTAACAAGAATCAAAAAATGTGCAAAACAGAACCGGCTAGAATGAATGAAAACACAAATTCTGCCCATAAAGAGCATATAACGTGAAATTAATAAATATTTATTTTGAATTCTTATAATTTTTGATAGCCTTTTGTGATAGCCTTTATGTTCTATGAAAGCCAAAGCATGTTTGTTTGGGTGACAACAACACAAATACAGTCATGTGCGTCAATGCTCGGCACTCTGATGATTCCGCAGCCTCAGATGTTCCTTGTGAACATAAAAGCCTTTAACGCAACACCTCATATCCACATGAACCACAACAAATGGACCCCTTTAGTATGCTGAGAATCCATCTTTGTCTCCTACAGACTGAGGCATCACAACAACAAATCTTTTATCAGTGGTGACACAATGCGCCCTCGTCTCCTCATCCCCCCCGCTCTACTTTCTTCAAGTGCCTCAGATTGCTAGCGCATTGTTCCCTCAGCTCTGATGGAGCCTCCCAGCTGAACCCCGAGAGCGGGAATATTAAGACGCCAGAGTTCGGTGACATGTTTGCAACAGTGCTGCCGCAGTAATGAGCGCTGTTGTTGAAAGTAAGAGGGATAAATAATGGAGACGTGGAGCCGGCAGAGAGTCTCTGTAATGTTGGGGATCATCTATTATTTACAGGCCTGTGAGAGAAGGTAGGAGCATTAAGGAACCGTGGTATTGGAGAAGAATGGGTGTTTGAGTTTGAGAGCACATATAGCTTTCATGATTTGTTACATTTATATAATATTGAGAGAGAGAAGTAATGTAAGGTATGTCAAGAAAAAAATTAATGAGTCAAATAACATTAACAACTAGACAGAAAAATAACCGCAGAGAGCAGGAGAGAGCAAGCAAAAGGGTGTGATGGTGGGATATTTCTTTGTGGAAGTGTGCGTCAGTGAGTGTGTGCTGGAAATGACGAGCTACATCATCCCAACATCGCACCCTTGGACGTTTGATCAGCCTCAGACACAAAGGGCTTCTGGGATTGAACACCGGAGGCCAGGAGCAGGCCGAAGTGACACTTTGCGGTGATAAAATGTCACCCTGGAGGTGGCTGTGACGGAGATGGAGATTATAGAGGTGACTGTTGGTGACAAAACCGTCACATAACCAATATCTCCAGGAAATACACAATGGGCGATAGAGTAATCTCTCAAAGTGACGGCTGGCTCCAAAACAAGCCGCTGAGGGTTCTGGTGAGGGAAGTAAATTAATAATATTGTACGTTCTCCCTTTGGGATTCTGGCAGAACCAACAGACAGCAGTGCGGAAATACACACACATACATCCAAACATGCTTACACACACACACACACACACACACACACACACACACACACACACACACACACACACACACACACACACACACACACACACACACACAGACACACACACAGACACAGACATACCTGTCCTGTGTTGTAGCTGTTGACAATAACAGCCAATATGAACACAGCCATGGTTCGATGCTCAGCCTGTAACAAAGAAAGTATATAGTAAAGTTACTGTCTGGAGCTTTTCTGTTCAACTCCTTTCAGTGAAGTCAAAGAGGCCATGTTGTGATTTTTGGGGTGAAAACAGAGTTTGTCAGACAGAGAGTGAACAGAGAGGTGCTGCAGCAATGGCCAATATGAGAGATACTGAGAAAACGGATTTTTTTTTAATTTATTTTTTTATTATTATTATTTATTTTATTTGAACAGGGACAGTGCACAATAAAACATTAACCCTGTATATAACAAGGAGAGATGCATTGCACCGGGTTTTAGCAAATTGCTGTTTTCCACCCGTAGTCTCTGGGCAGGTAAATGGAACATACAATAAATTAAAAACAGTTACTAAATTCACAGTTGTGCAAAATTTCAATTACAAAGTTAGGAATACACACATTCCCACATCATTAAAACAATTTAAAACAATTTACCCCCCTCCCACCAACTTTTATAAATAAATATGACCCCCCCATCAAACACACACACACACACACACACACACACACACACACACACACACACACACACACACACACACACACACACACACACTCACTCACTCACTCACTCACTCACTCACTCACTCACCCACCCACAAATGTGCTCTGTTGGAAGTGTGTTCCATTGATTTGTGGCAACAAAAGAAAACGATGATTTACCAAATGAAGTCCTGTGTTTAGGAATACTGCACTCTCCCCTGGTAACTGATTGGGTAGCTCTTGTTTTTTCTGAGCAGAGTGTAACCATTTTTTTCAAAGGAAGAGCAGTAGCATTATGAATGATTTTAAAACAGTAGACATACATTTGTGTGCATTATTAGATTTTCAAGATTTAAAATACTATATTTGTTGAGTATATGACAGTGATGATACTGACGTGTTTTTTTGTCGTGAATCTTAAGGGCACTTTTATATAATGATTCAAGTGGTTTTAAGGCTGTTTTACATGCCAACTTGTCATGCAATAGAAAAGATGTGGGAGAATCATTGCATTTAAATATGTATGTGATGCTTCAACAGTAAGAGAGTTTCTTATGTGTCTGTAGTTTATGAGGTTAAATTTCAGTGTGTTACTCAGCTTTTTAACATGATTTTTAAAACTAAGAGTTTGATCAAGGGTAACCGCTAAATATTTTAATTCATCCACATTTTTGATTTTTTGCCCATTTACTAAGATTTCAGGACAATCCCTGAGTTTGCTCCTGTTTGTAAAGAACATGGTTACAGTCTTTTCAACGTTTAAGGTCAAACAGGAGTTGTTTAGCCATTCAACAACCTTCTGCATTTCCTTCGTTAATTTCATTGCAACCTCAGTTGCATTTTTCCTGTGAGTATATAACACAGTATTATCAGCATACATTATTAAATCGACATCATTACACACAGATGGAAGGTCGTGCTGAAAAGCAGCGGCCCTAAAACTGACCCTTGTGGCACTCCCAGGGTGCATACTTTAAATGGGGATAGACTATTGTTCAACCTCACACACTGATGCCAGCCACTCAGGTAAGATTTAATCTAATTTTGTGTGTCTATGGAAAGGTCATAATTTGTCAGTTTGTTTAATAGTATGTCATGATTAACTGTGTCAAAAGCCTTGCGCAAATCAAGAAAAACTGCTCCCACCACTCCTCCCTGATCTAGGTTTGTTTAAGTTACTTCAAGGAAGTAGCAGCATGCTGTTTCTGTTGAATGCTTTTTTCCTAAACCCAAACTGCATAGGATGTAAAAAAGCCCTGGAATCAAGGTGAGCAATTAGTTGTTCTGCTACAACCTTTTCAATGACCTTTGAAATGGCTGGCAGGATGCTAATAGGTCGATAGATACTAACTTCCTGTTTGTCACCAGATTTATACACAGGGGTTACTATAGCAGATTTCAAGGCACTGGGAAAAGTGCTCTCATCAATAGATTTGTTTATTATTTTAGTTAAAGCAGAGGTTATAGATTCTTTATGATTTTTTAGAGAGGCAGTATCAAGACCATATGTCTTTTGCTTTGCTATTAGACAGGGGTGAGAGGACCTTTCCAATCTTTATATCATTTGTTGGTGTTATACGAAAGGCAGAACTGTCACAAACTAAGGAGTGCTGAGGGTGGATCTTTGGAAAATTCTGACCCAATGTTTGCACAGAATTTAAAAAATAATTATTAAAATTTGTAGCGACAGCTAGGCTATCTTCTTGAATATTTCCATTTATTTTAAGCTGTATGCTATCATATTTGAATCATTTGATCATTGAAGCATGTCAACCTATTATAGTCAGTAACCTGAGAATTAGCATAGTATGACCTCTCATAATACCATGTATCATAATACCATACCATAATAACATGGGTCACTTTTTTCACAAATGTATTAATAGGACTGGTGGATACTCACTGGCATGTAACTGTCAGCAAGCACCGACAGAAAGTACTTGTGTCCGTTGTCTTTCACCAGGTCAGCTTGACATGACTGCAGAGACAGAGGGAGAGAGAGAGAAAGAAGGGGGGGAAAAGAGGGTTCAGGTCAGTGCAGATGTTGCTCAAGGTCACCATCCACTCATACAGCATTCACAGCAGTCCTGTCATAGGGAGTATTTGTCCATTTCTGCTTTCTCCCATGGCAGTGCCAGCAAACCATGAATGAATATTGATGGCACACTGTTTTTAGAAAAAGTCTTCTATGTAGGCATCTGGGGAAATAAAAGTGTCCAGACGTGTATTGTCTATGATTCTGAAGCATTTTACTTATTCCCAGCTTTAGTATTTATTCAATATGAAACATAACTTGCAGATAAGCTTACTGGTTGAGATGAAAGTCAGTGTGATTGAAACATTAACAAAAAAAGAGCGTGCCAATTTCCCATTTTATTTTGATTGAAACCAACCAAGCATCAACATAGAGTTATTAATCTGTCATTAAAGTCTAACCCAGATTATATTGCTAAAAACATATATATAATACATCATGTACATGAGCATGGCTGGTCTTTTCAGTCATTGCAAAATAATCAGTGCAAGAAATACATACATATTTAGGTCCCTAACATCATAATGCATGTATTCACACCAAATGCACCCTGACTATTCTTTGGTATTTCTGCCTATTCACACACTTTTTCTCTCATTCCCTCTGTCTGTCATTATGTGCAGCAGACAGAATTCACATAACGACAATAAACCTGTCATGTAAAAAACACGGATAAAATAAAAACTTCAAGACAATAAGGATTTAGAGGAGATGAGGCAGAATGATTTTAATGTTTGTGAGTGTTTTATATAACTTACACTGTCCACAGCGAGGATTTTAGCCCAGATGAAAACCAGCAGCGGCCGCAGCTCTCTGGCTGAACTCTGGAGCAGCTTTAACACGTAGGGGAAGATCCCCACAGACAGGGCCTGGAAACACACACACACACACACACACACACACACACACACACACACACACACACACACACACACACACACACACACACACACACACACACACACACACACACACACACACACACACAAACACAAACACAAACACAAACACAGAGAGCTGGTGTTTATAGAGCAGTTTTGATCCAGGCCTTGCTGCTTGCCCAGGTTTGACCACCAAGACACACCTGTGGTTTGAAATGAAAATATGTACACAGGAATGGAATTTAGCTCAGCCGGAGTTAGGATGATAACTGTAATTTTGACCTGACTTCTAATGTCCGTCAATAAGATGAGTTTGCCTTTTGGAACATTCAGTATGCTACTAACTTGGTCTGTGAGTGACAGCACAATGCAGTAAGGGCTGGAAGCCTAGTGTTGATGTCAAATTAAATAAACTATACAATATATTAAGAACAGTATTGCTGTGGATCTTTCAAGTAATGAAAAGAATTGAATATCAGAGGTATTATTCTGGCTTGCTGGGTTAGAAGTCAGCTGCAGCAAAATGTTTCCTTTCAAGACGGGAGATGCTGTCTGTTAACAGAGCAATTTATTTTCTGTTCAGATGAGTGTGACCTGTCAATCACAGTAAACAGGCCTCCAAATACACAGCATTTCTTTGTCAAGCCATAAAAATAGCTTTTTGCATTCCAAAAAAAGGCTTTTTCAAGTTCTTCCTGAGAGTTATGGAACTGCAGCGAGAAAACAACTAGCTTAAACTAGCTTAGCATAAAGATTGTAGGCAGGGGGAAACGGCTAGCATGGCTCTGTGTCAAGTTAAAAAATGCAATTCAAAACACCTCTAATTAATAGACTGTTTGTTTAATGTCTACAGTGTGCCAATATGTGAGTTTTAGAGGTGTTGGAAGGTGTATTTATTTGCTTTAAAGAGAGTCGGGCTAGCGGTTTCCCACTGCTCCCAGTTTTTATGCTAAGTTAAGTGAACCATGTCCAGACTCCAGTTCCACACTTAAAGGGATAGGTTCACAGTTATTAAAGTCTGTCTAAAAACAACAGCCAGGTGCTCTTATGAATACTGGAACAGGGTTTGGTTTCTGTAATCCTTCTTCCTGTTCATACTGGCCATTAAGAGATCCCTTCTTAATGTGCTTCCAATGTACGGGGACCAAATCCACAAATCCTTTATCTATGGCTAATGTGAGGCTTCAGTAGTCTGTTCCTTTAGATCTTCAGCTTTTACAGCCCTTTTAGGATAAAATTCCCTCACTGTGTTTCTATGGACAGTGTGTCCTTGTTGAACTACAGTGGAAAGTTAATAAAAAAAAGAGGGAACGTTATATAAAAACACTAACTTTGGAAGATGCTCACTTTATTTGTATAAGTCAGAAAACTGAAGCACCATATTAGCGCACATTTTTTAATGCATTTTTGCACAGAACAAGTAATGTTCAGGAATCTCTTCATGTTGAGTATGATTAAGTACAGCAGTCATATAAGACAGACTTACATGAAATATACTTGTATAATTGTAAACCTACCCTTTAATACACAGAAATGAGAGTGGCATCTATCTTTTCATCTAACTCTTGTAAAGAAAGATTTGTCTTACAAAACAAAAGTTTTTTTTCTTGGAGGCAGCGTCTTGCAGCATTTAGAACGTCTCTACCTTAAAGAGTCAGTACATCCTAATGACAAAAAGATGTTTTCTCACTTCACTGGTATCTAGCATTGCAGACTTTGGTTTTATGTGACGAGATTTTGACATTTTATTTGAGATGTCATTTTTTTGTTGCTTTAAATCACCACAAACAAGATGCATTTCACCTTTATTGTATTGGGTTTTGAGGCAGAAATCTCTAAAGTGGATATAACAAAAGCCCAGCACATAAAACTGAAAATTGACACCACTTAAAAGCTTGGCTCTAATTTTCAGCCAAATTTGTTGCTGCTTGGTGGAAATATGATCTAGCTATATCAATGCACATCATTTTATGCTAATGTAATAATTATTTTGTTAATGTCTGTCTGTCTTTTCAAACTAAACCATTATTTTTAAACAGGCACACTATCTGAACACACCAGACTGACGGCCCAGGGACCCAGATCCAGAAACCGTCCGAGCAGGTCTAGAGCTCGCAGCCGATGCACCTGACTCAGGAGGACCTGAAAAAGAAGAGAGGTCAGAGGTCAAATGTGCTGTGGCCAAGCCGAGAGGAAGCTTGAGATTAAAAGGAAGAGGAGGAGGAGGAAGGACAGCAGGAGAAACGGCAGAGAGGGTGAGGAGGTGGAGTGAAACAGGTGGCAATCCCACCACTCCTGCTAACACACTGGCACCAAGTCGTACTTGTTTACTGTGAGTGTGAGTGTGTGAGTGTGTGAGTGTGTGTGTGTGTGTGTGTGTGTGTGTGTGTGTGCGTGCAAAAGCATTCGTGCGGGCGCTTGGGTGCCATTTCACTTGGCTTCTGAAGGAAGGTGCATTTTTGGTATTTTGGTATGTATGAGTAGATGCAAAGCACCGTTGATGCGGGATCACGATGTAGCAGTTTTTGGCCGAGGGGAATTATTTTAAGGAGGCATATGGTATGTGCTAAAAATGTAAGTGTTTGTGTGTGTGTGTGTGTGTATGCAGCATTAAGCACAACGCTGCACAGAGTCTCTGGTCACTGGTCCAACCCCATGTGACTGTCCCACAGTGTGTGTGGGAACAAGCATATGGAGGAACCCAGGCCCACACACACACACACACACACACACACACACACACACACACACACACACACACACACACACACACACACACACACACACACACACACACACACACAGACACACTTCCACCAACACATGATATATTATTAGCATTCTCTGTGACTTTAACCTGGTGAGTGTAAACCACGCTAACAGAAGGAGGCCAGGGGAAGACCGGCCCAGGGTTACCTCCAGCTCCAAGGAAGAGCGTGGGAACAAGAACATTTGCGTGTGTGTGTGTGTGTGTGTGTGTGTGTGTGTGTGTGTGTGTGTGACGTAGGTGTGTGCTCTATAAAAATAAGAAAAGCCAGCAAGCAAGAATTCAATCTAAACCTCTCCTGATCCGAGCTTCTCTTTGTCATGATTCATCTTTTCGACCCGATTTGACACAGACGTCAGTGAATATTCTCCATGCTGTCTCTCTCTCACACACACACACACACACACGACCATGTGATTCAAATACCACATTAACATACGTGTGTGATGTCATCATAGCAGGGATAAAGACACAATCTCTGAGGAATGCTGCTGTATTAAAACAAGAATGTGTGTGTGCGCGGATATTTGTCTTCGGTCCCTATTTGCTTAACATCTTGACTCCTTTAGTGCGATGAGTAAGCACTTCCCATCACCCCGCTGTGTGTACGAGCGGTGAGACACACGCCGTCATGTTATCACATGATGCGCGCCTTAATCACTTCACTGACACCTAATGGCAAATGTGTGTGAATGTGAATGTGCTGCCTCTACCGTAACATCACAATTTAGAGACGCCGTAATCTGTTAATCCTTCCTGGATGAAATGGCTGTTGTCAAGACAACGCCGCATGCATCTCTCCTTCCTGAGCTCTGTTGTCCTCCCTTTGCTCATTTCATTAAAGAGCATTATTGATGGAGCACTCTCTGTTTCCCATTTCTTGTCGCTCTTTGCATCCCTCAAACGAAGCCAGATTATATTTTGGCATCAAATTGTAAATCCTCCAAGAGTGTACGGCAGTCTTTTAAGTTCATTCTTATGCAACTGTGTGCTTAAAAGGGTATAAAACCTGTTTATGTGTCCATCCGTTACATCAGAGAGCGTGAAGTAGCCTTGAGATTACTTTGCCCTCACGGTGTATAGCTGCATAATGTTGCGTAATCTTAAAGGCTACTGCTGCTCCACATCAACAGCAAACACACACACACACACACACACACACACACACACACACACACACACACACACACACACACACACACACACACACACACACACACACACACACACACACACACACACACACACACACACACACACACACACACACAAACACAAACACACACACCATCCAGCGCTCCACAATCAGTCTGCCTTTTCCTCGGCTTTTAACGGGTCCCGACAGAACTGCTGTATGGACGGGCTGCGGCTCGCAGTGCGCTGAGTCAGCAGGAAATTACCATTCAACACGACAGCCCTCACTACTATGGTGTGATATAATACAACACCACAACTGTACGGCCCCACGGGATGGTGGTGGTGGTGGTGGTGGCGGCAGCGGGATGATGAGGGAAAGGGAGAGGAAAAACAGGCCTTTGCTGTAACTCGGCTGACGCTCAGCACAAGGTTTTAGCAACATTTCACCCCAATTAAAGCATTGCAAACATATTTAACACCACTACAGGGGACACAGCAGCCACTGCTCTTGTGACAGCCTTTGTTGCAGGGTTGTCATGAGGAAAATTGGCCTGCAAACGCTGAGCTCAAATTACAGAAAGAATTTCTGCTGGCAGATCCAAAGTGGCGACCCGGAGGAAAGAATGTGTTGCGTAAAGGAGGGGAGGGAGCGAGGGGAGCGGCAAGAGGTAATAGTGCTGCTATAATGGTAATATTCTAAGCTAATGATGGACTCCTGGCAGGTGATGTGTGTGCTTAAGATGCTCTTGCAGCAGAGTTTGCTCATGCATAATGGAGAGTAAAGCCCCTTTTCACACATGGAATCTGTTCTGCAACACTGCTGGCTCAATCTATCTGTTGGAGAAATTACATTTTGGCAGTCAAACACAGGTCTCAATCACACAATTCCTCTATTCAAGCAGTTCAAACAGCTGCATTGCTTTGTATGATATTTGGTACCTCACTCACAAGTGGAAGTGTTAGTACGGCTGAGAACAGCCAAGAGCTGGAAAATAATATCAATGAAGAGTACTCAGTTCTCTTGAAAACTTATTTTGCAGCTCAGTGTTCCTCTCTGTGGCTTATTAACAGACACTGCCGGTTCTCATAACTAACCCTAGTCCCTTGACACATTTCTTCCTCAATGTCATCATTCATTAGATAAATTAGAGATCTCTGCTGCCTGTCAGAAAATATTTAAAACTGACAAGATGTTGGACAAATGTGCTGTTTTTAAAGAGTTGTTGGGTATTCATATACTGTAAGCAGTTGACATGAACGGAAGCTGATGATTAATGTGGTTTTTCAGGGTTACTTCTAAGCTTTGAGCATTTTTTGGGGCATTATTTTGATAGCCAATAGTAGAAAGGTGACAAAGAAGAAATGAGAAGAGAGAGAGAAACAGGGATGTGATTCGAGAATCAACTAAGAACAAACAAATTTTCATTATTGATTAATCTGCAGATTATTTTCTAGATTAACTGAGTTATTGTTTGATCTATAATATAAATGTAAAAAAATAGTGAAAAATGTCCATTCCGGTTCCCAAGGTGATGTCTTTAAATGTCTTGTTTTGTCAGTCCAAAGCAGGAAATCTCCTTAGGTAACAGTTAATAATAGTTATTTTTCTTTTGTTGGATCGATTAACCAATCGCTGCAGCTCTAGTTTACATGGTGAGCGTTTAAACCCCTAGGCTACCAGGAAGCCATTGTTTGTTACTCTTTTTACTTGCATTGTAATTAACTTTCTGTTCATAATGTAATGGCATTTCATTCAGACTTGAATGAACTGAAATGTTTTTGTAAAATTGTCCTTGCGACTTTTATTAAAAAAATCACAATAACATGAAAGACTGCCAGCACATTAAAGGGCATCTTTGAAAGGGTTAATGGAGATTAAAACATCTGTGTATTGGTCTGCTTTACATAAGCAAGGGATTTTCTGTCTGCGCCCTCTATATACATGTGTGAGCAAGGTGAGACTCCTTTACTGAGAAACGCCCTCAGAGGACCATATCATATTGCAACACATTTAAATTTCATTTAAATCTTTAGATGAATAGAATAAAGTTGGAACATCAGTGTGTAAGTGTGAATACTGTTGTCCAGAGAGAAAAGAAAATTCTCTATTTAATATTCTACGTCACTCTCTGCATTTTACTTCTGTTTTTTTATTTTGGTCTCCTTGAAATCTGATCTGATCAGTAATCACGGCTCCTTAAAGCCATCAGTATTGACTACTACTAAAAATGTTTTCATAACACATACTGAATAATAATTATCACGCTGAATTATCATAAAAGATGACAAATGGAGGGAGGGACAGAGACAAAGAGAGAACATTTTGGAAAGGCTTTTGAAGAGCTTGTGCAGGCTTTATGGGTCTGTCTGAATTAGAAAAGACAGAGTGACACTACAGGGCCAGCAGCTCAGTTTGCTTCCTGCTGCCACAATACAAGACAAACACATGACAAATAACCAGTTAACCACCATCTGACTGCCTTTAATGCCATATATAATATGGTATATGCAGTGATGAAAGGGTACACTAGATATATAACAATTCTAATTATTTCCCTCCATGTTCAATGTTCTAAAGTCTTTGCTTGTGTGTGTGTGTGTGTGTGTGTGTGTGTGTGTGTGTGTGTGTGTGTACCTGCAGTACTATCGGGAGCTGCTCAGGAGGGTTCCTGTTCTCCACACCCATCGTCAACCACACCTGAAACGCTGTGAGCTGCTCCGCAAAGAAAGGACTGTGCTGTGGACACAAAACACACACACATCATGATTTTAAAGAATTTATTGTACTTACTCTCTTACTCTTTCTCTCTCTCTCACACACACACACACACTCACGTGATAATGAACCAGTCTGCAGTGACAAGCTTATCATTTCATAAAAGTCCTGACATAATGAGCTAAGAAGTGACACTGCACTGCAGTGGCGACATAAATCCTGATCTATCATGATCACCTCTCTCTCTCTCTATCTCTCTCTCTCTCTCTCTTTCTCTCTCCTGCCACGGCAGTTTGCCTGATTGATTGGTTGCTGGCCGCAGAGTTTTTGATCACGGCGAGTGTTAATATTGCAGCGGGAATTACGACAGCGTCGTGTAGAGTGTTGATGGATGTAGAGAGGGAAATATCAATGCTTCGCGGCTGGATGGCTAAATTAATTTGTGCATAATCAAAGCTTAATAACTCTATACACACACACTCACATACTCACTGATACATGAAAAACTGTGGTGTATAGTGGGTGTAGGCCTCGCTTAGAGACTGAGCTCCTGTATTTGGAACACTTCAAACAGTGGGTTTGATGTTGCATTCTGGGAGGGAATATAAAAAAAGGTTGCACTGGCACCTTTACTACAAAGACCCCTGTGCTTTACTGATTTGATTAATACTCAATTCTATTAACTGCAAATAAGAATATGGTTAAATCAGGGATTCTGCAGGGTTCACCAAGTTAAATGTGAGACTTTTAAAGACCTTTTTAATACCACATAGAATGCAATTTAATACCCTTTTTATGGTCATACTGCATGAAAGTAGGATGAAAAACCAGTCGGGAAAATATGGCCTAGAATTACTTATCATTATATAACAGTTTTTTCAGTATTTCCCAGCATTATATGACAATAATTCCTAAAAATATAATGAATTAAATCAACACAGCTGGAACCAGAGAAGCAGCAGAAAAGGGATAGATGGATAAAGCACTTTTAGTTTATAGCTGTATAATGCTACACAGCCTGTAATCTGATACATAAACATTTTATAACTAATATTACAGTCTACACCAGGCAAGAGAAAATATTTATGACATTTGTAAATTCAATTTAGATCAGATTTTTAACAGCTTCTAAGGTCTCTCTCTGAGGAAACACATTTTTTTATGCAAAATTATGCAAAGAAGGTGGAGGTGCTTATTTCAGACCTGACTAATCCTACTGCATGTAGCCTGAGAGGCAAAACCCAGGGCAAAAATTATGTTCAAAGATTTTTAATTGGAAAATCAAACTATAAAAGTGAAGTCTTCAGACATTACTGTCAATGTTTTGTGCCATCTACTAATACTTACTGGTAATAATGAACACAGGGACAGTTCTTATGCTCTTAAAAGGACCAGTGTGGAGGATTTAGCGACATCTAGCGGTGTAGTTGCCAAGTGCAAAGGAGAAACTAAGGTGGCTGTGAAAAACGCACACGCCCCTTTCTACAGCCAGTGCTTGGTTTGTCCATTCTGGGCTATAGTGGAAAAATGGCGGTTCAACATGGCAGCCTCCACAGAAGGCGACCTGTGGTGTCTATAGATAAAAACGACTCATTCTGTGGTAATTTCAGGCGATAATAAACTAAACAAAACACACTTGACCTTAAAGGGATAAAAGGAAGCTCGTCTGTTTCAGGACGAAATCTTTCTAATGCATGTGAGGCTTATTTTCACTTTGAGCTATACAGAAATCACATTTTCGTTTTGTTCTTTATGTCAATGTGGCTCGGGGAAACAGAAGCGTAGACCTGTGGTGCGGGACAGTAAGGGGTGTAGTAGAGGGTTAAACTACTGCCAGACAACATAATTGCCAAGAGAAAAAATGAAACTATATTTTTTCTGCAGCTTTAAAGAAAATGAGGTAAACAGCTGAAGCACATCAGAAAGGAATTAAAGGCTCCTGAAAGACGGAGCAAGACAGAGAGGGAAGATCCCCTTTAGTGGTCCTCAGAGGCTCAATTACGCTGCCGGTAAGTGTTTTCGGCCTGAGTGCAGGAGAAAGGAGTGGAGGTTCGGCGATGGAAAACTGCTCCCGGGGGAGTGATGGAGAAGATGCCCACCTCCGAGGGGCCAGGTGGAGAAGAGAAAAGGCCCAGATAAAAAGTGCTTATATCATGGGAAAAGCTGCTCTGGTCCCACTTTCTCTGTTTTCATAGTTTTCTGAGTAGTTTGCATTACGAAGCACATGTAGCTGCTCTCTGGTCTGTCCAGCATCTGGTGTGTGTGCGTGCGTCTGCTCTCACACACACACACACACACACACACACACACACACACACACACACACACACACACACACACACACACACACACACACACACACACACACACACACACACACACACACACACACACACACACACACACACACACACACAAGAGAAATGTCTTGTGTTGACCCAGATATCTTCAGTCATCATCAGTTCAATCAGCCTCTCGCAGCGTGTTTCCATTACATTCAGCATCTCCATCACAGTCCCCAGCCGCGTCAGTAAATATAACAATAAACTGGCTGAAAGTGCAGGGCAGTGCTTTCAGAAACTATTTTTTATTTGACACTCACACTTGAATTATTGGACCTGACGTTTTACAATGTTATCCACTGGGAATGTGTGTGTGTGTGTGTGTGTGTGTGTGTGTGTGTGTTTGAAAGATTAATAGAGATGCTGTAGATGTTGGTGGTGGACAACTTGCAAACTTGCAGTGCAAACAAGATCTGTTGATGTTTACAGGCGTCAGTGGTGGACAGGTCTGAGATAAGAGCCATCCATCAATGCTAGATAAACAGTAACCATCCATACACCTATACACAAACGCTTATTCTATACACACACAAACACACTTAAATGTAGCATTTTCCACCTTCTGAGCAAAGCTGAAGAGGTCTCAATGTTTGTTTTTCTCTCACACACACACACACACACACACACACACACACACACAGACTTACTCTGAAGGCGGTGCCCTCCTCAATAATGGTAGGTAGCTGAGAGAGGCAGATGTCCACAGCCAGGTCCCATGCTTGCCTGTAGAGAGGTGACACACGTGCACACACGTACACACACACACACACACACACACACACACACACACACACACACACACACACACACACACACACACACACACACACACACACACACACACACACACACACACACACACACACACACAAAGGACATTAGAATGACCAGAGACATTATAAGGAATAACACCAGAACCACACACATTTATTGCAGTTTAAAATAAATCTCTTTATGACCTGAAGCAACAGAAGCAAATACATTTTTTTCTTTCCCTCTCTAATCCATCACTCATTCCCCTCAGCTCCCGTTTTGTCCCTCTCAGATTCTTCCCCGTGCACATACAGCTCTTTAAATTCCCAGCCTGAGGTCCTGGAGAGGGCAGCAAGGAGCCTTTAATCCCTGTCTAAACAGCAGCTTTCTCTCATGGTCATCATATCTAATTCATGGGGTTATGTAACTCACATCAAACCCTATCACAGCTCTTCTAGTCTGTCTGTCCATCTCTCTTTTCCTTACACTTCCTGGCTCCTTTTTTCTCACAGCAAATTGAGCTCAGGGCCTCAATGGGACTCTTTCCCTCTCAGTTATAGGGTTTGAGTCATGTTCCCAGCAGATGCACTACGATGTAATGTGATGCTGAACGAGTGACACGGAGTTCACTCTGTCTGAGACTCTCTCTGCTGCTTAAACAGCTTTTCCCATTAGCTGGGAGCAGTGTGATAGAGTTGCACTCCAGGTCGCCCGCACACTGTTGAAGGTACATTGCATCCACTCCTGTCATGCATGTTCAGAGTGCAAACATACAGTACAGTATGTGGCTACAAAAGCTGTGGAGTGAGGAGCAAACAGGTGGTATTCCTACTCCATCTACCACTGAAAGTCAACAAAAAAAGTTAAAAATGTATCCCAGCATTGATGTCAGATCGTAAAAGTTCAGGCTAAAAGGGAGAAATTACAAATTCTCCTGTTGCTGTGGCGAAAGATTTAGCCTTCCAGCAACAAAGAAACAAAACAGACATTACTGCATTATTAAGGACAGGTGTTTCTCATTCTACAAGGTTTTTGCTGCCATGTAAGGTCTAATTTTACAGAAATTAAACCCTGTGAAACTCAGATTGATGGTGTAAACACTGACTGAGCCAACAATGATATAACAGATTTGAAGCTAAGACCTCTGCTTTTATTCATATGTCCACATGGGTGACAATTTAAAGGAAAAACTAACACAAACCTCATAGTCTCTGGAACCCTCTCCATTCTCCCATAGGTGTTTAACTTTGGCCCCTCATGTCTTGTATGAGAGCATCTAAATTCTGCATTTGTCATCTTTCTTCATTCATTTGTTCAGGTTTTCCCTTTAATTTGTCACCTGTCTGTATGTATTTACATTAAGCAAACAAAAGACGCTGCTATATGTGATATTTCACAACTATTTTAAAGGACCAGTGTGTAGGATTTAGTGTCACATAGCGGTGAAGTTTCAGATTGCAACTAAACGAACACCACTCGCATCTGTTTCTGACGACCTGGGAATGAGAAAGGGCTGTTTGTAGTGTGTAGGAGAAACTACAGTATCTGCGAAACTAGCAAAAAATGCAAAAGGTCCTCTCTACAGTCAGTATTTGTCTATTCTGGGCTACTGTAGAAACATGGTGGCTCAACATGGCAGACTCCATGGACCTGCTCCCTCTGTAGATAAAAATATATCATTCAAAGGTTCAAAATCACAATGATTTCTATATTCAGGGGACTGTACACTAATGGAAACACACATATGCATTTTAGGTATAGGACAATAGATCCTCCTAAATGTTGGACCTTTAAGACTTTAAGACAAAGCATTAAAGAAGTGGCATGTTACTGTTGGATGCACATCCCAGTGATATTTTTGTTCAATTGAACTAATTTTGAGCAAAAATTTAACATCCAATGCAGTAAGTGCTTGTTTACAGCATGGTTTCAAAATCACGTACCAATTCACTTGAGTCTAAGTGGTAGTTGTTAATTGAGACAGAAAGTAAGTTACAGACTTGAACCAGTAACCCTTTGGTAGGTTTATTGTGCAGGAACACAAAATCCCATAAGCAAGGGTATGGTGGTTTCTCATGACGCTCTCAGATAAGATAGAATTTGAAGGTGGGATCTTGAACACTCATTCTCTCTCCATCACTCTGGGATTTTTTTTCTTCAGCATGTCATCTACTCTGATCTTTCTGCGTGATGAAGTAATGGTGCAACTGAATGTAGCATCAGCTCTGCTCGTTCCATGTCTAGCTTTTTGTAAAGTCCCTTTGTAAAGTCAGTCTAATGCTATCTGATTTTGAGTCACTTGATTATATAAGCTTCTTTCTTTGTTTTTGGGACCCAGTATTACTTTGTGCCTTTGGTTTCAGTTGTTATGTGTTTGTTCTATTTTCTTTTGTTATGTATGCGTTGCCATTAAAAGTTAATCGCACAAAAAATACATTCTAAGAGATTTAACAATTGAAGAATGATCTCATCTTTTACTTACTCGTTTTTTTAACCCTCAATGTAGAGACAGAAAGGTATTTGTTTTAGGTTTCATAGCTTGAAGTACTGGGATTGGAGTCTGTGAACATTTTGCCAACAAATGTCTCTCCCCGCTGGTGTTTATGTAATCCAACGGCAGATAGAGCAGTCTAATCTGTGAAGACACGCTCACAGGGAGGAGGCTGCTGCACCGTTTGAGATGACAGCGTTAACTTGCATAAAGCCTGCCAATACGAATGAGTAACTCATCACCAAAACCAGTGTGTGTGTGTTTGCACGTGTGTGTGTGTGTGTGTGTGTGTGCATGTGTGGTGCATGAGATGAGGGGACAGTCGAGTGTAGGGGACCAGTTGGCGGCTGACTAAGCTCTTTTTTCCTGTTGCCTGCAGAGAGTGGTGCACTCACAAACACACATATAAACTACACGCACACACACACACACTCCCACGCTGAAACTGCCCACAAGGGAGTAATCAGCCTTGGGTTTATCTGTTCTCCCCTATTCTCCTCCATTTGAATAACAATTGCTGTTTGTGTCCGGGCACCGACATCGATCAACGAGCCCCCAAACTGCATAATTCTCCCTTTCCATCATCCCTTCCCCCCCATCTATGCTGTTTCAAACTTTTATTTTTCTACTCTCCTTTTATCTCTGGCACTTCCATTTTTTATCGTTCTCTCAGTCTTGTTTCCTACACTTTTAAAGCACCTCTCTGTCGTTATTCTGTCCTCCTTAATACTGCATGTGCTGCTGTGAAACAAAGTGCAACTCCCAATTTCCTTGGCGGGTAAACAGTGCAATATAACCCCAATCTAAAATAATGGGCTGCTACGAGCGAGATAGAAAGACCATTGCTTGCTCAAGGAGCAAGGAACAGTGTTCTTTACAATAAGTGATGCCAGGGTGTTACACAACAAGTCGCTCCTCGAGGCAAAGAGTGTTTTTTTTTTCTCCAACGTGAGCCAGATAATGAGTGGGAGAGATGGAGGGAGGCATTTATAGAAGACCAAGAAGCGAAACAATAGATAGTGTTTGTGTAACTAAAGGGAGATAGATGATGGGATAATGTTTCTTACACAGTGCGGAGGAGCATGTAAAGTCAATGGAGAACAGGGAGCTTTCTCAGCACCTCTGTGTGTCTGTATACAATTCTAGTAATGAGAAAAGATGGAGGTCAAATCAGTAGGATGGCAGAAACTGAAAAACACTCAAAAGAACTCAAGCTGTGTGAGTAAAGGGGACACTTAAAGTCTTAGATTTGTGTTGTTTAATAATTCAAACAAAACTTGTTTTGGTGGGACTGGTATAGTATTTGTTTGTTGCGCCACTGCTTTTAACCTAAATCTGCCATGTCTACCACAGCTAGAGATGTCCAATATGTCCCACAAAGTCTCATAATATCCTCCAGAGAACAGGTGTTATCTTGCTGCTTTCAATCAAACATGGGGAATATGTGGGTGGGTGGTTGAAGCAACAGCAGTGCCCTAACTCCACGTACAACTTGTCTAGTGTCTGCTGTCAGTGGAAACACTGCTTATATCTGCCCCTGCTATGAGGCAGAGAGCAACACATAGAGAAACACTGTCAACAGTAAACATACAGAAAGAACTGAGAAAAACAAGCATTATACTTAGCATTAATGAGGTGTATGCATATGCTAGAAGGCAGTAGCAAATAAAAACACCTACATGTTTTGGCTCACACTCCCCCAACAAAGCATTTATTTTCAGTAGTTGGGAGAGTAATTAAAGCATTTCATTTTGTTTCTCCGTTTGTAGGATAAACGTGGGTTAAACTACGGGAAAAAATGTCACAAACACTGCAGCTGGCTTGTAGTAGGAAGAATACCTAAAAGTTTACTTTTTAATGCAAGCATAATTGTGGGTTCTGCATTTGCATCACATGGCAAATATGTTTGTTTATTTTATTACTGAGAGTTTATTGAGAAGATAAATGTCATTGTCGTCCCCATTAATCCAGAATGTTTAGCCTAGCTTAGCAAACAACTGGAAAACAGGCAAATCTAGCCATCAGCCATTGTGACAGGCTTAGGATTTCAGAATAAATCAGGAAATCAATATAGGACTGTAAGCAGGCGAGCTGGACAGCTCTTTCAGGTCGAGCTATGTAAAGATATTCATGATTATCCCGGTTTACAATTAACACAATAATGGAAATTCAACACAATCAATTTATGTTGAGTTCTGTTGTTTGTTTTTTTAATCACAATATGTGAAAATATCCTCCCATCCCTACGTGCTAAATCCGCAAGATACAATGTATACAGCAGAAGATACAATATAACAACTTTGAAGCGGTTTGAAGGCACGTTTAATGAAACAAGCTAGCTGTTAGCTCCTGCTTCCAGTCTTTGTGCTAAGCTAGAACCAACATGTCACCCTGTGCTGAATGCACAGAGCTGAAAATCTTCTCATTCAACTGTGGGTCTGAAGACAACATACTAATTTTCAAGTATTCCTCTAAGCTTTGTAAACTCTCTAGCAGATTATCTAACACTGCTAGAAATATCTCACTGGAGCAAAACACTGGTCTGCTTTTCCAGCTACCTGTGGTAATAAGAACAAATTACAAAAACAAACCAAATGGTCACAAAAACAAAGTGCATTGCTACTAGCGGTTTTTAACGGTGGAAAACTGTTTTAGAGAGCAGTTTTCATTTAATAAACGAGCCCATCACTTTTGGGCAAATGAGCCCCGAGGCAGATTTACCATTTGTGCATAAGTGACCGAGTTGATAGCACTATGTAATCTCTCTGTGGCTGGGTAAAAGTAACCACTTGCCCTCATTAAATATACATACCATACCATCAATAACAACACACTGTGTCTCTCTTGTCTAATCAAAGAAAGCATCCGTTAGAAAGTCTGCTCATCCTTTAACTTCAGTGTGTGTGTGTGAACAGTTAGTAAAGCTTTGTGGATGACTGGGCCTCTTGCCTTCTGCTGCACAAAGCAAACGACATCTGTGGATCTGTGTGCATGAAGCTTTGTTTGTGTGTCTTACCACATGGCGTGCATGTATGTAGGGGGCAGACGAGGACTGCTGACTGGTGTGCAGTTGTATGACCTCATTATCCTCTCCGCTAACAGGAAATTGCGGAACAAGCTGGCCACCAGCAGGTCCTGACGAAACAACTTCTGGAACAAATCTAAAGACAGAGAGACAGAGTAGAAATTATCCATCACATCAGAGACAGAAGAGGGGCAGTGAATGAATAAAATTACCACAAAGGTGGGATTACGAATGAGGAAAATGGGGCCCTGAATGAAATTCAAACTGGGTAAAAGAAGTTTAATGAGAGCAGAGTGGGCACTTTAGAGAAAACAACGTAGCTTGTGTGTATGCTTACAGAATGTAGAGGACAGCAATATGCAGAATAAAGCAACGAGTCTTCATTTTCAGCAGCTCATTAATGTATTCACTAATTCACTTTAATGGGGCCAGGCCAATCCCATGCCAATCTCTGGCTTATGATTGTGATTCCCCTGTTTGCACGAGGGAGCGAAAATGTGTGTGTGTCGAGGTTATTATATGAGAGACAGTGTCTGACAACTCCTATGCCTGCTGTTTGTGTTCCACTGTTTAAATGTTGAAGTGTTTGTGTTTCTGTGTGTGTGGAAACAGTGTGTGTGTGTGTGTGTGTGTGTGTGTGTGTGTGTGTGTGTGTGTGTGTGTGTGTGTGTGTGTGAGATTTGGATTAGGTGTGCAGTGCCTTCATTACAGGGATTCTCTCTGATGTGTGCTGCTTCATTAACAGTAGAGCCCCGGGGGTTTAAAAGGCTTCGGCAGCCATCAGCATTGTCACATTGCTATTCTAGCTAGGATACAGTTTGTCTCAGGGGAGTCTGTGCCTGTGAGTGCGAGTGTGCGTGTGTCTGTAGATGTGTGTTGCATACAAGAGACAGGTGAGCAATGAGAAAGTACATGGGCTGCATGCAAAATGCGTGTCAAAAAAAGAAAACTGAGTATTTTCATCTATAGCCAAGTTGAGCCTTTGGGTAATGGTTAGTGTGTGTGTGTGTGTGTGTGTGTGTGTGTGTGTGTGTGTGTGTGTGTGTGTCGCGCGCACGTGTTATCGCCATACAGAGTGTGTATGTGCGTGCATACTTGTTTTTATGGCCTCCAAATTATGGTTAAATGATATTCCCAATTACTGTGCCAAATACTCTAAACACAATTCATCTCCATTTGAGGAGCCAACCTGCACTTCTGGCATTTTTTTTTATCAACATCTTCACTATGCTCAACCACTGGGGATATTTTCAAAGTTTTAGTATTGCTGATGCTTCACAACTGTACTGGTTTTATTAGGTGCCCTAATTTGGGCTCCCTGAGCTGAAACACACAGGTCCTTTCATTTGTCATCATTGGCTGGACATTTTTGAAATAAGATATGTGGGTTTTTTTGTTAGCAGTTTCACAACTTTAGTCTGCCATTAGCTGTCTTTACAAGTTTGTCTTTCCATTACTTTCAACGTCAATAAGAAATATGTGTTTGCTTTGGCTTTAAGGACATGTTTTTTTTTTTTTTATGGTTATGATGTACTCAGCAAAGTTTTGAATACGCTTAAGAAAAGTGTAAGAAGTTTGCTAAGCCCTGCCCCATAGTTACTGTTGCTGCCAAGCTTTCTTTTCTTGCATGATACATGAGCAGTTCACAATGACAGTGGTGCCACATTTACTTACTTACTACACAAAATCTTAGTGAAGTGTCAATCAGTGGGTCGTTGGTTTTAAACAACAACTGGGGTAACTGGGTTGTAAACTTCCCCAAATCCAGAAAAGCTGGACAGACCTGCTGACAAAAGCCAACAATCTGAAACTGTAGCATCCAGGACCAGGAACTGTGAGGACACTACCCTTCAAAACCTTTATACAGTTGAAAGCAGTCATTTTTCCTGTCTTCAGAACGACCACGCCCCCTTTTGGGTGAAACAAGGGCTGTAAAAGTGCCTAGTGGCATCATTTCTAAAAGCTGCTGTGTTGCATTTTGCACAGCAAACAATAAAAAAAACACAAGTTTATGGTTTTCTTTACTTCCCCAAAGAGCAAAGGACAGTAAAAGAAGAGATCTGTGGCTTTAGGCTAGAGATGATAAAACGGTAAACTGTGGGACCCGGGCAGGCTATATGTGTATGTCTGAGGCAAAGACTTCATCACAGGTAAGCTAATGATGTTACTGAGTGAAACTGTAGATTGAAGCGAACCGGAAAATAGTCCAAAAGAGTGAAGGTCTAAAGTTTTTACTGTGAAAAAAATCAAGACCACACCATAAAACAACGGCTTTTAGAATGGAGTTTGGTTTGAATAGTCTGTCCACTTGAAAAACGCCGGGAGCAGAAGGTATTTTAACAATTTGCATAAATTGATCTTACCTACCTTCTAATAAGGAACATTGTAAACAGCATAAAGTAACGTAGGAAGTGAGGCGTAAACCGACCTGTTTTCTACTTCTCTCAGCTCTTAGTAAAAGGTGAGTAATGTCACACTGGACAGAGGACCACGGGTAGCAAATGGTCCATTGGCTTACCACTTGTGTTTCTTTCTCTTTTGAACTTCTTTTTAGCAATGTCTTCATGTTCTGAATTTCATCAATTCCTTTGGCGAGTCCACTGTTATCATAATTTATGGAAACAATGGCTAAAACTACAAAAATAAGACCCAAGATTTAATAAACTGGAATCATTCTGTCTGTTCTGTAATTGCGGGAAAAGAAATTGTGCATCCCTAATGTGTGTGTGTGTGTGTGTGTGTTATGTAAAGCCTCACCTCTAGGCAGCACATTCCAGGCGATCGTGTCGGTGATGGCTGTGAAGATCCAGTTGAGCTCACCGAGGGGAGTACGTCTGTCGTTGAGCCTGCCAGGGATCCTGCACCACACACAACATAACACAGATGGCACTGTGTCAGCCGCGCTCGCTGTATGTCACATAGCTGACTCAAAGCACAAAGTGGCAACTGCTCAGTAGTAATATCACAACACATCTGAGGAAATTTACATTTACAGGCACTTACTCAGAGAGGCAAGTTTGAATATTCATGTGTGCTTACATACACTCACTTACATGTGTTTCATCTGAGCTGTCTCAACAAAATGAAGCACGTGGGAATACATTTGTGTGCTAACTTGACCTGCAGACCTGGCTTTCCTCACATATATCTGATTATTATGGAGGTGGTCCACACCAGTTGAGCTGGTGGGCGCTTCTGCTAACGCTATTAGAAACTAGAAGATCTCTGCCAGATACATTTTGGAAAACCTCACGAATGCTGAAATTTGAAATAATTTACACCTGATGTTACCTATTCATAGACCGGAGCCGAGTTAAATTAAATCCAACAAGAAACCACTATTATGTACATTTGTTTTAAGTTTCTAACAAACCAAAATTCATGAAAATTGGTTCAGAATTAAGCGAGTTACAGTTATTGGATTGTCTGTAGCGGATCTTGACCTCTCCAATATGGCCACTGAACACACATAGCAGCATCATACAGCAGTGACCAGTGAGATATCTTTTGCTCTCGCTCCCACAGTCAAGACGGTGGCGAGATTTATTTATCTCGTATCGTGCCTGACTTTATTGGATCATAACATATCATATATAGAATTAATTTGCAGATGATATCAAACGTTTCTATGGATGTCAATTCTTAAGCCACAACAAAGGCCAAAATGTGGCCTGCTACAGCCAATAATATATTTTTGTGAGATTAAATCTTAGAAACCAGGGAAAAAGCAGAGACATTTCACACAAACGCTACATGTTTGTGTACAGGTAGCACTTTGATCATCATATTGTACATTGATCCCAAAAGCACCGGTCAAATATAATACTTACTATAACTCTGTCATTTACCACCTCTGCTAACACATTTTGTTTGGAAAGATCTGATTTCACCAATTCTGTGCCACAGTAAATATGAAAATATAATCAAAACTTTAAAAATAATTTAATTTAGGTTTCCTCACAGAAAAGAATGAAATGTTAAGATGTTAAATGTTCAAATCAAGAAGGCCTCACGACCCCTAGTGGGGGGGCGCTGACCGCCAGGTTGGGAACCACTGACTTAAACGACTAGTGTAGGATTCAGTGGCATCTAGTGGTGAGAGTTGCAGGCTGCAACCATTTGAATACTGCTCAGCCTTCCAGGCTTGTAGGAGGAACTACTGCCTTATTTTTCTTACTACAATGAAGGAACTTCAGCGATTGACTTACTGAAAGTATTCAAACAGGGCCACAGTACAGTACCCACACTATAATGTGTTTTATAGGAGCCTCAGATGTGTAAACCTGTGCACCATGCATTCGTTTTTACAGAAACCTCTCTGACACCACAGACTCTAGTTATTTCGTTATTCCTTTTGTGACACTGCCATGGAAATGAGAGCTGGGAAATCTCTTTCACATACAGCCCACAACGGTGTGACAGTAATCACTGTAGCAAAACCGAGAAAATCACCTTTACCCCACCTAGGCGTCTGCTTTTTAATGAACACTATGTAAAACAGTGAGAGAAGACGGGGGATGAGGGCAAACACTAGCTGGCTCACAGATATTACAGTTAATGTGAGCAAGTGAGTCATCTGTGTCTGAGTAAAGAGAAATGCTTTAATGTAACGAAAAATGTGGGAGAAAAAAAATGAGAGAAAGCATTATAGCTCGCAATGCTACAGACAGCCAATGATGCGCTTGTATGTGGAAGAGACTACAGAAAAAAAAAGGGGCAGCAGACCTGCAGCAGGCCCACAGGTCATAGTTTAAGTGGAGGGTACCTATGCACTGCGTGATCTTGAGTTATCCTGGAGAAAAACAAGAGTTGCTTGCTGCATTTTCAAAACATGAAAGTGGCATAAATGGATGACACGTGACTGCACAAATTTGTTTCCTATTTACATCACAGCCCTAAGATTCACCAGGCATTCAACGCACAAATTGCCTCAAAACTTCATTCTGACACAAGTTGTGACCAAAGCTGAATTAATCCCATGTTGCAGTGCGATGTGCAATGAATCTGCAAGATCGCAGCTGAAGAAATGATGTGCGGAAGCAAAGATGGCTCATGGAACGTCTTGCTTTTTACTCTCCATGCACGGTTCTCAGCAAAAACAGACATCTGTTAATAGTCATATCAACAATAAACAAGCAACACATACATGTTTCACTACAGTAATAATGTCTATATTGGTAAAAATGGCACAAACATGTAAATCTCCTGTCTATTTCAGATTAAAAGCTCTATTCATATTCATTTATTAACAAGGCTTTTATTGTATTGTATTTATCAATGGCAAACTCATCGTAGAAAGACAGGGCTGACAGCAGTAGAGACGCTCTGTGTGGACACCTGTGCTGCAGCAGTTCGTCTTTTGTATCCTCAAGATAACAACATAATTAGCATGTTATCATGAAACAACACCTATGTTATCCAGCGATAAGTTGTGATGAAATTAAAAACAAAAAAACTTTAACCGCTACCACTTTTAGCTTATATTTATATGCACTTAAATAATAAGAGTTTGACATAACTGTGTCAAAAATGGTTACATTCATTGCACAAAACTGACATGCTAAAGTGTTTTTCTTCCAATTTTCTCCTCATCCAAGAAATGTCATCACCCATTGTCACTCCCAAACATTTTGTTTCCACTGTGGTTTTGTCATCATTAGTCGCTGCACTGGAGCACTGCCAGGAGCATGTCTTTGTCTTGAGATAGAATCATTAAATATACATTATATGACAATAAATTACACTATACAACTATAAAGTAATGCACTAAACGCCAATTTGTTACACATAAATTCATCCCCAAGTCTGGCAGCTGGCATATAAAGTCCATCAGCACTCTAACTACACACAGAGTATCTGACCTTCCCTGCCCTAAGCCTCCCACTTCCACCTCTAAGTGACAAATAATAGCAGCTTTGAACCTCCTGGCAGGTATAGGCCTACTGTATAACCATGAGGGCCGGCCAGCTCATGAGCACTCCGAGAGCTTGCCAAAGGTGTTCAGCAAGTCAGCACTAAGGATGAACACTCAGCACTTCATATCCTTGCTCAGTATCCAGTGTAATATATTTGAGGAGGGAAAAGGACAGTGTATTGGTGCACGGAGGGACAGATAGATGGATGAAGTGTTGAACAGGCTGGGAAAAATACCCTCAGAGGCTCGTGTCATCGATCAAAATAGTTGCAATTTATAATAATTTCTTGTTTTAGCCATTTTAGTTGTGCTATATTATCCGTTTTATTAATATCTACAGTGAAGTATCTTTCTATTTGGTAAGGCACCTTGTTATACTCCCTTAAGAAGTGTAAGTCTATACGTATCTTTGTTATTAGTTCCTACTATTTATTACTATCTATTAACCAGTGATACAGTATGTTTTAGTATGTGGCAGTTGCTGAGACACTAAAACCCACAGTTACTCATGCTGATGAAGTCTCCAAGTCACTACAGGCATGAAGTGGAAAGGTCAGTCCTGCTCACACTTTACCTAATATTAGAGGTGTTCAGAACAAGATCAGCATTGCGTCAGGAAGGAAGGAAGGAAGGAAGGAAGGAAGGAAGGAAGGAAAATGAATTCATTTCACCAAAGAAAGAAAGAGAAAATAAAATAATTTCACTAAAAGAAAGCTTGATAGATAAAAAAGGAGAGAAAGAAAAGAAAAAAGAAAGACACAGAGAAAGAAAAGAAAGACAGAAGTATAGAAAGAAAAAGAAAAAGAAAAAGAGAAAGAGAAAAAGAAAGAGAAAGAGAAAGAGAAAGAGAAAGAGAAAGAAAGAAAAGACTGGATCAGCTTTTACCACCATGTAACATTAGCCAGCAACACACTGGTTCAGCCAATCAAATTCAAATTGTGTGTAATGGACAGCTCCATAAAGCTATTGAGGATGCATTTAATTTAATTTGACAAAGTCACCAGAAATGGAAGCACAGTATGACCACAGTAAAGGTGTAGTTAACTTTATATTCTGCATATAGGGCACCATGCCAAACACACTGACACACAGGCTTCTGAATAAATAACACACTGTACCCAGAAAATCTTTTTAGAAAAACATTAGCCCCTTCCCTCGTGTCTTTTATACTCTATGCCCAACCCCCCTGATCACACATACAAACTCGAACAACAGAGGCATAACATGCTGCCATTCACTGGAGTCTTTAAATAATGTCATTTTAACATTTTGTAGAGCTTGTTTTTATTCCCTCTGGAAATGGAAGCACTGCCTTTTTTCTTTATTTTTCATTGCAGTTAATGGGTTCCCTATTCAACATGATACAAGTTACCAGCATAAATCGAATATATAATAGATAAGAAAAATGATGAGTGGAAACACACTGCTCGAGAAATGAACTACTTTGCCAGTATAATGGAAAAGGGAGAAAATAACTGTTCAATCAGAGCGCATGTACAGTAAATTACGTTAGCACTAAACACACATGTGAGCTCCAGGCGAGGCAAGAGGGAGTCCCTATGTGTGAACATTGCATTAGAGTCTGTTTTCCACTCATTTATGAATTTATGTTGTTAAATGTGAAGCCAGACAATCCATATTGTGGGCAGCCATACTAATGAACCTATCTAACTAGTGACAAGGTCAACAAAATGCCCATGGAAACACGTGAGCTTTGTGTGTGTTTTGTGTGCAGTTTACAGAACTGCAGTACACCTCTACTTTACAAAGTCTTTAAATGAGACATAATGAGCGTTTGAGGAGCCACAATGCAGCACTGCAGGTAACGGCTTTAATCTGTGTAGGACATGAAGCAGGCATGTGCAGGTAAACTGAGCCTCTTGTAGCTGGTATCACTGTAACTACTAATGGGCTTTGCTTTTTAAGGTTCATTATTAGTTTCTC